ATATATGTTCTCAAACACATGCATATACAAAAGTACATAGTATAATAAATAAATTAAACAGGGAATGTTTCAGGTTTCAGGAAATAAAGATGCATGGCCGATGAATCATGGAAATACTGAGGTTCACTGCACTGTTAAATCTGATACGGACAGTTAGAAAGATTACTTCTTGCTGACTCTTATTATCAGTGGCTGAAGTCCATATATCCCGAATAGCATATTACCGTCAAGTTACGTAGATTTTAGACATTAGTCCTAAACAAGTAATTATATTGAGCAGCATATATCATAATTGGCCAGTTTGCAGTAAAATTAAAAAGTTTTGTCTCACCACAGTAATACAGTATGCATTGTAAGATTTTGTTACAAGTATTGGTAGAATTAATTCTACTCATTCTATTTCTGCTATATAAATGTGCCAACGCCAACCTATCACAGCAAAATGAACTAAAGTCACTATAGTGGTTCTGTGGTGCCATATTAAAAACATATTAGTAATCAGTATGTGTGTATCATGTTGTTATTCAGGGTCGGCAAGGCAATACGGGATAATGATTATTACAATTTACAACTTAACAACCCAATAAGCACAGGTGTGTTGAAGCTGACTTTGTGTTTGACTGTAAGTAAATGGTAAATAGATTTTGTGTTTTGTTGGTAGAAAGTTGGAGTGGCTTTCAGTGAAGAGATCATGTGGATTGATGTAGTTATTTGCTGAAAGAAGCAAAACTAAAGCAGAAAATAAGACCAAAGGTCTAATAGAATGCAAAGTTACAAGACTAATCATTAATTTTTCTTTAATAATCTTTAATGATGAATCTCCTAAGGCTTTTCTTCCTAATTATCATGTCTTGCGTTCTTATTGTACACTAGTCATGAAATTACACCTGAAATACTAAATAGGCTTCTGTATCTGTATTTAGTGACTTTGATCTGACCTTGACTGACAATCAATGTAAAATTACCTCAAATGTCTTTTGCTGTTATTTATTGTGTTCATTTTTTCTTTTAACTTTTCTTCACTGCAAACCCTAAAGTTCAAACTCGGTTGCATTGAGTAGGGGAAAATCATATCATTCAAATACACCTTGATGGATATTTGAAGCTTTGTATTTATTTCGAGTTTAACGAAGTTGTCTCTAAATGCATATAAACAACTTTTTGCCAGTTTTCTGTATGTGGTGATGATCACATGATCATAGGACCAGTGATGAATGGAAAGAACATGTCTGTTAAAACTTCTTATAACATTTTTATAATTGTTATAACGAAGACGAATGGACAAAGAGAACAGGCTATTTTAGCCCAAATTGCAATAGATAGCAAGCAACACTCACCAAACATGAAATTAAGTCAAGTCACCTTCATAATAGCGATTTTAACAATATTGATTGTTTCAAAGCAGATTTACACAGTGAAAATAGGAAATTAAGGCTTTAAGTTATAAACATGAACCTGTGAAAATGCTGACGGCGTTCAAATGCATGTTACGTGTTTAGTCTATGGGTATGTGCGGCTGTATAAAATGTATAATACCGATGTTTTTTTTTATATATCTCTTCTGCTAAGCCATGTGAACTGGAATTATTTTGACAACGTCTGTGGGGTAAAGGGAAGGAGGCCTTCGGGTGAGAGATGAGTTGACACTTCAGGACTATGTTGTCGTCGTGTCCATGCACATGTCCTTCATCAGATCTGGATACTGCTTGGATCCGACTAATATTAACGTAGATGCCATTAAGACAGGTCAAACTCAGGAAATATTAATACTAAACTACAGTATGTATATATAAATACTAAACTAAATGACTAATAGGCTAATTAACTGATAGCAGGATAATAATAATAACAATAGCCTAATACGTTTTATTTATAACGCACTTTTCATCCAAAGATCTCAAAGTGCTATACAGGTTTAAAACAATAAAAGATAAACAGTTCTTTAAAAAGAGAGGAAAAAAATAACTAAATGAAACTAACTAAATGAATAACTAAATGAAACTAATAGACTAAAAATTAGGTTAAGACAGGAAGAAACAAAGGATACTCCTGACAGTATGCCCCCCATACAAGCTCCAACATATAAGAGGGAGGAAGCGGGTGAACCGAAAAATAAGTTCAAAGAATTCGTCCTTGTGGGAGTGGAGAGTGGGCAAAAGTAATTAATTGACAAAAGGCAAAAAAGAAAAATTTCGGATGCAGCCTGAAGTCTTTAATGGGGGACTTGTGATATATGATGATGGGAACTTAACCCAAGATCCTCAAGGGTGTCCCATTGTCATTTTAGGTGTCGAAGGCCTTTGCAGTCGATATGCACCACCACTGCTCCATAGTGCTTAGGTTTTGTTCATGCTTGGATGTCTTTTATTTTGTAAACAGGAAGTCATGTTTCCTTGTCAAATGATTATTTGCTCCCTGTACCCCTGTTTGATGAGTTTTATGTTTCTGCTCATGGTCAAGTTTATTTTGTGTTTGTTCAAGTTTTGTCAATAAATGCACTTGGGTTTTCACTACACACTTATTAAAATGTATTAGTTTACATTAATTTCAACATATTAAAATCAAAAGTTGTTAATATTATTGAATGCATCTGACATGAACTAACAGTGAACAGTTGTGATTGTATTAACTGACCTTGACAAAGATTATAAATGTTGTAAATGCTTTGGTCATTGCTTTTTTAGTCATTGCTTTGGTCATTGCTTTTTCAATATATATATATATATATATATATATATATATATATATATATATATATATATATATATATATGAAGAGCTCAGATGCAAAAGCCTCTAAATGCCATTTGAAATCTAGAAATCTTGAAATCTTTCTTCTAGAATGGTCATTTTTATCAAGCTTGTATATTTAAGTTCAGTAATTTCACTTAAATAACAATTAATAGGTAATCTTCATTGCCATTTAAGTGAAATTACTGAACTTAAATATACAAGCTTGATAAAAAATTATAATTTTAGAAGAAAATTTCAAATGGCACTTAGAGGCTTTTGCATCTGAGCTCTTCATATATATATATATATATATACAGTATATATATATTTTTTTTAATATGATGCAAGTTAATGTGGCCCATCAACCCATAATCTTCAAAATACATTCCTTTGTGTTCAGTAGAAGAAAGAAATTGTAATTTTGTATCATTTATAGAATCATTTTTATTACAAAATGTCCCGATTTAATTAAATATTAAATGAAAAAAAAAGGAAAGTTCTTTAAAATGTTTGAATATTTTCCTGTCAAAGGTAGCTACTGTGGATTGTGCTCCTTAATCATCCACATTTTATTTAATAAGCAAGCTCTACTACCATATTGCGCCAGAACGCCCACCACACACCATGCAGCTTGTGGAGAGCAGACAGAGTGAGGAAGACAATCAGCATACATACATATGTGTGTGTGTGTGTGTGTGTGTGTGTGTGTGTGTGTGTGTGTATATATATATATATATATATATATAAATTTGGCCACCTTGGTATAACGTCTCATACGAAGGATGTGTACACTACACTAGGGCTGCCCAATCCTGTTTCTGGAGATCATTCTTGCAAAGTTCAAACACATCTGAAGCAGCTTCTTGAGATCTTCAGGAGCTCTTGATAATGACAGACGGGTGTGTTGGATCTGAACTCTGCAGGAAGGTAGATCTCCAGGAACAGAAAACATTGCACACACACACACACACAGATGTGGCATGAGTGAATGAATCAATGGCTGAAGGAATCAGTTGAATAATTAATGAGTCAACGATTCACTCATATGACTTGTCACCACCTGACATAACAACGTGGCAGAAAGGACAAACGGACAGTCAGGAGAACATTGTCAATAAGAAAGTAATAAATACTTGCCATATCTTTAATGAATATAATTTTCTTTGTATTTATTAATCAATAGTTTGTACAATTTTGTATGTTTTTGTTTTGTTTTTGGATGTAAATTAATATGTAAATTCTGTAGGCCTACTATCGTATTGGCCTTCTAAAGTTCATTAGTTATTAAAAAACTATATTCTATTCTATTATAATATATTACATTCTATTGTTATAGGCACAATGTTTTACTCATTACTAAAAAAAGATGTAAACAACACTGGTCCAGAAGCACTTCCTGTTTCAGTTTTTTAACACTACATAAAAGCTGGGATAAAATACAACCAACAGAACATATAAAACTGAATCAAAAGGTTAAACAAACATCTTTAAGATGTTTTCTTTACATGTGAAATAAAGAAAACAGTTACAAACTGAAACAGGAAGTGTTTCTGGACCAGTGTTGTTTACATCTTGCAAAATGGTCTGTGTTTGTGCAAAATATGACATATATTATCTTATTATATTTTACAAATATGGAATGTTAAACTTGTATTGAAACACATTTTTATGTAATGTTTAAAAATATATTTTTTAAATGTATTATTCTAGCTATCATAATGTAGATGAATTCAAACATAGCCTATTATACAGCAGACCTTTATTAAAAAAAATAATACTATTAACATATATTTTACATGGTGCTCATAACCGCAACAACAAACGTTCACAAAAAGGGATTTTGAATAAATATTAAATTGTGTGAATGGCTGTGTTGCATTTTAGAGCCCGTTTCAGCGGGTGACAGAGACCTCTAGTGGTGAGACGAACGGACCGCACTGGATGTCACAAACCCATTTCAACTTGAAAAATAATATTTGAGACAAAATATGTCACACAAATTCACCTGCCAGTGCCATTAGTTGTTAGAAAAGTGACAAGAAACGTTTAAAATAAAGGCTCATTTTACCAAATAAGGCTATAATATGGTCACAAGGTGTTATAAAATAATACAAAACTGTTATTTTTATGTTGTTTTGAAAGTGTTCTAGTTGTACTTGCAATAATTCACTATGTAAAAATTATTGTCCTCTCAAAATCATTATCTTAAAATTTCTGAACTTATAAAAGCGAGCGTGTTGGGCGCGAGGCTCAATCAGTTTCGCGCGACAGGATTGACATCATGGCGTCTTGCGCTGTTCAGCTGGTGAGCCAAACGCCTCCAAAATGTTACTAAAGTACTAATTTAAATGTGTACGCGATTTATAATCTAATAATGTTTGTTTTGGTTTGCCTAAAATAACCTTTAAATACCTGTGTTCATTTACTGAAGCGATTTCACGCCGAGTTAACGGCGTCATGTGATTGTGCCCATACAAACATAACGTTATATTTTTACATTTTACCAGATTGACAAAGTGACGAGGAGGAAGGGGGAGAAAAAGAAATTTGAAGCAAACATTTTGAAGGGCCCTTGTATAAAACACCCTTTACAAAACAGGTGTGTTCAAGCTGATTATCTTTGAAACGCTGAATCTTGAGCGTTCCTTCATTCACTCTCTAATGTCTGATTAACTTTACTCTTTTCTTGTGCCTTGTGTCATGTTGTACCGTTTTTGTACTGTGTGTAGATGGGGTCTTTGGTTCTACAAGCACGATAAGAGCAAAATGTGGCAAGACAATCTAAGGCTCATCACCAGGTTCGACACAGTTGAGGACTTCTGGGCGTAAGTTCATGGTCACTTGAGTCCAATTAGACAAACAAACCCAGTTGTCCATTTTCTTGGAGAACAAGGGTTTTCAAACTTTGAGTCAGGGTAGAAAATTTCCCAAGGACCACCTCATAACCCAAATTTAATGAGGGTGAGATATGGGAAGTTGGATTGACCGGGTTATTAACGGAACAGTTATTGTAAGGGTAAGCATTTATCTACTCATTTAACGGCATTAGGACAAAAATGAGCAGTTTTGCTGATGGACCAGCTGTTTATTTTTTATTATTTTTTAGTTTTTCCCCTCTGTTTGACATAAAACACAGTGTTTGTGGTCATCCAGTTTAAAATGTTGATTACGAACACAGAGGTTTTTCAGATTTTCCGTCGCTGTGCTCTCTCCATATCTCTATACTCTCTCCATATCCATATTTACAACGTGCTGGATGCCTGGAAACTGGAAATTACTCACTTTTGCTAAACGTTTTCTCTTTGAATTCTTGCACTCAGTAACAAAAGTCGATACCATTGACTAAAAGTTTGCTAAGGAGGATTTTCTACTAAAGCACTCTGGTTCACATGCCCGGTGTGTTAAGGGCGTTGAAGTTTTCTTCCCTATTTGACAAAAGTGACAACAACATTTTTTCTTTTATTTTCTCTAGTCGGGTAGCCCTGATTTCAAAAGAATAATCAGCAAAATACCGATCGTGATGCGTTTCCCAGATGTGGACCCAAGTTTCACAGTCCCGTAAACAGACACCGCTTACAAAGTTTATTATAGGCTAAGGAATAAAGTTCATTGCTTGTGTAACATCCATAGACTGTAAAAATGGTAACATCCTGGCAATTTTATTTTTCCTCACGGATAATGATTCTTACAATTTGACCTGTACTCCCGTTTTTAGCACAACTATGAAAATCATGACAGCCTTGCTTTATCGGTTTCCTCCACTTAAATGCATATAATTAGCAATTAAATGAAAAGCAGACATTTAATAAAAAAATCTCCACTGTTGTGTAAAGTTAACTTGTGAATTCGTCAACATGTTTCCATCAATTATTTTTTGTTAATGACAAATTAATTGACAAAATAAATGCTTTAACAGTTGCTGTTCAATATTGAAAATTGGGTGATTGGAACTTTTGAATAAAATATAGTTCAAGGATTTGATTTCAAAATGTGTGGTAAAAGGTTACAATCGCCAGGCTTTTGGCCCCCTCTGCAGGTTTTTTTTGCAATTTTTTTTTTTTTAAATGACTTTTAAAATGTTTTGTTAATTTTTTTTTTTTTGCAATATAAAATGGCTTAATGGGCACCCAAGTACTATTATGTTATTAATTTTTACCAGTATTGTCTAATAAGATGTATTTGCTATCAGTTTTTTTTTTTTAAATCTGAGCATCATTGCATGCATTTTGTCATTTAAAAGGCTTGGGAAAAGCTCTTTAAAAAAATGTAACATTTCAAAAAATGGTATCAGATTGTGTACTTTTCCATCTTTATTTTTTAATCTTCCTGGGTGTGGAAGCAGCAGCAATATGGGATGTTAATGTTTCTCATTTAAACCGTTTCAATATATATATATATAATTAAATAAATAATTAATTTGGCCAAATATCTATCTATCTATCTCGCAATATGGCATTTTGGCCAAATTAAGCAACCTTTCAAACACCAACAGCAAACCTGGAGCTCCTGGAGAAAAAAACCCAAACATTTAAAATAAGATAAATCATATTTTCCCCGAATCGTTCAGACTATATCAGTTGATGTAATTGCTGTTGTAATCCTAAGAGCCTAGATGGTTCTTCACCGGAAGGCCTCAACCTCTACACTTGACAGGCTAAATACACTCTTACATTTGATACACTCTTACATTTGAAAGTGTTTTGTCACCTTCATCTGCAAAATGTTTTTCTGATTGACTTTCAACTGTTTCAGATTATACAACAACATACAGCTGCCAAGCAAACTGTCCTCTGGCTGTGACTACTCCATGTTCAAGGTGCTTTCTTACTACTATTCTTTAGGTTTTTAACATTGTGCATATCTGTCCTATTAATGACTGAAGTCTTGTTTACGGTTCAAAACATAGCTGTCTACATTTAGATCTGTTAATGTAATTCTATTTGCACTCAACAAGAAATGTATTTGAATCATTCATATTACACTTCCACAGTGACTCTTTGTAATGCATGTTCTTTGTTTCTTTACAGGATGGCATCGAGCCCATGTGGGAAGACAGAAGTAATAAATGTGGCGGCCGCTGGTTGATTACTCTCGCCAAGCAGCATAGACACACTGAACTTGACCGGTTCTGGCTGGAAACGGTCAGAGACAATATAATAGCTTGCTTTATTTAACCTTTGGATTTAATTGTTTGTCTGTTTGAAAAAGTTAAAATTCTCTTCTTTCTGATTATAAATTATCAGAACTTCTCAGTGTGTGTATGAAAATATGAATTACTTTGTTCAGAAAGCTGCTTTTGTATGCTGAATATACTTTTGTTCTTGTGGCAGATGTTGTGTCTTATTGGAGAAGGCTTTGGCTCCTTCAGTCGGGATATCTGTGGAAGTGTAATCAATATCCGTGCCAAAGGGGACAAAATCGCCATCTGGACCTCCAATGCTGAGAACAGTGAGACCGTTACATACATTGGGTGAGCATGCTTTTAGTTCTATTGTGCTGTTAAATCCTGCTTTTCATGGCCAACATTTCTGCATTATTTCAGACAATACGAATTAATCTATGGACGCTTGTTTCCGCCACAGAGAAAAAACAAACTAAAAGACCCTTTTTCTTGCAATTTATTTTTATTTTTTTACACAATTGACCCTTCGCAGGGAGCTTGATTGACAGGTTATCTGACCAATCATACTTCACCATCCGACAAAGCAGTGAGGAGAGTTAAGGCCCGTACACACCGGGACGAATATCAGCACACGTTATTCGCCAGCGTTTTTCAACGCGTCTTTGGTGTTCACACCAAGCGATTTTCGCTGACGATGAGCCGAGTGAACATGCAAATTCACTCCCTGACATTAGATGGCGCCAATTGGCTCTGCAATACCACTCCATATCAGTTTTCTTTTATCAAGGTGTTTGTAGTCACTGTCGCGTTTGTCATGTAGTTCTTTATGTTCGAACACCAATGAGACCAGCAGCTCTACATTCATCTTTCCTTCCATGTTCCTTGTCTTATTTCTTCCTGGCTGTTTAGACGGTGACTCTACTTGGCGTAGATCTACTTTGACGTTGCATATGTTTGCTCGGCAAGACCGTTTTGTGTTTGAGTGCCCCCAAGTTGTGTTTTCTGTAAATTAAGAAGCTCCAAACACGTTTGCAAAAGCGCCAATCTCATTGGTCGGATAGTTTTTGACGCAGCGCGTCAAACTAAAAAATACTAACCCGAGGCGTTTTTTTTTAAAGCTACACTGTGTGATTTTTTACCCCCATCTAGTGGTGAAAATGTATATGACCATCCAGTGAATGTTAGTTTCTGTTACTCTCAATCCCGATTTTGTTTTAACTCCTACGGTGGCCAATGTAGTCCAAGATTAACATGGCTTCCAGTTCGACCTCGTCCATGAGTGTTAACCTCAAACGTAAACGCGAAAGACGAAGCTTGAATTAACGGTTATGTCCCTCTTTAGCTAATGTACATTCAAGATGGCGACCGACATTAGAACCCCTTACCCGTATGTATTTTCAATGGCATATTATACACTCACGTGAATACATTATTACTTGAACGAAGTAAATATACATTAATGAGCACATATATATTTGAAAGAACTAAGTGTTTTTAGCTAAGAATAAACTAAAAGAGTTACACAGTGTAGCTTTAAAATGACACTTTTACGTGTCTGTGTGCACACTCACATTGGCGCCCTTTTGTTTAGTCACGAGGCGTTAAACGTCAGCGAATAACACTCGTGAAATTCGTTGTGAACAGGCCTTTATGTCGCATTCCAGGCAACCTGTAACCCCTGTTTTTCCGAACTTATACCGTGTAACGGCAGTCAAACCCGTGACTTCCCACCCGTGAACTCGTACTAGATTCATGTAGTCCCGGTTACAAGATCTGACGTCATGTAGCCCGCGAAACCATACAAAACAACAATGGCACCCCAACGGATGCAGTGTTTCTGCAGGCGGTACACGGTTAGATTACACTTTAGGACAATATAACGTTAACTAGTTTTCAGTCCATTGAGTGCAAGGATAAATTAATACCAATATTTACAAATATACAAATAAAGTAAAATAAAAGCTAGAACAGCTTATGCGCCATGCAATTCTGATTATTTTTTTGCACTTTGGAATTTATTACTCCCAATTCATATATTTCTGTCTCTGAATTGTGATATGAGCTCGGAAATGCGAGTTTTAAAGTCCGAATTGTGAAAAGAAACTCACAATTGTGAGAGATAAAGTCAGAATTGTGGGATTAAAAGTTGCAATTACCTTATTTTTTTTTATTGTATTGCAGAAACAAGCTTCCATATGAACGAGGGCTTACATCTGACATATATATGATGTGTGTATTTGAGTGTTTTTGAATGAAGTCAGGTAGAGCCAGATGCAAGCATTTGACCACTCATGGTGCTGTAAACATTAATGATCATGAGAAAGGAATTTGTGCCTAGCAACCTAATGAAGCTAATTATCCATCATATCAGACGGATGGGGAACAGCCTGCAGTCCTCCGCTGCTAGGATATACTGTTCAGCTGCGAGATTCCCAATGGTCTGAATCTAAAGTTGAAACAGTATTTGATCTAAAGCATTTTCTACCAAATAACAGTCAGAGCTGATTAGGGTTTAATATCGTTTAAGGCACACTTGCTAGGGTTGGGCATTGACGCTTTTCATGATTCGATTTTGATTCACAAGCTTTCGACTCAAATTTGGGAATGTATCTGGTAAAGTACATGGGGAAATCTATGTCACGCCACAAAGTTTTGTTCTTTCATCAACTGAAAACCTCATAGTATATCTGTACAATTCTGGATAAATTGAGAATTTTTTTTAGTTTTCTTGTTTCAAATAGAGAGACCTTTTGCTACGTTTGCACCTCCCGTCCAGACTAAAACGGAAAAAACGAAGACCTAAAACGGCGACATTTAGAAACGCTGCAGCTCCGTTTTGCGTTTCGAATCTCCGGAGGGCGTTTTAGTGAAGACGGGTCAAAACGGAGGAGTTTAGAAATGATGACGCAGAGTCTCACGCTCTGCTCTATGATTGGGCGTCATCAGTCATGACGTGTCCTTCCCTGATTCATCAGTCAATCCGTTTACGGTTTACACCGGCATGCGCATGCCTACTGTTGGTGAATGGTCACGTGATCGGTGTTTTCAGTCCTTTAAATGTGGACTGAGATCAATTCTAATATGCAGATAAAACGCTGGTGTGGACGGTGATCGTATTCGTTCTCCGTTTTTGAACGAAAATGCAGTAGTGTGGGCGGGGCCAAAGATCACGATTCTCAAACGAGTTGAATTGTAATTTTTTGAATGAAGGATTCAATGACTCGCTTATGAAGACATCACTTGTTTTAATGTAAATAATACTGGATGAATCAGCTTTTGTAAAATGTATTTGTCATTGAATCATTCATTAAAGGGATTAATTTAAAGTCACTTGTCGCCACCTACTATCGTAACAACTCCTCATTTGAAGCGTCAAGTTTTTTTTTTTTTTTTTTTTTTTTTTAGCCTCCATAGACATCAGTGTTTATATCTGAACTATAAACTTATTTCAGTACTTCTGTGATTAATTTGAGTATTTGTAACGCACAACCATACTGTGATGTTGAAAAGACTGTTTGCGAAGCTGTTTCATACCTGCTTTCTCTTGCTCAGTGAAGCACCAACGCAGATTTGAGGTTTAATAGACACCGGTGAATCGTTGTCATTTAGGAATAAGATTGTGTAGGTTTTTCAATCGAGATTTCAATATAGCATGGACTAAAAGATCAAGTCTTGTGATTTAAGAATGGATATCGGTTCATCAAAATGACAATCGATTACAATTGAGAAATCAATATTTTGAACCGAGCCCTATAGTACTTGCCTCTTAACTTGCAGACCACAGAAATCAGAAGTAAACATTTTCTACTGTATATAGAAGAGTGCAGATCTGTCGGCCGTTCTCCACCAAAGCATCAGTACATGAACCTGATGTGGGCCAGTATTTAGTGCGATGTGAAACAAACTCTCATTTTTAAATATTGGCCCGTCAGCGATGCCATTTTGGTTTCTTAAAGGAGTAGTTCACTTTTAAAAAAAGCTTTTGCTGATAATTTACTCGCCCCCATGTCATCCAAGATGTCTATTTCTTTCTTCAGTCGAAAAGAAATTAAGGTTTTTGATAAACATTCCAGGATTTTTCTCCATATAATGGACTTCATTGGGAACCAAACGGTTCAAGGTCCAAAAGACAGTTTCAGTGCAAACTGTTCAAAGGGCTTTAAACGATTTCAGACGATGAATAAGGGTCTTATCAAGTGAAACGATCTCTCATTTAAACAAAATAACAAAGTTTAAGTTTTATAAGCACAAATGGTTGCCTTGCTCTGTTCTGTGATGCATGTTCGTGACTCTCCTGCAGTGTTGGGTGTAACTAATTACTAAGTATTTATTGAATTACTTTTCCCTTGAAAATGTAAAGAAAGGGATTACTCTTAATTTATCTGTAATTTAATTACAGTTACTTCTGACGTAATTGAGGTAAATACTGTTTATAGATCAATCCGATCTCACAGCGATTTGTATGCATTTTATGAGGTGTCTAAATTGTACGACCGCACCCCTACAAATTCGTATGAATTATTGTAAAATATGTATGAAAAAAGTGTGAAATGTCATGAGATCAGACATAAAACAATAGTGGGTTTAACATCAAAATGTATTGTCTGATGTTAAAAAGTATGTTTTTATAATGTTCTCCACCTTGGTCAGTTTAAGGATAATTCATGCAATTTTATAGTATTTATTTGAAAGAATTAAAACAGATTCATGTCTATCCTTGTATTATTCAGCTGGTTGAGATTGATATGGGATTTAGTAATTAAATACTTTCTACAGATAGTAACTATTACAGTAATCTAATTACACTTTTGAAGAGGTAATAAGTAACTAGTAATTAATTACTTTTTTTGAGTAACTTACCCAACACTGCTCTCCTGTTTGAACTCGTTCATCAAAATGAACAAATCTTTTTTTTCTAGTCATTTCGTTCGTTGAATTCAAATGACTCAAAGATTTGTTTATTTTGATGAACGAGTTTGAACAGGAGAGTCAGGATAAGACCCTTATTCATCGTCTGGTGTCGTTTAAAGCCCTTTGAAGCTGCACTGAAACTCTCATTTGGACCTTGAACCGTTTGGTTCCCATTGAAGTCCATTATATGGAGAAAAATCCTGGAATGTTTTCATCAAAAACCCTAATTTAGTTTCGACTGAAGAAAGAAAGACATGGACATCTTGGATGACACGGGGGGTGAATAAATTATTAGCAAAAGTTTTTTTTTTTTTTTTTTAAAGTGAAGTACTCCTCTTTTTTTCTTTTTTAACCATTTTTACAATCTAAATAACCCCTTTTCACTATAAAGATTGTGCAGTAAAAAGAATCCAATCCATGGATGTTTAATGTTTTATAGGTTCCCAAGCAGACTTGCTCTTCAAATGGTTGTCTCACTTCTCTCGTATTGCTTCCCTTTCAGTCAAAAGTATAAAGAAAGTCTTGGACTCCCGCCGAAACTTGTCATTGGATATCAAGCCCATGCAGACACTGCAACCAAGAGCAACTCCATAACCAAAAACAAGTTTGTTGTATAAAAGTAGGCTTTAGTTTGATCCTGTTGCAGGGGCCTAGATGTTTATATTGGTGTACGATTAGTATTCTTGTATTCAGATGTTTTTGTTACTTTGTGTGGGTGTAACTTGTGGCATTTAAATTCACATTGATAAGATGCAAGACTTTGTAAATGTTTTAGTTGTACTTTTTTGTGGTGTTGAAGGGCTATAAAATGCCAAGACTTTATTTAGTTTATTTTTTTGAAAATTAAAACGATCTACTTTTGCAAATGTTTCTATGGCTGGATGCATGTGTGCAAAGAAAATGGTTTGGCTTTCCTTTTAAGTTAAAAAAAAGTCTGCAAAATATGCTGCACTGCTCATTTCAAAGAAGTTTGGATGGATGGAGATCAGGTTTTTTTTATTGTTAACCTTTATTTAACCAGGTTGTTCATTGAGATGTAAAACCTCTTTTCCAAGAGAGACCTGGACATGTGTGATTTATTGGAAACCAGGACCAACCCTTTGGTCTATTGAGTTTACTATATCAATAAGGTGATTTTTGAAAGTTATCAGCGTGTTGGTGTTATCAAAGTTGCTTATTTGGTTAGTTACCTGGAGTGTAGAAGCTAAGCTTTCATTAACACTTTATAATAAGGTCTCATTTGTTAACATTTAACAATGTTTTAACAAACTTTTTTAATGTTAATGTAAACTTCGTTTTTTTTGTTCATGTTAGTGCATTAATAATGTTACCAATACAATATTAAAAGCAATTTGTTTAATATGGAAATGAACTAACATGGATTAAAGGAGTAGTTTACTTTTTTTTTCATCAAAAAAGGTTTTTGATGAAAACATTCCAGGATTGTCTCCATATAATGGACTTCAGTGGGAACCAAACGGTTCAAGGTCCAAAAGACAGTTTCAAGTCATTTCGTTCATTTTGTTCGTTGAATCAACCAAATGACTCTGGGAAAAAGATTTGTTCATTTTGATGAACGAGTTCGAACAGGAGAGTCACAAATGCGCATCACAGAACAGAGCAAGGTGACCATTTAAGCTTATAAAACCTAAACTTTTTTTTTTTTTAAATGGCCGTTCGTTTCACTAGATAAGACCCTTATTTATCGTCTGGTGTCGTTTAAAGCCCTTTGAAGCTGCACTGAAACACTCATTTGGACCTTGAACCGTTTGGTTCCCAATGAAGTCCATTATATGGAGAAAAATGCTGGAATGTGTTCATCAAAAACCTTAATTTCTTTTCGACTGAAGAAAGAAAGACATGGACATCTTGGATGTCATGTGGGTGAGTAAATTATCAGCGAAACTTTTTTCAAAAGTAAACTACTCCTTTAATAAATGCTGCACAGTATTGTTCATTCTTAGTCCGTTAAAGAAATTAACTATTGTTAACTAATGAAACCTTATTGTAAATTGTTCCCAATCTTCCTAGGAAACTCAAACCAGGTTTCTGTCCAGAAGATTTCTTTGTTTAAAGGAATTTGAGTCTTAATCTCAAGGCTCTGCGTGTGTTAATTAAAATATAGTTTTGGGAAAAAGGAATAATGATTCTTGAATATGTCAATGAACCTGGGTTGGTACAGCAAGGCATGGTTCAACAACCGTAACCATTTGTTGAATTATATTAATTAATTATATCTTGCGAGTGATCTTATGATCCTGCCAATTACGGTGTGTCTATTTGCACTAAGTGTAAAGAGCCTGTCTTGTTGGGAAAGGCAATTTACACTAACTCTGCCCACTAATGTTAGGCTGGACCACACAAGATTAAAAAAAATGAGTTCAAATACGCCTTTTGCCATTTATCATTTATTTTCAATAAAAATAAAGAAAATATTTGAAAAGTGTAAGGGAAATAGAGTGCTTAGCAACTGTTTAATATCGGTTAGGGTGAGGTGTTGTCCATTTAATAATGTAGTCATTTACACTATTACTGCATCCTGTTAATGTACAACAATGCTGAGGTGCAAGAAGTATACATAGTGTAAATTCAATATATCACTGTATTCACTTAGTGTAAATAGCATCTATACTATAGATATTTGCAGTTTAACTTTAAAATGGTCTTCATTTCCTGTTTACACTTCTGGGCTTCGGGGGCCAAAACGACCCCAACAATTGATTGAGTAATTGTACAAAAAATATGCATTTTTAATCATACAAATAATATATAATTTTTTCATTAATGCTGTGTTTTGGAGATATAAAGTACTTTTGTATCCATATACCACACAATTCCTCATTTTTTTTATGATGCATTGCATTTATGCTCTAGTACTAGGCCTTCATTTCTGTGTAAACATTTTCAGATTTATGCCGGATTTATACATTTAGCTTTTTTTTTTTTTCACATTTCCCATTCATTTCAATGTGGGGTCACATTGACCCCGAAGACGAGAAGCGTGAACATTTTTTTACATGCCTTCAGAACAACCGAATCAAGCCCAGTTTTTTGTGTGTATAGATAGATAATGTATGAAAAGTCACAAAATCTTACTCCACTGAGATGAAGGGAACCTTTTTTTTATTAAGTAAAAGTCGATTGGGGTTGTATAGACCCTATGACCCGATTGAGGGCTACATAGCATCTATTGCAAAGAAAATATGCTATTTTCACTTGTAAATAGTGTCTTGGTGTAATTGCCTAAAAATTAGAAGGGGACAAATTTGGATCAGCACTTTTAAAGTTGAAACTAGTAGCTACACTGATAAAAATGATTTTTTGGTGAGGTAAATACTACAGAAAAAAAAACAAAACAATGTAATTTACATGAAAAAGGTTAGTTCAGGCAAGAATTTTAAAAAATAAGTAAATTCTATAGTAGAATTCAATTCAATCGTGTTGAAATGAAAGCGTAAATATTAACATTATAAAATTAAGTAAAATTACTAAACTTTTCTGATAGTGGCGTTCCCATCATGCACTGGGCCATGAATGATTAATGAGGTTGTTTTTCACTGTTTTCCAGCTGTATTTACACTATTTCATCATTACTTTTGTTAGGATTAGTAATTTGCCATTTTCTGACATTTGGAGTTCATTTTCTACTTAAAATGACACATTCAAACACAAAAACGATCTATCAAATGTTACCGTCATTGTGTATCGTCTACCAAGTATTGAGGTCTGCATTCACACATGCGATATCAATAGTGAAGACATGATGAGACACACTGCAAGTATTGATTACTTAAAAAGTGTGGTCTAATTTAATGTTATATGGATAGAGTGAAATGTTGTATTAATAAAAATTCAATTAAATAGAATAGATATCACTTAATCTTTGATTAGCTAAGTAAAAATTACTTAATTTCGTATGTTTCTTTCATTTAACCTAGTTAAGTATAGTTTACTTAATTATATGTGTGACATTTAGTCAAAAATATCAGTGCAAAAACTTGCCTTGAAAAAATTAAGTAAATGTTACTTATTGTTTTTTACAGTGTACTTTTGGGTACATTTATTTATTTATTTATTTATTTATTATTTTGGCCTTTGTTTCAGAGATATTTCTGCTAAGACGTTCAGCTAGGCTCACTTTTGTTTTTTTGTATGCGAATCTGCATTACGGAACGCCTATTCTTTTGCTATTGAAGTGTGGTGACCATTTTAATATTTCAGCCATGTTGTGTGAGGTGAGTGAAATAGGAGTGACCACAGGATGACCAAAACCAGCCAGAGGAAATGGACTGATGTCTCTGGTTAATGTTTAACCCTTCTCATAGGAACAGCACACACAGTCACAGCACTCAGCATTAATGGAGGAACTCAAAAAATGATCTAACATTCAAAGCAGAGGCAAATAAGAGAGAATAATGATTCACATAATTAGGTTTCAGCACTACCAACAGTTGGTCGTTTCTGTTGTGAATTGTTTGTCTTGACCCTCACTAGGTGTTGCGTGAAGAGATCTTTTTGTATGGAATTTGTGACTTGATGCTTTTGTCACTAAGGTAAGTGTCTTTGTTTTGAATACTTATATAATGCAATATGAATTATATAATGCTTTTTAAAAATATTTTCAGTTGTGATGCCTGCTTCTGTGCAAGGAAAAGCCAATAATGTGCAATCTACCTTGCTACGTTGCAGAGGGAACGATTTTAAAGTGGGGTTTAATCTGCATTGTCTGTGGAGTTTTGAGCACATTTGGCATTAAATCTTGAAACTAAGTTCGTAAAACTATTCTTAAATTGCTTTTCTGAAATTTCTATTCTGAAAAATGTGTGTAATTCTTCATGAATGAGGCCAATTGTCATTACATTGTACAAAAAAACTAGATTATGAGTGTCATTTATCCTCAAACTTCAACTTTTATTGATCAATACTCTCTGAATTTGCAGATGCACCCCATTCTCTGAATGTTAAACCACCCTTAACCTTTTTTCCAGAGACTTGACCAGTTTTTGTGGAATAGCCAGATCCTGCTGGAGCATATTTCCAGAGTTAATGAGCTGGATTCTGAAGCGTTACACCTGGGAAGTGACTCTAAACTGGCCATAGTATCACACAGAGATCCAGCAGTGGGAAGGTTAGTCATGTGGAACTCCGTCTCAACCCAAGAGAAACCATGCGGATATTTTCAGATATTAACAAAATTGTGATGTCCACCAACACGGTGAAACTGTCATTAAGGTTAAAAAAAATACAAGCTCATCCTTTCATATTTTAATTCTGCTAGTGGTGTGAACATCTAAAATAAGATGGCTCTATTGCAATTATTAGACCAATGTTGCGTAGAAATATTAACTCTTGAGTAGAGCCAGACCGATATATCGGCCGGCCGATATTAGGCATATCGGTATCGGCAGTTATAATGGCCGATAAATTAATATTTAAAAAATAAAATAAAAATGAACGAAACACGCTTCAATCATCTCTCCTTGGCCTGTTATATTGAAAATGTATGTTTTACAATTTGCAGTATGATGTTATCTATTGCTAAATTATGGCTCATCATAGACTAGCTAACCACAAAGCTAGCTAATGCCACTATCATCAGTGGAAGACCGCTAACGTTAACATTAATGAGCTTGGAAACCACAATGAACTTTTTCTGCCTAAATAAAGTAATGATTACTGTATTTATAACCAGCATATCTCTAGTTACAGTCCCTGCATTGTAAAATGTAAGTTAGACTTGCGAGGAGTGAACATTTAGACAGAGAGAAAAAGTATCAAACGTATCTTGTGCAGAAAAGTTAGCTTTTCTTTTACACGAGTGTGAAATCCAACATTTAATAAAAAAAAAATATCGGCCGATATATCGGAATATCGGTTTTTAAAACCCAAAAATATTTGTATCGGTATTGGCCTTCAAAATCCTTTATCGGTCGGGCTCTACTCTTGAGAGTACAAACAAATATTAAAAATGACAAGTTGTAGTTAATTCAGTGACATTACTTCTATTTCATTCACCATGGAAGGTCAAGTTGAGCTCATACATCATAAAGGGTACAGCATTACAGAGCACTACACAACTTCACACAGTTGTTAAAGGGGTGGTAAAGTGTGATTTCACTTTTCTAACTTTAGTTAGTGTGTAATGTTGCTGTTTGAGCATAAACAACATTATCAAAGATACAACGCTCAAAGTTCAAAGCAAAGGAAGATATTTATGACCACAACAGATGGCTGGTAGGGACTACACGAGCTTCCTCCCGGGTTGGTGACGTCACCAACCGTAAAATGTGCATAAGCCCCGCCCCTGGGAACATGCAGTCCATGTTGAGAAGAGGAAGAGTGGTTGTATAATAGAGTACATTTGTGAGTCAGCTCAAACTTTAACATCCATCTTTTCACATGCAACAGAAAGTCACTCTGTGTGCATCTCACAACAGTTCCTATATGAGCAATTTATAGATTACATGACAGAATATCCTAATTGAAGATAGTTAACTCCACATCAGCAACATAAATTCATCAACTAACCATTCAGAGATGTCCTTTTGCATTCTACATGTTGTCACTTCTTGTTGAGTCTCTCCATCTTTGACTGACTCCATTTCTGTCATTTTAGTGTGAGGAAAAAATCAGGTTACACTTTATTTCGATAGTCACTTTAGACATTCTACTAACTATAAGTAACTTTTCAACTACATGTCAACTAAGTGTCATTAGAGTATTAGTAGGCTGTAGTAGACTGTCAGTAGACTGTTAGGTTAGGGTTAGGTGTTTGGGTTCAGATTAGGAGAATAAGTTTACTTGTAGTTGCTAAGTTACTTAATAGTCAGTTGAATGTCTGTTGGGGGACCAACAAAATAAAGTGTTAGCAGATATTAAGCTGACAGTCCACTAATACTATAATGATAGTTAGTTGACATGTAGCGGCAAAGTTACTTATAGTTAGTTGAATGTCTAAAGTGGACTATCAAAATTAAGTGTTACCAAAAATCGCAGCTGCTAACACACAAGCTTTTGAAACCCCGCCCTCTGCAGCAGCTCATTTGCATTTAAAGGGCCAGTCACAAAATTTTAACATGCTATATAAAAATATCTGTGGGGTATTTTGTGCTAAAACGTCACACACACACTCTGGAGACATCCGAGATTTAGTTTACATCTTGTGAAAATGGCATTTTACCACCCCTTTAAATTTTTTTCATTTCTCATCAAAGTAGTTTTTTTTTAATAGTTTTTATATATTGATTCAAAATTAATAACTAAGAACACTAACAAATGTCATGTTTATTATATTTAACAGATTGTCAGCTGTTCTTTTAATAATGAACTTAAAGGAGTAGTTCACTTATAAAAAACAACAACTTTTTGCTGATAATTTACTCACCCCCATGTCATCCAAGATGTCCATGTCTTTCTTTCTTCAGTCGAAAAGAAATTAAGGTTTTTGATGAAAACATTCCAGGATTTTTCTCCATATAATGGACTTCAATGGGAACCAAATGGTTCAAGGTCCAAAAGAGAGATTCGGTGCAAACTGTTCAAAGGGCTTTAAACGATTCCAGACGATGAATAAGGGTCTAATCAAGCGAAACGATCGCTCATTTAGAAAAAAAATAACTAAGTTTTATAAGCTCAAATGGTCGCCTTGCTCTGTTCTGTTATGCACGTTCGTGACTCTCCTGTTCTAACTAGTTCATCAAAATGAACGAATCTTTTTTCGAGTTGACTTGGGAAAAGATTCGTTCATTTTTCAAGATTCAAGATTCATTCATTCGTTCTTATAGAAACTCCTTTCAAGTGGAAACATTTGCTAACAATGGGAATTTGCATTCAGAGTTGACACCTTTTGAGGGTCGGATGGCATTTGCCTGGATAGACAAACCCTCCTCTGTGGGAATCTTATCTCTAAACACTTAACTTTATTACCTTTTGGTTTGCTTCTGTGGAGAATGAGACATTTGTACCAGTCGCACTGAGACTTTTCAAACGATAATTGATAAGACAAAGAAAAAAAAAAACGTTTGTCTAGAGCGAGGCGTCGGAATAAGACGAGAGTCAACATCGGGAAGGCTTTCAACAAACGGAGAGATCTCCGGTCTGCTCTCGGGCTCAAACGGGTCCTATACAAAGTAATAACTTACATTGTTCATGAATGAACGTGTTTCCATAGTAATACAATCATAAGTGGATACAGTAAACACAAAACATTTCAACATGGAGATAGATGGAAACAAAAACCGAAGTAATTTACTCGAATGCCTTTCCTTTCATATATTTAAATTGACTTGCAGATTTATAACTTTATTACCTCTGAAGACATTATGACTGTAACAAAAGATTTGTGTGGCTGACGCTCCTTCGGTTATGATCAGCTTGTTCAAGCGTGCGTGTGTGTGTGTGGTCCATGAGCGTTCACACCTGTGGTTGCAGTTTCACTTCTCGCCAGAGGGGGCGTAGTTCTTCAAAAACTCAGAGACTTGCGCAATGCACCTTTAAGGAGGCACTGCTTGAAGGATAACATCACACAAGCAAGGCAGCAGAAAGTCCCTGAAAAATCCCCAGCCCTGTTGAACGCAGTGATGCATAAAGAAATTAATTTTGAACATTACCTTACAAACCTTTAAAGACAGGCCTACTGTCAGTTGATTGGTAATTGATGGTATATGATGAGGCCATTTTAAAAAAAAAATACTTGTAATCAACAGCAATATTCTGGTGAAATAAACAAATTATCTATGATTCTGCAAAGAAATCTCCACCAATCTGAAAATCGCGACAAAGGGATAAGATCGAATTCAAGAACTGTTGTATCAGTATTAACATTGTTTTTATTGTTTTGTTCAATTAACTAATCACTTTTATTTTTTCTTTAGGAATATTCAGCATTCAACCAATCACTGTGTGGCGAACCAAAAAATCAATCTGCTGTAATTTCCTTTCATGGGCCGTGGTTTCCTCAATCCATCACATAATGAACAGGAAAGGAACTTACTGGAGGAAGGAATTGAAGGATCAACAGATCCGCAAATAAACCCGTACATGATCAGCAATGTGGGTAGACTCCCCAGCTCCTTCACCACTCACAAATGTGTTGGTGCATCTGACACTTTGCAAATCTGTTGATTCCAGCAACTAAAGAATTGGTTTAAAAAGAAAAATACTGATTGAAGAAACTAGTTTGAACTCCTGCCAACATCAACCTTGCTCCATGAAGGCCGCATTAGAAACCAACTGAAGCAATGAGGTGTCAACTGAAGTATTACTTGCATTACTTGGTTCTGTTGGGCTTCAGCTGTGTAATTTCTACCTATGGCCCGTATCAGAGGGCCCAGAAGACAGGAGACATACTGCTGGGGGGGCTTTTCCCGATACACTTTGGGGTGGCTTCCAAAGACCAGGATCTTGCAGCAAGGCCAGAGTCAACTGAGTGTGTCAGGTAGAAACACAACATGCTAAACTGGTTATTTTTTTTAAGTGGTTTGCAAGGTCTTTTCACTGACCTTTGGTAATTAACACAATATTTTGATGACTTACCCTTCACAGAATTTTGCGTTTTATGTATTTGGGGAAAAAATGTATTTTACAGCCACTGTTAAAGGGATAGTTCACCCAAAAATAAAAATTCGGTCATTAATTACTCACCCTCATGTTGTTCCAAACCTGTATGACTTTTATTCATTGAAGGTCTTTTTGATGAAATCTGAGAGTTTTATGTGCCTCCATAGACCTCTACACAACTACAGCTTCAAAAAATGAATAAAGAGATCCTTAACTAATACCATAGACTGTAAAAAATATGGACAAAGCGTCTCTGATGTCACCCATAGACTTATGGGGGTATGGGCGGCGCCATATTGGAAAATCTTGGGTATTACAAAATACGGAGGTGGTTTGATGTGTTGTGTCAGATCATGGCCAAGACGTCAAATTCCACTCTGCGCATCCCGTTATCAGCTGTCAATCAAAGTTAACCGCCCTTATTTGTCATAAATTTTATATCTAAATACGATCTAAACTAACGAGTTAGAAAAAAATTCACCCCCCTCATAGTTGTCGGGCACCCGGAACCTATCGAAAAATACAATAAATGTCCATGGGACCAAACTGTAAAAGCATGAATTTATGCTGTAACATGCTGTCTATGGATATTTGCTCCATTTTGGGACCTCCCTCTAGCGGATTTTAGATGTATTGCGGTTTTTCGCACTTCCGGGTCGGGTAGGCTTCATTTTTCAGATTAGAATGTTGCCGCTTGAGTAATCCAAATGAATCGAGCGGTTTCAATTGCTTTATATGATGAACAGATTGAATTTAGGCTTTTATTCACATAAACATTCATCAACTCACACATCAGTGGTAAACGAGAACCAATGAACCAATAAGGTTCATTCTCGTGTTGCGCATCACGTTTGAGGTTTGTTCTCGTGCATCAAACAGGTTCAGTTCAGCTTCTGTTTATGTTTGCTGATCAATGTTTAAGTGTGAATAAAATCCTAAATTAATTTTGTTCATCAGAGAGAGAAAGCTCTCAGATTTCATCAAAAAGATATTAATTTGTGCTCTTAATATGAATAAGTCAGGTTTGGAACAACATGCGGGTGAGTAATTAATGAAAGAATTTAAATTTTTGGGTGAACTATCCCTTTAAGAACTTTAATCAGCATAGAAAGCCATATTTAGTATGAGGTAAATGAAAACACAGCTGTAAGACTTACTTTGCTAGTTTTTGTTAGCTTAAATATACCAAGTATGTCCATCTCACAGCCTGTTTTCTTTCGTGTTAATTCTAGGTCCATTCCTCTTTGTTTAACTTGACTACTTTAAATGACAAATATGACTCAAATTTGAGTCTTTATAGAATTACACTTTCTTTTTCCAGGTATAACTTTCGTGGATTCCGTTGGCTACAATCTATGATCTTCGCTATAGAGGAGATTAACAACAGCTCTACTCTTCTTCCAAACCTCACGCTTGGCTATCGTATATTTGACACATGCAACACTGTCTCGAAGGCCCTGGAGGCGTCGCTAAGCTTTGTTGCACAGAATAAGATCGATTCGCTCAACTTGGATGAGTTCTGTAACTGCACAGGGAACATCCCATCAACCATTGCAGTGGTTGGGGCGTCTGGATCTGCAGTGTCTACAGCAGTGGCTGACCTAGTGGGCCTCTTCTACATTCCTCAGGTGCTTTTGCATTTTAACATCAATTAGAGTATTTTCTGTGGGAAATTAAAAAGTAACAAATGGGCTTGGTAAATGTATTATGAATCAGTTCATTTTGGAAGAAAGTTTTAAAGACAGTTGCATTACTGGATTACCATTACTGGAAAAAATACACGCTTTAAGGCAAGACACCACAAGGTAATTGGGTAAAGGGGATTTTAAAGGGATAGTTTCACGTTGAAATTAATTTTTGGTATGTTTTAGCTTACCTCAAGGGCATCCAAGATGTAGGTGTCTTTGTTTCCGCAGGAGTTTCAATTTTGATATTTTTAGGTCAAACCGTTTGTGTCTGTCAGTCATATAATGGAGGTCTATGGTCACCACCTCAAAGAGCATGCACAGAGAAGTCCAAATTAAACATGATTTAATGACTCATAAATGTAAGTACACACTGATGGCCTAAGACACGAAACGAGCGGTTTGTGTGAGAAAACGAACAGTATTTATATCGTTTTACCTCTTGTAACCACAGCCACGTCCAAGTGATCTGAAGGCGCTTTGTGGCTAAAACAATATAAATACTGTTCGTTTTCTCACACAAACGTTTCGTGTCTTAGGCCATTAGTGTGTACTTACATTTACGAGTCATTAAATCATGTTTAATTTGGACTTCTCTGTGTATGCTCTTTGAGGTGGTGACCATTCTTGATCATTCTTTCTTCAGTCGAAAAAAATGAAGGTTTTTGATGAAAACATTCTAAGATTTTCTCCATATAATGGACTTCAATGGAAACCGAACGATTCAAGGTCCAAAAGACAGTTTCAATGCAAACTGTTCAAAGGGCTATAAACGATTTCAGACGAGGAATAAGGGTCTTATCAAGCGAAACGATCGGTAATTTAAAAATTTTTTTTTACAAAGTTTAAGTTTTATAAGCTCAAATGCTCGCCTTGCTCTGTTCTGTGATGTGCGTTCGTGAGTCTCCTATTTGAACTTGTTCATCAAAATGAATCTTTTCCAGAGTCAACTTGTTCATTTTGTTCGTTGAATGAACCAAATGACATGAAAAACGTTTCGTTCATTTTGATGAACGAGTTCGAACAGGAGAGTCACGAACGCGCATCACAGAACAGAGCAAGGCGACCATTTGTGCTTATAAAACTTAAAGTTTTTTTTTTTTTAAATGAGCGATCGTTTCGCTTGATAAGACCCTTATTCATCGTCTGAAATCGTTTAAAGCCCTTTGAACAGTTTGCAGTTTGCACTGAAACTGTCTTTTGGACCTTGAACCGTTTGGTTCCCATTGAAGTCCATTATATGGAGAAAATCCTGGAATGTTTTCATCAAAAACCTTCATTTCTTTTCGACTGAAGAAAGAAAGACATGGACATCTTGGATGACATGGGGGTGAGTAAATAATCAGCAAAAGTTTTTTCAAACGTGATCTAATCCTTTAAGTATTTTCCTCAATGCTTGAAAAGAAAAAAAGAAAAATCCTATGGCTTTGGAGGACTTGTGTCCTTTTTGGAGCTTGACAGATATGGTCTCAATGAATTGTCATTTTCTGAAAAATGAACTGTCCCTCTCCTCTACTTTCTTTCAGATCAGCTATGCTTCATCCAGTCGCCTTTTGAGCAACAAGAATCAGTACAAATCCTTCATGAGAACAATCCCCACAGACGAGTATCAGGCTATTGCTATGGCTGCCATCATTGACCACTTCCAGTGGAACTGGGTGATTGCCATCGCCTCTGATGATGAATATGGCCGTCCGGGTATTGAAAAGTTTGAGAATGAAATGTTTCACAGGGACATCTGCATCGATCTCAATGTTTTAATTTCACAATACATTGACGAAGCTGAGATTCGCCGCCTGGCGGACCGCATCGAGAACTCAACCGCCAAGGTCATTGCTGTGTTTGCTAGCGGACCAGATGTGGAGCCACTTATTAAAGAGATGGTGAGGCGAAACGTCACAGACCGGGTCTGGTTGGCGAGTGAGGCGTGGGCCAGCTCTAGCCTGGTCGCCAAGCCAGAGTACATCGATGTCATGGGAGGAACGATTGGCTTTGCGTTGAGGGCTGGACACATACCCGGCTTTAAAGAGTTCTTACAGCAAGTCCATCCAAAGAAGTCCAGCCATAATGAGTTTGTGAGGGAGTTTTGGGAGGAGACTTTTAACTGTTACCTAGAAGATAGTCCAAGGAACGAGGACAGTGAAAATGGCAGTACAAGTTTCAGGCCTCTGTGCACTGGTGAAGAGGACATTGCAAGTGTAGAGACTCCGTACCTGGACTACACGCACCTAAGGATTTCTTACAACGTGTACGTGGCTGTTTATGCCATAGCACAGGCACTTCAGGACATACTTACCTGCACACCTGGAAAAGGGTTGTTTGCTAATGGCTCTTGCGCTGACATTAGGAAAGTTGAAGCGTGGCAGGCGAGTTACTTACTCGCCATACAACATAGGCTCCCCTCTTCTCTTTTCAATTCTAGGAAAGTCTCATACAAATGTAATGATATTCATAAACCTATCTTTTTTATTCTAAAAGGTTCTGAAACAGCTGAGACACCTCAACTTCATAAACAGCATGGGGGAGAGGGTGCGCTTTGACAACGGCAGTGAGCTCTCAGCAAATTATACCATCATAAATTGGCATCGATCACCTGAGGATGGGTCTGTTGTGTTTAAGGAAGTTGGTTATTACAGCATACATAACAAGAACGGGGCCAAACTTTCCATCGACAAGACAAAAATACTGTGGAACGGCCGTCTTACTGAGGTAAGCAACAGTACCCGAATTTCTTGCCACTTAGATTAGAGGAAATGTTATGCTTTTATTAAAGCGATAGTTCGCCCAAAGATGAAAATGATGTCATCAGTTGCTCAAACCCATTAGACTTTCGTTCATCTTCAAAATACAAATGAAGTTAATCTGAGCGCCCATTGAAAGTCTATTAAAGGGATACTTCACCGTTTTTTCATATTAAACTAGGTTATTCCTAGCCTGACTAGTGAGAATATGAGTCTGAAACTGCTTCATTGGGCTTTGATTATGAAGCATGTCTTACATTTATTATTTAAACAAAAATATATGCCTTTATTTTAAATAATTTAAAAAGTTTACAATTTAATCATTTATTTAACTAATTTTAAAAATAATAAGGCTCTATGAACCAGGAAAAAAAAACAAAAAAACAAAAAAAACAACAACAAACATTTTTTGTCTGATCATAATTACTCCTCAATGGATCGAGTCCAGACCGAACTTCCCGACCAAAAAATGTTGTGGGCGGAGCTCGGGCTGGCATATTCCCTTAACTAAGACGAGTACATACCTCTGTCGTTTCAATCGCTCTGGTGCGCGAGACACTATGATCGCACTTAACTAGCCCAGTTCATTCAATATGGGCCAAGCAGAGAAACGACCAAACACCTCCACATTTACCCTATTTAAATACAGTTAAACGAGCAGTGTAACTCGACCTAGGACGGTGACACAAAATAAAACGTTGCGCTTTTCTAAGCGTGTAAAATGTATAGCTATATTGTATGGCGGAATACTACAGCAAGTGCTTGGGAGCCAGCGATGCGCGGGTCAATGTATAAACAACCCGGACCCGACCGATGTTTTCAACTAACCCGCTCGCAACTCGGACCGCAAAAAAAGTATGAAAATATTCTGCCCGACCCGCTTACTGACCGCATTTTTTAAAAGTAGTAAATGCTCATCGTAGTGCCATTGGGCCATAGACGTGTAATGGCGTTTTCACACCGAACGCGAATTTAATTATTTGCGCGAGTAGATTACATACAAAGTCAATGCAAAGACGCGAATAGACGCATCATTCGCGCCGGGCGTTGCGAATGACGCGAATTGGGCGACGCGTTTGCCGCGAATGTCTTCCGCGCAAGTTGAAAAATTTTAACTCGAGCGAATGTTCAAGCGTCTACCTAGACGCATATTTGACGCTCTATTCGCGTTCGGTGTGAACACACCATAACATCTTAGCAAGAAGATGTAGTACACATAACAAAGCCAGCACTTTGGTCGTCATCTTTCATTATTTCGGCAAATGTCTCCCACACTTTTACTCTTTCTATTTGTGTATTTGCAGAGCTTACACTCCCCTGTCTTCACCTTTCACCTTTCTTGCTGCCTTCATCTCTCTGCAGACTGTAGTGATCATAGACATGGCCGGTTCGTGAACGAATCGTTGTTTTTAGTGAACCGTTCAAACCAGTACACTAAATCGAACTGAATCGTTCGAAACAGTTTGCGTCTTGCGTCAGTGCTGATCCACAAGTTACTAAAGTTATTCACTTTCAGACATGCCTGACAGTCCCTCCGAATCAAAATAAACCATTATCCTGAATTATATTTTACTTCAGTAACTCCATCAGTTCACTGAACTGAGACATGTTGGTGCCACTGAGAAGTGATGAGCACGAGCAGCTGATACTGCGCATCCGCGTACTACCGAACGCAGAGGTACTGCGGTTCTCGGATCACCAGTACAGAACCAAGAACTGTTTAGACTGAGCTTGTGTCATCTATGTGCCAGTTAATCAGCCAATAAACTGTAGGCTTATATATTTCATAGAAAATTGTGTCTAGTACTAAATAAATACAAAGGTTTAATTGGCATCTTTTTTCAAACGACCTGACCGACCGCGACCCGAATGTCATTAAAAATATTTTTGCAGTCACCCGCTCATTTTGGATCAACCCACGCATGCACTTCGACTCGGCGCATATATATTTATGGACTCGGTGTTGTAATATCATCACTCTGGAGAGTGAGAGAGGACTTTTCACGAGTGATGATATTACTACGCCGAGTCGAAGTGGTCCCAAGCACTTGCTGTGGTATTCTGTCATACATTATAGTTATCCACTTTACACGCTTAGAAAAACGTTTTATTTTGTGTCACCGTCCTAGCTCGAGTTACACTGCTCGTTTAACTGTATTTAAATAGGGTAAACGTGGAGGTGTTTGGTCGCTTCTCTGCTTGGCCCATATTGGATGAACTGGGCTAGTTATGTTTGATGAAAGTGTCTCGCACGCCAGAACGATTGAGCGCACAGAGGTATGCATCGACTCGTCTTAGTTAAGGGAATTACATAGTTTAATATGAAAAAACGGTGAAGTATCCCTTTAACTCTGATGCTTCAAAACGTTCAAATCGTGATCTCTTCATTTAAGAAATCCATATGTATTGAGTAGTTTAATCAAAGTCTTCTGAAGAGACACAATCTCTTTAAGTATTTAAATAACAGAGCACATAGATCACTCAAATTAAATAAACTCGAGCTTTACATGCGAGAACCGGTAGAGCCAGACCGATATATCGGCAGACCGATATTATCGGCCGATATTAGGCATTTTCCAAACTATCGGTATCGGCAGTTATAATGGCCGATAAATGAATATTTCAACAATAAAATTAAAACGGACGAAACACGCTTGAACCATGTCATGAGTGTTGGAGTTGTATAGTTTGTCCACCAGAGGGCACTCTGCACCGTTCCTGTTGGCAACACTCGTTGAGTTGGTCACGATACATACATTCCTTGAATAACAATTAAAAGAACATCCCCATCAGTTCTCTTAACTCAAATAAGCATGACAAAATTTGTGACTATCATGTCCAGTTTAAAAAAATAAAATAAAATAAAATATCGGCCGATATACCGGAATATCGGATTTTAAAACCCAAAAATATTTGTATCGGCCTTCAAAATCCTTTATCGGTCGGGCTCTAGTTCATTCTTGTGTCACGCCAACACATTTGAGCTTCCTCACGAAACAATGATTTTGTTCTCATGCGTCAAGCAAGTACGTTTGAGCTTCCGTTTACCATATTTGATGTGTTTTATTTATGTTAGCTGACCAATGTTTATATGGGAATTTTTAACCCTTTAACTAATGGCAAACCCAAAGGAATCCTTCTCCAGTCATTTTACAGCAGCAAATGTGACTTGTTTTATTACATGAGCCAATTCATTTTTTCTCTTTTCTCTGCCAGGTACCATTTTCCAACTGTAGCGACGAGTGTGAACCAGGAACCAGAAAAGGAATTATTGATGGCAAACCCACATGCTGCTTCGAGTGCACAGAGTGCTCAGATGGGGAGTACAGTGATCATAAAGGTTAGCAAAATTAATAATTCAGCAACTTAATATCTATTAGAACAGTCATTTTGTTTTGCTGGTGGAAGCAGCAATGGTGGAAAGAGACAGTATTAAAGTATACAAAGTAGTTTTAAAAGTAGTTCACTTTTAAAAAAAACTTTTGCTGATAAATTACTCACCTCCATGTCATCCAAGATGTCCATGTCTTTCTTTCTTCAGTCGAAAAGAAATTAAGGTTTTTGATGAAAACGTTCCAGGATTTTCTCCATATAATGTACTTCATTGGGAACCAAACAGTTCAAGGTCCAAATGAAGAGTTTCAGTGCAGCTTCAAAGGGCTTTAAACGACACCAGACGATGAATAAGGGTCTTATCTAGGACCCTTCGAGTCATGACTCGAAAAAAGGTTTGATCATTTTGATGAACGAGTTTGAACAGGAGAATCACAAACACTCATCATAGAACAGAGGAAGGCGAGCATTTGAGCTTATAAAACTTAAACTTTGTTATTTATTTTTTAAATGAGTGATCATTTCGCTAGATAAGACCCTTATTCATCGTCTGGTGTCGTTTAAAGCCCTTTGAAGCTGCACTGAAAATCTCATTTGGTCCTTGAACCGTTTGGTTCCCATTGAAGTCCATTATATGGAGAAAAATTCTGGAATGTTTTCATCAAAAACCTTAATTTCTTTTCGACTGAAGAAAGAAAGACATGGACATCTTGGATGACATGGGGGTGAGTAAATTATCAGCAAAAGTTTTTTTTTTTAAAAGTGAACTACTCCTTTAAACGCCATCATGGTAACACACATGAAATTTTAAAAATGCAATAAACACTAATTTAACAACATTACATGTAACATAAAAACCTTATGTACTTAACTGGTTAGAAAAAAACTAAGAAAACTATGAAGAAACAGGTATTTCAACAAAAAAAAAAAAACATAAAATGTGAAGTGTCACGCAGGGAAATGTGGGAATGTCAAATTACGTTTTTTCACTGTAAATTATACAATTAGTTCTTTTTCACTTTCAGAAACTGTAAATTTAACAGTATTTTACAGTTAAATTACATTAAATGTACCGTTAGATCTATCACAGTTTTTTACCGTTTATAGTAAGGAAACTTTCTTTTGCACTGTCTTTTACCATTAAAATCACAATCATTTTTTACAGACTGGATTTTATTAACCAGCATTAACAAAGATTATTAAATGTAAAGACTGTATTATTAATAATTAACTGAAACATTAACTAATGAATTGAGACCTTATTGTAAAGTGTAAAGCTTTATTGTAAAGCTTGTTTCCGCCACTGAATAAAAAAAAAAAAAATAATTGCGACTTTTTATCTCACAATTGCGAGATATGAAGTCAGAATTGAGAAATAAAGTCCCAATTGTCAGATATAAATTCGCAGTTGCGTGTTATAAAGTCAAAATTGCAAGATACAAAGTCAGAATTACGAGATATAAAGTCAGAGTTGCGGATATAAAGTCAGAGTTGCGAGATATAAAGTCAGAATTGCGTGATATAAATATAGTCGGAATTGAATGATATAAACATGCATATATATATGCGACTTTATGTCTCGCACTTCTGACTTTATATCTCGTAATTCTGACTTTATAACACGTAATTGCGACATTATTTCAAGCAATTCTGACTTTATAACTCGCAATTGTGACTTTATATCTCGTAATTCTGACTTTATAACACATAATTGCGAGTTTATATGTCGATTTCAACATCTTTTATCAGAATTGTGAGATATAAACTCACAATTGCGAGTTATCAGGCCAATTCTAAGGGGAAAAAAAGATTAACTTATTCCCCCCTCAGACTATTCTGACTTTATAACACGCAGTTGCGACTTTATATCACGCAATTCTGACTTTATATCTCACAATTCTGAGAAATAAAGTCAGAATTGTGAGACGTAAACTCGCAATTGTGAGAAAAAAGTCCGAATTGTGAGATAAAAAGTCGCAATTACCCTTTTTATTTTTCATTTCGCGGCAGAAACAAGCTTCCATAGAATATTGTATTTTGTTCCTGAAAAACAATTAAAATCTATACTTTTCTTTTCTCCACAGATGCCAGTGTTTGCTCTAAATGCCCAAACAACTCCTGGTCTAACGGCAATCACACGTCCTGCTTTCTGAAGGAGATTGAGTTTCTGTCCTGGACCGAGCCTTTTGGGATCGCTTTAACCTTATTTGCGGTGCTTGGGGTCCTGCTAACAGCTTTTGTGTTGGGTGTTTTTGTGCAGTTCCGTGACACTCCAGTTGTGAAAGCATCCAACCGAGAGCTCTCGTTTCTTTTGCTCTTTTCGCTTATCTGTTGTTTCTCCAGCTCTCTTATATTCATAGGCGAACCACAGGACTGGACATGCCGTGTACGGCAACCAGCCTTTGGGATCAGCTTTGTGTTGTGCATCTCTTGCATTCTTGTTAAAACCAATCGTGTCCTACTAGTGTTTGAAGCCAAAATCCCCACCAGCCTGCACCGTAAATGGTGGGGACTGAACCTGCAGTTCTTACTAGTGTTCCTCTTCACGTTTGTCCAAGTGATGATCTGCGTGGTTTGGTTGTACAATGCTCCACCGGGGAGTTACAAAAACTATGACATCGACGAGATCATCTTCATCACCTGCAACGAGGGCTCCATGATGGCGTTGGGATTCCTCATTGGCTACACGTGCCTGCTGGCCGCCATCTGTTTCTTCTTTGCATTCAAGTCTCGAAAACTTCCCGAAAACTTCACGGAGGCCAAGTTCATCACGTTTAGTATGCTCATTTTTTTCATCGTTTGGATCTCCTTCATCCCCGCGTACTTCAGCACGTACGGCAAGTTTGTCTCAGCGGTTGAGGTCATTGCCATTCTGGCTTCCAGCTTCAGTTTGCTAGCCTGTATCTTTTTCAACAAGGTGTACATCATCCTCTTAAAACCATCCAGGAACACGACCGAGGAGGTTCGCTGCAGCACCGCAGCTCATTCTTTCAAAGCGGCGGCGAAGGCGACTCTACGACACAGCTCTGCCTCCAGGAAGCGATCAGGCAGTGTGGGGGGCTCCTCGGCCTCCTCGCCCTCTTCGTCCATCAGCATGAAGACCAATGGGAATGAAGCGGAGTCGCCCTCTACACGCAGACACAGTCAGAAACCGAGGGTGAGCTTTGGAAGTGGAACAGTCAGTCTCTCCTTGAGCTTTGAGGAGGCTAGAAAGAACTCGGTGAAGTGATTAATAAGAACTCGTGTTTCCGTCGTATCCGAAAGTCATTTTCTAGAATCAACCTCCACTAAATGTGAAAACAGACTAGTCTCTGTCAACAATGCTTAGACCTGCCAGAACTCATTTCGTGCAAGCCATTGGCACTTTTTACGTGTAAAATGTAACACAGAAGCAGATAAATAAAACAAAAACACCTGATTTATGTCTAATGTGATTGTCCAGTCCCTTGATAATAGTTGTACTAGGTCTCGTGTTTACATTTGAGCCAAAGGTTAACTGTCATGTCCGCCATTATATTTTAAAACAATAATATCTTATGAAAGACCTTAAGTAATATTGACAAAATATATATCATTTGAAAGCTTTAAATCTTAAAAATCCATATTTGGTGACTGATTTTCAAAATAAATTACAGAGGAGCTGTAATTTATCAATTTGCGACAAGAATATTTTCATACTCATAAAGCGTGTTCAGACCTTTATTTTGAAATAGCAATGAAAAATCATGAAAAAAAGGTAGAAACCTCAGTTTGTTTTTATGCAAATAGTTCAAAAGATTGCATCCATTCAATTATTTTAGAAAAAAAGGTCTGAAATTTTTTTTAAATATAAAGAAAACAATAATAAATTCACCATTTGTGATGTGGCAGGAAGCTATAACGCAAATGCGTGTTCTTTGTATGTGTTTCTTAGAGGTTGAATTCATATCAAAATCTGCCAAACTTCCCATACTACTTCTGAATAGGATCGCTACTTCATAGATTGTATGAAAATTGTGTAAATGATGGTTCATATCACTCAAAACACATCTGGAAATGGAGGCGCCCTTATATGGGCTGTAATGGAGTCTGGTTGTGCCCCAGTGGAAGCGTTCGGTACTGCGCCCAAACAAAATCTTACTGAAAGCGTATTTTTTGAGATATCAGGCTTAAATTTTAAACACAACTTATTCCGATTTTTGGCTTTGATTTTTCTGCAGTAGCTCTTTTTTTTTTTACCATAAACTCAATTTCAATTTTCAATTTCTTAATTTATTTCACTTCGACAAAAATCTGCCAAATGTCGTCTTTAAAACAAGACCAATTTTATGTCTATATTCCAAGGCATTCTTGAATTACAACCATTTAAGTTTGAAATGTGCATTTCCATGTCTATTTTTCATTTTGGAAGCTTTTTTGTACTTACAGACGTTTTATATACCATTCATACACTGTAAAAAATGATCCTGTAAAAAAAAAAAACGGTAAACTACTGGCAGCTGTGGTTGTCTGCATCATATTGTAACTATATGGTGTGTTATTGTTTATGTATTAGAGCATATATTATAGCTGTTAAATTAAAGTTTTATACTGTAGCTGACAATACAGTAGCTGTTAGTTTCAAAAACAGTAACAAACCGTATTTTTACAGTATGATGCTTTGCAACCACAGCTGCCAGTAGTTTACTACTGTTTTTTTTTTTACAGGATTATTTTGTGAGGTGCAATGTAAGACCTGAAGTGAACAATTAAACCATATAGATTTTTTGGAACAGGTGATTTCACAGATGGGGAAGGGAGAGAATTGTAAAAAGTGTGATCGTTTCTCGAATGGGGATAAGAGAGTTCAGATGTTAATTTTGTTGTTTTCTCAGAGACTTGCCCTCTCTTCAAGTTTTTCCAGTCTTACATTTTTGGAAACTGTTCTTAAACCACAATGGAACATTCAAAAAATGCATGCCATCATGCTTTGCCTGTTTTTAATTTCCAGAAACCTTGTTCAGAGAAGAGCTACAAGCACAAAGGGAAAGGTACAGAACCTGTAATACTGCTCATATCTACAGTACATCTCTGACTGCTTTTCTGAGAACGCGACTTCAAAGCATTAAACACTGGCAAGTGAAGGCCTTTTTCTAGCAAAAGGGAATGTGTAGATAGCTAAAGTGTGGTCTTTGGGCTCTTTTTACGTTTTGTTACGCAGACCTGGCAACCCTGGAGAAAATGAAGTGATGGTTAAATTACCAGTTAACTTTCTCAATATTTTCTCACAAATTCATTTTTACCAAAGCACAAGCAATGTAAAACTACTCAACAACATCATCCTGTGATTTGATTTGAGAGACCACCCATTAGATTAATTAAACATTATTAAATTATAGATTATTAAAACTGGCATGAAACAGAAGTTTCAATAGGCTAGTATTTTCTTCCCTATTTTGATGTAGGCTATCCGAGTGAAATCATAGACTGTAAAAAAACAGCTTCTCAAACAAGAAAAATGTAGGGCGGGACTTGATTAATTCCACGGGGAATTAATTGGATGTTTGTCTGATTTTGGTTTGCTATTGGTCGATCTCATGTGAGTGACAGGTTGCCCCGCCGTCAAGCCAGTAAAAACGTCATCAGTGAAGAAAAAGAGAGGGGAAGTCATTTGATAAACGATTGCACACTATTTTTTTTTAAATAACGATGTGCATGTATATACAATTAATAATAAACACTGTAATATTCCATAAAAAAAAATAACTGTCAAATTGTTTTTTTTAAATTTCATGGTGACTTTAACTTGAGAAGATAACAGCACATAACAAGATTAAACAGAAACAGAAAAATAATAGCAACTAGCTAATATAAGTGTAGCCTATATTGCAACGTTAGCCTACATAGCCTCCTACAACTGGATTTTTCCCATTTCATTTAAAATCGCTTCAGATGGAATGAATCTCACAAATGCTGATGAAAAGTCAAGTTTAATTAATCAGTGAAGAAAAAGAGAGGGGAAGTCATTTGATAAACGATTGCACACTATTTTTTTTTAAATAACGATGTGCATGTATATACAATTAATAATAAACACTGTAATATTCCATAAAAATAATAACTGTCAAATTGTTGTTTTTTTATTTCATGGTGACTTTAACTTGAGAAGACAACAGCACATAACAAGATTAAACAGAAACAGAAGCTAATATAAGTGTAGACTAGTGTAACGTTAGCCTACATAGCCTCCTACAACTGGATTTTTCTCATTTCATTTAAAATTGCTTCAGATGGAATGAATCTCACAAATGCTGAGGTTCCGATGAAAAGTCAAGTTTAATTAATCAGTGAAGAAAAAGAGAGGGGAAGTCATTTGATAAACGATTGCACACTATTTTTTTTTTTTAAATAACGATGTGCATGTATATACAATTAATAATAAACACTGTAATATTCCATAAAAATAATAACTGTCAAATTGTTGTTTTTTATTTCATGGTGACTTTAACTTGAGAAGACAACAGCACATAACAAGATTAAACAGAAACAGAAAAACAATAGCAACTAACTTAGCTAATATAAGTGTAGCCTAGTGTATCCAGACATCTATGAGTGTAACGTTAGCCTACATAGCCTCCTACAACTAGATTTTTCTCATTTCATTTAAAATCGCTTCAGATGGAATGAATCTCACAAATGCTGAGGTTCCGATGAAAAGTCAAGTTTAATTAAATTATATTTATCGACTTATATGGTCAAGAAGGAAATTAAAGATGGGAAAGCAAACATCCTACACTATAGCTATGTAACGTTAGCTTGCAACAATAAGCAATGTATTTATCTTCCTCTTTAGCAGAATATTTAATCGAATTCCCCATAGGAACAATAGTGCCTGAGGTCTTTGGTTGTAGTTTCGTCATCTGCCAGCAGGTGTTGCGATGTTTAACAGCATCTGTGTCGGGTATGACTCCAGCCAATGACATCCCTTCAGAGCCTGTATTTGCGGAAATACCTCAGTACAGCACAGTAACTACATGGTCTTGAGCTGAGGGTGCTGCTGCTTTCACTATCGTAAGTATTTTAAACCTTTATTTAGTTTCTACTTTTCCTATATGTTTGAGTTCTCGTCTAAAAATACCCGTGCTAACCTAACGAAAGCTAGCATGCGAATTTTGTCGAATGTGCGACCATCCTAAATCACGCTGTCAAATAACGTGAGTCCCATAACATGCTGTAACGTTACTAATCAAAATAAAGAATACAGTCGTCGATGTGAACGTGTTTCAGAAGCGAATCTGTATCAAAGAAATTGAAGATAACAAGTACGGTCTGTAAGTCTGTTAAAATTTCTGTTCACTTGAAATATACAGATGTTTCTGACACTTGAAATGCTAATTTTAAGGAATGATGAACCGATAGGGTCGATAAAGGATAATATACGGTTTTCCCAATAATACAAGATTGATTATTTTATAGTGTAACGTTAGTTAGACCCCCACCCAGCCATGATATACATTTTCCTTTCGACTGATTCAAATGTAAAACAAAAAGCAACAGTTTGAACTTATTTAAGGCAATACATTCGTAAACAATACACTTTCAGGGTTCCCACGGGTCCTTGAAATCCTTGAAAGTTTGTGAATCTGAAAAAATAAAATCGGCATAGATAAATGGCCTTAAAAGTACTTGAATTTATTTTGTGCAAAACATTTTCTGGGAAAAAAAAATATTATTTTTTCCATATTATTCCCTCCAGTCCGTTGATGTGTTATTTCGCCAACACTTCGTGGCGTATGCATACTAGCTTTCTTCATTTAACTTACTTTAGTTATGCACATTGCGCGTTATGTTTTGTTACTTTGTGTTATACGTTGCCATGACGTTCACACGCGCCAACTTTGTTATTGGACACAACACGTGTGTCCCACATTAAGTTCTTGAATTTGAGAGTATTGGACCTGGAAAGTCCCTGAAAGGTCCTTGAATTTGAAGCTAACCAAGGTGTGGGAACCTTTATAAATTGTTTGACGTGTCAAGGACAAGACAAGGTCCTGTTACTAAAGAAACCGATGACGAAATGCACACAGTAGACCTAAACCACTGAAGTATGTCAACACGAAACATGAGAATATAGTGGAGGGTGCAGGTGGCAAGGAAAACAAACACTATTGTTCAGGGGTAGATAAACCGGAGACAGACCAACAGCCTACAGGTAACACGTGACCTGCCAGTGAGGAAAGTTATGTGATAATGGTTAATTAATGAATTAAATGTTTTTTGTGTGTAAATGTATATTTTATTGTTCTAACATATGGCCTGTATGCTTTGCAAAGCATCCCATGTGTGCCTGAAGTTGGTTGAGTGATTACAAAAATTGTGAATCTAGACAAAGTAAGTATGATAAAATCTAAAGATTGAAAGATTTGTTCACTACATTTTACTGTTTCTCACAGTGCTGTGACTAGTCTGTGCTAAGATTACATTTTGTTCATTCTCACTGTTTAGTTTTTTTTTGCAGTTCACTTTAATATTACTGCCGTGTGACAAATGGATTTTTAAAATGATCAGTAATTCATGTATTCTCTCAGGCCCTGTTTAAACATGGGATCAAGATGCGTTTGTAGGTGTACTTGTACCTCATCTACTTGTGATCCGATCGACCAAAGCGCGTCTTAAAGGGATAGTTCACTTTGAAATTAATTTTTTATATGTTTTATTTTACCTCAAGGGCATCCAAGATGTAGGTGTCTTTGTTTCTGCAGTAGTATCCATTTTTATATTTTTAGGTCAAACCGTTTGTTTCTATCAGTCATATAATGGAGGTCTATGGTCACCACCTCAAAGAGCATGCACAGAGAAGTCCAAATTAAACATGATTAAATGACTCGTAAATGTAAGTACACATTGATGGCCTAAGACACAAAAAACGAGCGGTTTGTGTGAGAAAACTAACAGTATTTATATCGTTTTACCTCTTGTAACCACAGCCACGTCCAAGTGATCTGAGGGTGCGGGTGCTTTGTGGCTGTGGTTACAAGAGGTAAAAACTATATACTGTTCGTTTTCTCACTCAAACCGCTCGTTTCGTGTTTTAGGCCATCAATGTGTACTTACATTTATGAGTCATTAAATCATGTTTACTTTGGACTTCTCTGTGCATGCTCTTTGAGGTGGTGACCATAGACCTCCATTGTATGACTGACAGACACGAACGGTTTTACCTAAAAATATCAAAATTGAAAATACAGGCACCTACATATTGGATGCCCCTGAAGTAAGCTAAAACATGCCACAAATTTATTTCAAAGTGAACTATCCCTTTAATACCAGGTGTAAACCGGGCGTTAGTTAATGCATGGTCAAGAAAAACTCGCATCAACCATTCTGATACAATTGTGTGTTTTATTTGTTTTTTTTTTAACAGACTTTTCTTCAACTGAAGTATTTTTCCTCTTCAGATGAAAAAATGAACGAAAAAACAGATGAAAGGGACTTTTGGAGGAACTCTTGTCAACTTTAAGAGTGATTGTTTAACTTCGAGCAGATGCTCGGATGTCTCTTGTTTGCCGTTCTCTGGATTTCACCCCAAACTAAACTTCAGTCATGGGAATCTTTCCCTCCATGTCCAAGATCATGAGGAAGGGGAAGTTTCTGTTGCTTCTACTGTTGTGCCTTTGCGTTGTAGCATGGATAGCAACACTCTCAAATGATGACTCAGTTAAAACTGACCAGGAGGAATCAAATCCACCTGATGACGAGGTTAAGGGTGTCGGAGGCTTTCGTCAGCTGGAGCTGGAGTCGGAGATGATGCAGAGCATCGAGGAGCGTGTAGAGGAGCGGTCTCCCAAACAGAGCTGTCCAGAGCATTCACCCCTACTCCGTGAGTGTGCTCTCATTTATCTTTTATACGCTTTTGTGGGTTAAAGGAGTAGTTCACTTTTAAAAAACTTTTGCTGATAATTTACTCACCCCCATGTCATCCAAGATGTCCATGTCTTTCTTTCTTCAGTCGAAAAGAAATTAAGGTTTTTGATGAAAACATTCCTGGATTTTCAATGGGAACCAAACAGTTCAAGGTCCAAATGAGAGTTTCGGTGCAGCTTTAAACGACACCTGCTGACGATGAATAAGGGTCAAAATGTGACAAACCAAATGACTCTAAAACAGATTTTTTCATTTTGATGAAAGAGTTCGAACAGGAGAGTCACGAACGCTCATCACAGAACAGAGCAAGGCGAGCATTTGTGCTTATAAAACGTAAATTTTTTTATTTATTATTTGAAATGAGCGATCGTTTCGTTAGATAAGACCCTTATTCATCGTCTGGTGTCGTTTAAAGCCCTTTGAAGCTGCACTGAAACTCTCATTTGGACCTTGAACCGTTTGGTTCCCATTGAAGTCCATTATATGGAGAAAATCCTGGAATTTTTTCATCAAAAACCTTAATTTCATTTCTTTTCTTTTCACACTTGTAGTCCTGTTTGCTTGGTTAGTTTGTCCGGACCAAAAAACTAAAAACTTTTAGTCCTTGATTTGTCTGATTAGCATTCACATTGGCATTTTAACACCGAACCTAAAGGCATATGTTCACAATCTGATTGGTTGGCTTCTATTTCAACACGGAACTTGCCGAACATCCAAACAATGCTGGGATAAATGAAGCTATGATGGTATTTTGACCAGCTGAGAACTTGTGAATAGCTTATAAAATGTTTAAAGGAGTCAAAACTGCAGCAGGAATCCCCCCCGTCACACAAACGAAGATCTGATGTTCGGACGCCTGAGCAACATCGCCATTATGATGAGAAAAAACAGGCTTGATCATTCTGTCCTTGTTAGAGTTGCATTTTGTGACATCATATCCTGTTTTTGGTTTGTTTACATGTCTTTGGTCCGTGTTGCGTTCATTTTTCATTCGAACTTCAGTTTGGAAGCGGACTTGGCGTCCTCTTGTTTGCTGCACCAGGGTTCAGATGGCAGCGCTCACACTTATTCAGATGAACCGCACTAACAGAGCAATCGCACCAGGGTTCGTTTTAATCCGAACAAACATGCCGAGTGTGAACACACCCTTTAAAAAGAGCACAACATTGACCAACGACATCTAAACTAATTAAAAACAGGACGTGATGACCCTATAAAGGACAGAATGCTGAAGCATGCCTGTTTTTTCTCTTCATAGTGGCGATGTCCACATTCAAGCACTTTATACAATGGGCTTAATCAGCTCATCATTTTGCAGCCGATTGATTTAGTTTACAAATAAGTGATAGTCATGACCTAAATATGATTTACATTCATTTACAGTGATTACTAAAATTTGGCTTTAGTTATTTTAGTTTAGTTATTTTTGCTATAATGCTAAAATAACTATTAATAGTTAATAGTTAGGCTTTAGTTTAGTTATTTTTGACACCATACAGTATGTCACACACACACTCAAGCTACTGTATGAGGAATTTGAGATTAACAATTTGGTGAATTGTTAAGCGTCTTTGACTGGAATGAGTTGCAATCTGACTCGGGAACAGGTGCAATCTGACCAGTCCAACAGGTTAATTGAAATGTGTCCATTTCAATGGTGTCAATTTCCTCCGTTTGGTATGGGAAACAATGTGTTTTTATAAAGTATGATATTACTCTTCTTTAGTAAAGTAAAAGTAAAGGTTTCCCAAAATGAAAATCTCGGACAAAGTACCGATACTTTAAAATTTGACTTATGTGTACAGTAAGGAAGTAGAAGCGCATTTGTTGCAGTCCATTGCATCTCATTCTATGTTTCATGGAAAAAAGAAATGATACCGAAATGGAATTACAAGTGTTTTTTTTTTTTTTTTTAAACATATCTTCTAAACATTTGGATATCTTTAGGGCTGTCAAACGATTAATCGCATTCAAAATAAAAGTTTGTGTTTACATAATATATGTGGGTGGACTGTATAATTATTTTGCAGATCTACACACACATGCTTGTATATATTTAATAAATAATTTCATGTATATACTGTATATAGATTTATATATAATTTATATTATATATAAATATACATTTTATATATAAATAATATTTTTTTCTTAAATATACATGCATGTGTGTGTATATATATATATATTAGGGCTGTGCAAAAATTAATTGCGATTAATCGCATCCAAAATAAAAGTCTGTGTTTACATAATATCTTTGTGTGTGCTGTATATAATTATTTTGTATATATAAATACCTATGCATGCATATAGGTATATATTTAAGAATTATTTGTGCTTAAATTCTGTATATATATATATATATATATATATATAAATACATAATCTATATTATATAAATATAAATATTTTATATATGAATAACACATTTTCTTAAATATATACATGTGTGTGTATTTATATACACAAAATAATTATATACAGCACACAAATATATTATGTAAACACAGACTTTTATTTTGGATGCGATTAATCGCAATTAATTTTTGCACAGCCCTAATATATATATATATATATACAAAAAATAATTATACACAGTGCACCCAATATATTATGTAAACACAAACTTTTATTTTGGATGCGATTAATTGTTTGACAGCCCTAGAAATCTAACAGTATGTCTGTGCAAAATGAGCCAATAATACTAGGTACAGATGGGAAACCATAAAACTGCAACTCTGAGAGAAATGATACCAAATTGGAATTACATGTGGATATTTTTTTAACAAATCTTCGAAACATTTGGAAATCTTTAGGGCTGTCAAGCGATTAATCGCATCCAAAATAAAAGTTTGTGTTTACATAATATGTGTGGGTGCACTGTGTATAATTATTTTTATAAATACACACACATGCTTGTATATATATTTAAGACATATTTTCACTTATATACTGTATATAGATTTATATATAATTTATATTATATATAAATATACATATTTTATATATAAATAATATTTTTTTCTGAAATATACATGCATGTGTGTGTGTGTGTGTATTTATAGATATACAAAATAATTATACACAGTGCACCCACATAAATTATGTAAACACAAACTTTTATTTTGGATGCGATTAATCGCTTGACAGCCCTAGAAATCTTACAGTATGTCTGTGCAAAATGAGCTGATAATACTGGGTACAGATGGGAAACCAAAAAACTGCAACTCTGAGAGAAATGTGTGAGAATCTCACCACCACCTCTATGTGAATGTCAATGTTTACATATTACAGTTTTTTCTCTCTCCACAGCTGCTTGCTAATTTGGGCTTGTTTCCAAAGATGGGGCCCTGTAATTAATGTGGGCCCCAGCTGGTGCTGTATTTAAAGACTGCACCTGGGTTGTGCGCCTTTCACTCACTTGCGGGCCTGTTTACATGAGTGTTTATTTTTTTCTGCCCCACAGGAGGTTCTTTAAAGCTGTCATTTGAGCCCTCGCTGACGATGGAGCAGGTAGAGAGTGAAAACAGGGAGGTCCTGGAGGGTCAATATAACCCCTCCGACTGTACGGCCAGACAGAGCGTGGCCATCCTCATCCCTCACAGAAACCGAGAGAGGCACCTGCTCTACCTCCTTTACCACCTTCACCCTTTCTTACAGAGACAGCAGCTTCACTACGCCATCTATGTCATTCACCAGGTAGACAAAACTCCCATTAGCTCTGGCAGAGAGTTTTTGTAGTCATATGTTGCTAGGATTTGCCAATGAAGGTTTTTTGGACCAAAAACATAATTTTGTTTTTTATGACCATTGCATTTCCTACCTAGCCTGACTATGTCAGACTTCATATTTCCGCTCAATATGAGCGTGTACTCCGTCTGAGATAGAGACCTATCTCTGTTTTCCTTTGGCCTGAAAAACAGCCGGCCAATCAAGAAACAGAGGGCGGGCTGAGAGCCGTGACGTAGACGCTAAGTGCCCAGTTTAAAGGAGTAGTTCACTTTAAAAAAAACTTTTGCTGATAATTTACTCACCCCCATGTCATCCAAGATGTCCATGTCTTTCTTTCTTCAGTCGAAAAGAAATTAAGGTTTTTGATGAAAACATTCCTGGATTTTCTCCATATAATGGACTTCAATGGGAACCAAACGGTTCAAGGTCCAAATGAGAGATTCAGTGCAGCTTCAAAGTGCTTTAAACAACACCAGATGATGAATAAGGGTCTTATCTAGCGAAACGATCGCTCATTTAATAAATAAATAACAAAGATTAAGTTTATAAGCTCTATTCTGTGATGCGCGTTCGTGACTCTCCTGTTCAAACTTTGTCATCAAAATGAATGAGTCATTTGGTTCATTCAACGAAATGAACGAAATGACTCAAAAAGATTCGTTCATTTTGATAAACGAGTTCGAACAGGAGAGTCACGAACGTGCATCACATTTTGACCTTGAACCATTTGGTTCCCATTGAAGTCCATTATATGGAGAAAATCCTGGAATGTTTTCATCAAAAACCTTAATTTCTTTTCGACTGAATAAAGAAAGACGTGGACATCTTGGATGACATGGGGGTGAGTAAATTATCAGCAAGTTTTTTTTTAAAAGTGAACTACTCCTTTAAAATTGTATTCTAGATTAAGGAAATTGAAAACGACCGCAGATATGGAGATACGGGATGCAATTCGCTCTGTTGTGGAGAATATTCCCGGCATTTGCAAACTGAAACCCGAACGAGAAGAGTGTTTGTTAAACATTTTGAATGGAGGTGATGTTTAAGTTGGAGAGCGATGTGATTGGCTTACGGGTAACCAATGATTTTATACTTCAGACTCTGTATAAAAAGACACACTCTGTCTACGAAGCAAAGAAAAGACTTTAAACGGAACCATTTATTTGCTTTAAATACTGTTACGGCTTAAACGTAAACGCCCTCTTCATACAGTATGTGAAATGCTAAACAGTGTTTACTTATGGCTTTGCTGTGTGTCCATAGTTTGCACTGGCCCTTCCTTAAATAAGTGTGCTTGCTTGTTATTAGACTCCCTTTCATCAAAGTCCGTTTGGATGATAATCTTTTTTGTTCTTTAGTTATACAAAAACTGGAATGATGACTAGCACTGACTACATTTAATAATTGGCAGCAAAATGTAAACTGGCTACGGACAAAAGGACAAAACTATGGCAAGTTTTTTTCTGTTATTATTATTATTATTATTATTATTATTATGAACGTCTCTAGTTGAGGAACCAACTACATCAGATCCAAAAAATAAAATAATGTAAGCTACTGTAAGCCAATGCCATTCATCATAAATAACAAGGCAGAGAAAAATAAAGAGGCCGAACAGATGGATGGCTAATTTTACGTCTTCGTCTGACACTTTGAAAAACTTCCAGACGGGAGAAGGAGAACTCATGTTGCCACTGGCAAGCTCTGCTCTGGAAAAAAAAAGCCGCGCGAGTAAGTTATGTCATGTGATCAGCGCTTTTGGGGACCAATCAGTCGGAGCATCACTAATTGTATTGTTGTCATCTCCTCATTATTACACGGGGACTGAGGAAGCCAAGTTTCTAACTACTGAATTACCATTTCTGACCTGTAAATATGGGCAGTTATGTGATAATGTGTTTAGTCTGATAGTCACAGATTTCATAACAGTCTGTTTTTGCAGCTTAAAGGAGTAGTTCACTTTTGAAAACTTTTGCTGATAATTTACTCACCAGGGTGGCCGCGGGTCATTAAAAAGTATTAAGAAGTCTTAAATCAATTTTCCTAAAAATAAGGCCTTAAAAAGTATTAAATTGTCTTAAATTCAGATTGGATAGGTCTTAAATATGTTTGTCATGTCACCGCAAAGATGCAGGCAAAGGCAATCGTTCTGCCAGCCAGGTCGAATATTTTCTACAAGGTAGCTAACTTAAAGGATTAGTTCACTTTTGAAAAAACTTTTGCTGATAATTTACTCACCCCCATCATGTCATCCAAGATGTCCATGTCTTTCTTTCCTCAGTCAAAAAGAAATTAAGGTTTTTGATGAAAACATTCCAGGATTTTTCTCCATAATGGACTTCAATGGGAACCAGACGGTCCAAGGTCCAAAAGACAGTTAATAACAGTTTCGGAAGTACAGAGTCAAAATCGTCTGGCATCGTTGTTTTACCTTTTAATTCTTTTTTTGTAAACGGCGTTTGAGTTGGTTTGCACGTTCAACCTATGCGTTCAACTTGTAAACACTGACTCTGTACTTTCGGCTACGTCGCCCGTGACCTTTTGAACGTAATTACGTATTACATGACGTTACAAATGCGCCTCACAGAATAGAGCAAGGCTAGCACTTGTCCTTAGAAAAGTTAAATTTTTGGAATAAGTTTTGAAATAACCGATCGTTTCGCATGATAAGACCCTTATTCATCGTCTGGTGTCGTTTAAAGACATTTTGGACCTTGGACCATCTGGTTCCCATTGAAGTCCATTATATGGAGAAAAATCCTGGAATGTTTTCATCAAAAACCTTAATTTCTTTTCGACTGAGGAAAGAAAGACATGGACATCTTGGATGACACGGGGGTGAGTAAATTATCAGCAAAAGTTTTTTCAAAAGTGAACTACTCCTTTAAAGGGACAATGTGTAGGAATTCCTTCCATCTAGCGGTGAAATTGTATTTTGCATTCAAACGAATTGTGCTCTCCTGCGCCTCGCTTTTTCAAGTGCGTGTTGTACATCTACGGTAGCCGTTATATACCAAAAAGCTATGACAGGATGTCTTCTAATAGCACTTTGTCAAATGTTCCTTCTCCAGGTGAACGGGTTTGTTATTTCAAATAAACTACAATTGACACCACAAACAAACGAATGTTAAAGTATGAATTACTGCGTTGGCCTAGTACTTTTTGTCCCTCTCTGCTATTATAGTTTTTCAAGATGGCGGAACTACATGGAAGCCTGTGTGGACCTACCCGTCCCATGTATATAAAGATGATAAATTCTTTGTTTACGGGGATAAGTCAGATAATTGGCAGAGCTATTTGTACACCATTGAGGACATATTTATGAATAAAACTATTGTTTTTAGATAATAAAGTACCTAAAAAAAGTACACATTGTCCCTTTAATGTCAACAAATGGTCTTTTGGATGGAAGAGGAAGTTTTGAGTTCTGAAATGTCTTCAACTTTTAACAACAGCAGAGAAAGTACCACCGGCTGATGCTGGTAAAATAAATATATTGCATTGTACAATTTTCATTGAGGAAATGTAAGGTTAGGTAAGGTAAAAGTGATTAGATGCTGAAGCTCAAGGTCTTTTGAAAGGTATACATTTATTTTTTTTGCAGTGTTCTCATTCTAGTTTTGCCAGTAGCTCTTTCAGTAATTCTGTTAAGCTCTAACAACAAAGCTCTAACAACTCTATAAAGGCCCATTCACTCCAAGAACAACCATAAAGATAAATATAACTACTTGAATACTTAAGCTCTTTATGGCTGTCATTGTTTTACTCGTTTATCAGCAGGAAAACAATTGTTCTGAAAGTGAGTCCAACTACTGTATATTGTTTCTCTGTGCTGTTATCGTCATACTTGTGGTTTGGACTCTGCTATTCTTTTATATTTTAAAACGATTTTTAGAACGATATTGTTAAAGTTATCGCCCTTGGTGTGAACGGGCCTTTAGTCTTCATGTCGCTGACAGCATACACCGAAAGAAGTCATTTATTTAAAGCATTTCTTGCATTTACCTTTATGCAGTGTTGGGTAATTTACTCTAAAAAAGTAATTAATTACTAGTTACTAATTACCTCTTCAACAGTGTAATTAGATTACTGTACTAATTACTCTCTCTAAATTACTTTTAAATTACTTTAAATTACTAATTACTTTCAAAATCCCATATCAATCTCAACCAGCTGAATAATACAAGGATAGACATGAATCTGTTTTATTTTTTTCAAATAAATACTATAAAATTGAATTATCCTTAAACTGACCAAGGTGGAGAAGGTTATATTATAAAAACATACTTCTAGTCGGCACAGCACAATTTTATCTCACAATTCTAACTTTTTTTTCTCACAATTGCAAGTTTATATTTTGTAATTCTGACTTTATAACACATAGCTAATTGCGAGTTTATATGTCGAAATTCTGACATCTTTTCTTAGAATTGTGAGATATAAACTCGCAATTGTGACTTATCCGGCCAATTCTAAGGGGAAAAAAAATCCCCTAAGGGGGGATTTTTTCCCATCAGAATAGTTTATCTCACAATTCTGACTTTATATCTCGCAATTCTGACTTTATATCTCGCAATTCTGACTTTATATCTCGCAATTCTGACTTTATATCTCACAATTCTGACTTTATATCTCGCAATTCTGACTCTATATCTCACAATTCTGACTTTATAACTCGCAATTCTGACTTTATATCTCGCAATTCTGACTTTATATCTCGCAATTCTGACTTTATATCTCACAATACTGACTTTATATCTCGCAATTCTGACTTTATATCTCGCAATTCTGACTTTATATCTCACAATTCTGACTCTATATCTCGCAATTCTGACTTTATATCTCGCAATTGCGACTTTATATCTCGCAATTCTGACTTTATATCAATCAATTCTGACTTTATATCTCGCAATTCTGACTTTATATCTCGCAATTCTGACTTTATATCTCGCAATTGCGACTTTATATCTCGCAATTCTGACTTTATATCAATCAATTCTGACTTTATATCTCGCAATTGCGACTTTATATCTCGCAATTCTGACTCCATATCTCGCAATTCTGACTTTATATCTCGCAATTGCGACTTTATATCTCGCAATTCTGACTTTATATCAATCAATTCTGACTTTATATCTCGCAATTCTGACTTAATAACACGCAATTCTGACTATATCTCGCAATTCTGAGTATCTCGCAATTCTGACTATATCTCGCAATTCGGACTTTATATCTCGCAATTCTGACTCTATATCTCACAATTCTGACTTTATATCTCGCAATTCGGATTTTATATCTCGCAATTCTGACTTTATATGACGCAATTCTGACTCTATATCTCGCAATTCGGATTTTATATCTCGCAATTCTGACTTTATATCTCGCAATTCGGATTTTATATCTCGCAATTCTGACTTTATATGACGCAATTCTGACTCTATATCTCGCAATTCTGACTATATCTCGCAATTCTGACTTTATATGACGCAATTCTGACTTTATATCACGCAATTGCGACTTTATATCACGCAATTCTGACTTTATACCACGCAATTTTACTCTATATCTCGCAATTCTGACTTTATATCTCGCAATTCTGACTTTATATCTCGCAATTCTGACTTTATATCTCGCAATTCTGACTTTATATCTCGCAATTCTGACTTTATATCTCGCAATTCTGACTTTATATCTCACAATTCTGACTTTATATCTCGCAATTCTGACTCTATATCTCACAATTCTGACTTTATAACTCGCAATTCTGACTTTATATCTCGCAATTCTGACTTTATATCTCGCAATTCTGACTTTATATCTCACAATACTGACTTTATATCTCGCAATTCTGACTTTATATCTCGCAATTCTGACTTTATATCTCACAATTCTGACTCTATATCTCGCAATTCTGACTTTATATCTCGCAATTGCGACTTTATATCTCGCAATTCTGACTTTATATCAATCAATTCTGACTTTATATCTCGCAATTCTGACTTTATATCTCGCAATTCTGACTTTATATCTCGCAATTGCGACTTTATATCTCGCAATTCTGACTTTATATCAATCAATTCTGACTTTATATCTCGCAATTGCGACTTTATATCTCGCAATTCTGACTCCATATCTCGCAATTCTGACTTTATATCTCGCAATTGCGACTTTATATCTCGCAATTCTGACTTTATATCAATCAATTCTGACTTTATATCTCGCAATTCTGACTTAATAACACGCAATTCTGACTATATCTCGCAATTCTGAGTATCTCGCAATTCTGACTATATCTCGCAATTCGGACTTTATATCTCGCAATTCTGACTTTATATCTCGCAATTCTGACTCTATATCTCACAATTCTGACTTTATATCTCGCAATTCGGATTTTATATCTCGCAATTCTGACTTTATATGACGCAATTCTGACTCTATATCTCGCAATTCGGATTTTATATCTCGCAATTCTGACTTTATATCTCGCAATTCGGATTTTATATCTCGCAATTCTGACTTTATATGACGCAATTCTGACTCTATATCTCGCAATTCTGACTATATCTCGCAATTCTGACTTTATATGACGCAATTCTGACTTTATATCACGCAATTGCGACTTTATATCACGCAATTCTGACTTTATACCACGCAATTTTACTCTATATCTCGCAATTCTGACTTTATATCTCGCAATTCTGACTATCATGCAATTCTGACTTTATATCACGCAATTCTGACTTTATATCTCGCAATTCTGACTATCACGCAATTCTGACTTTATATCTCGCAATTCTGACATTATATCTCGCAATTGCGACTTTATATCTCGCAATTGCGACTTTATATCTCACAATTCTGACATTATATCTCGCAATTCTGACTCTATATCTCCGAATTCTGACTCTATCACGCAATTCTGACTTTTTTATCACGCAATTGCGACTTTATATCACGCAATTCTGACTTTATATCACGCAATTCTGACTTTATATCTCGCAATTCTGACTTTATATCTCGCAATTCTGACTCTAAATCTCCCAATTCTGACTCTATCATGCAATTCTGACTTTATATCTCACAATTCTGACATTATATCTCGCAATTCTGACTCTAAATCTCCCAATTCTGACTCTATCATGCAATTCTGACTTTATATCTCACAATTCTGACATTATATCTCGCAATTCTGACTCTAAATCTCCCAATTCTGACTCTATCATGCAATTCTGACTTTATATCATGCAATTGCGACTTTATATCTCACAATTCGGACTTTATATCTCGCAATTCTGACTCTAAATCTCCCAATTCTGACTCTATCATGCAATTCTGACTTTATATCTCGCAATTCTGACATTATATCTCGCAATTCTGACTCTAAATCTCCCAATTCTGACTCTATCATGCAATTCTGACTTTATATCATGCAATTGCGACTTTATATCTCACAATTCGGACTTTATATCTCGCAATTCTGACTATCACGCAATTCTGACTTTATATGACGCAATTCTGACTATATCTCGCAATTCTGATTTTATATGTCGCAATTCTGACTCTATATGTCGCAATTCTGACTCTATATCTCGCAATTCTGACTTTATATGTCGCAATTCTGACTCTATATCTCCCAATTCTGACTCTATATCTCCCAATTCTGACTCCATCACGCAATTCTGACTTTATATCTCGCAATTCTGACTATCACGCAAATCTGACTTTATATGAGACAATTCTGACTCTATATCTCACAATTCTGACTCCATCACGCAATTCTGACTCTATATCTCGCAATTCTGACTCTATATCTCGCAATTCTGACTCCATCACACAATTCTGACTTTATATCACGCAATTCTGACTATATCTCGCAATTGCGACTTTATATCTCGCAATTCTGACTCTATATGTCGCAATTCGGACTTTATATCTCGCAATTGCTACTTTATATCTCACAATTCTGACTTTATATCTCGCAATTGGGACTTTATATCACTCAGTTTTGACTTTATATCTCGCAATTCTGACTTTATATTTCACAATTCTGACTTTATATCACTCAATTCTGAGTATATCACTCAATTCTGACTTTATATCTGGCAATTCTGAGAAATAATGACAGAACTGTGAGATAAAAAGTCGCAACTACCTTTTATATTTTTCATTCTATGGCGTAAACAAGCTTCCATACATTTGTCATTGCACATTACAAACAAAAAAATGTTGGTAATTTTCCAAATGTTAAAAAGTTCCTTGTCTTAAGCCTTTGTTGTACTTTAGTGTGAGTGTGAGAAAACAAGTCTGAGAGTGATTCTCTTTAACAGAGGAATATAAAGTTGTTGTTTATTTGTTTGTTTGTTTTTAAAAAAAAATGTATGTACAGTATATGTCTGTTTGTCTTATAGGCTGGAGATGCTACATTTAACAGGGCAAAGTTATTAAATGTTGGCTACCTCGAGGCCCTGAAAGACCAGAGCTGGGACTGTTTCATCTTCCATGATGTTGATCTGGTTCCTGAGAATGATCATAACTTGTACATGTGTGGGAAACAGCCTAAGCACTTAGTAGTGGGCAGGAACTCCACCGGCTACAAGTGAGTATTACTGTCTTCATTTAACAAACACGTTGCAGAGCAAATTACAGACCATTCTGGGATTTCACCCAACAGCATTTGGGTTAGAAATACAACACTGTAGCTCAGTTTGCAGTACTAAAGCAACAGATGTGACTATACTAGTTTAACAACATTTCGCAGTAGTTCAACATCAGGACAACATTCAGCCGTCAGTGTCCAGAAGTGTGACATCTTTGCATCAACAGTATTTGTTTATTTTAGTTCTGTACACATTATACAGATTTTCTCTAAAGTTCTGTGCAAAAGTCTTTGGCACATGGATTTCACTGTGCTTTTTACAGATTTTTGAAACCCAAAATGATGTATATTTTCTTTCCTTTAGCGCACTTATATCTGTTTACTTCAATAGAATGTACTGTTAATCAGTACAGGACAGTTGAACACATTCATTTGTTTGGGTTCAGATAAGCTAATATTGCTTGTCCTCCACTTAGGTTAACATTCTTTGCGGAAATAAGACCATCGCTTGCTTGATTTTTGCATTAAATTCTGCGATTTTAAAAAATCTCTAAATCTTGAAGGGATAAGGGATTGGCATTTGTTTTTAACCCAGCAATCAATTAACCTGTTATATTTGTATTTTATTTTGTTTTATTATTTTTTTATGACATGAAAGAAGCTAAAAGAATTGTTTACTGTGAACTGTTAAGTAATACCTCTTCGGTTGTCCCCCAGAAACTAGGGCTTGTTTTTTTTGTGTGTTTTTAAGACCAGCGACCAGTTGCAAAAACATAGCCAACATGTTAAGAATGTGTCTTTAAAGGAGTAGTTCACTTTACAAAAAGCTTTTGCTGATAATTTAAACGACACCAGACAATGAATAAGGTTCTTATCTAGCAAAACGATTGCTCATTTAAAAAATAAATAACAAAGTTTAAGTTTTATAAGCACAAATGCTCACCTTGCTATGTTCTGTGATGCGCGTTCGTGACTCTCCTGTTCGAACTCGTTTATCAAAATGAATGAATCTTAGTTGATTCAACGAATGAAATGAATGAAATGACTCGAAAAAAGATTCGTTCATTTTTATAAACGAGTTCAAACAGGAGAGTCATGAACGCGCATCACAGAAAAGAGCAAGATAAGACCCTTATTCATCGTCTGGTGTCGTTTAAAGCTGCGCTGAAATTCTCATTTGGACCTTGAACCGTTTGGTTCCCATTGAAGTCCATTATATGGAGAAAAATTGCTGGAATGTTTTCATCAAAAACCTTAATTTCTTTTCGACTGAAGAAAGAAAGACATGGACATCTTGGATGACATGGGGGTGAGTAAATTATCAGCAAAAGTTTTTTGTAAAGCGAACTACTCCTTTAAGAACTAGTATATACATTATGTAACTGACTTAAAAAGTTATGAACATAAGAAAATAAAAAGTGACTAGTTAAACATCTTTAAGCTGCTTGATATTGTCTGTTCACGTTAGTAGTCAGCTACATCAAATATATTAAACCCCAAGTCATTTCTTAATTGCATCACTGAGGTGTTTTGTGAAATGACATGATATAGTTGTTTAATATTTGAAAAAGCCATTTATTACTTTTTGCCACTGACTTCCCAGACTCAGATACAAAGGTTACTTTGGGGGCGTTTCGGCCATGACGACGGAGCAGTTCCACATGGTGAATGGCTTCCCAAACTCCTACTGGGGCTGGGGTGGAGAGGACGATGACCTGAGGAAAAGGTCAGATGAACTTTGAAGGACACAGTTGCTGATTAAAATCCACTGACTACTATTGTTTTTCCATAACGTAGACAAAATTACCAAAATGAAATGTTGCTTTTCAGTTCAGAAAAGAATCGAAAATATAGATGCATGTAGCAGTTTTGGAGCGAGTTTTCTCATCTCTCGTTCGGCTTCTCATCTCTGAACGTTGCTGTATTCCTCTCATTGTTGATGATTTTAATAGAACCGTGTTTTTCAGGGTGGAACTTCTGAAAATGTCGATACTGCGGCCGTCTCCTGAAGTGGCGCGCTACACCATGGTCTTTCACAAGAGAGACAGCGGCAATCAAGTCAATAAAGACAGGTCAGGTCAAGTGTGATTCGTGAATGAGAAATAAATGTTGCCATATTACTGGTAGTGTTATTCTGGTCATGCAAGACACCACAGCTAAAGTTTTTTGAGATTTTTGAGAGCTAAACATTTTTCTAAACATTTTTGAGAGCTTTCATTTGTTACATCACAACAAGGAAATGAGATTGAGATATTCAGTGTCTTGCATCATACTAAAACTTTATGGTGTAGATAAAACGTGTACTGTACAAGTTATAAGTTATTAAAACCGTTCAATTGACCCTTCGCTAAGCCCCGCCCTCCCTAGTTACTGTTGCTACGCCTGTCAAGCTTTCGCGGCTGGCCCATCTATTATAGTGTGTGGATGCACCCGGTGTCAGACATTTCAATGAGATAATTAGAAATTTTCGGCGAACAAGTGAAATATCTGAGAGAGCAAGACAAAAGGGACTACAGTATGCATTCGAGGGATATATTCACGACATTATATGCAACCGATTAGAGAATAATTCCTTAAAAATTGAAGTTAAAGCCTAACGTTATAGTCCCAGAGCCTCATACGCTGGCCGTTCAAATGGGAAACACAAACTGAGGAACAGCTATGTTCATACACAGCAGGGTATGTGAAAATAATCTTTATAATTATAAATCAAACAGCTTATCAATAAATCTTGTGGAATAACACTAATACCGGGAGAGCCGCGATCGGATTGGGTTAAGTTAGGCTACTTAGTAAGGGGTAACGTTAACGTCGATTAACAAATATATTTTAAAGTATGTCAGTGAGCCTTTGTCTTGTCTCTTAATCGTCTTATTTTACGTTATATCATTATGACTAGGGTTGGGTATCGTTTGAATTTGAACGATTCTGATTCCGATTCCGATTCCTTGTTTCGATTCCGGTTCCTAACGATTCTCGATTCCGATTTTTTTAAGAGGCAGGGTCAAAAAAGTTTAGCTAACCTTGCTAACCAACGGCCTTTCTGAAGGAAATACTCCTTCTGGAAAAATACTCCTTTTGTCACAAATTTTGCATTTTGCCGAGATTTCGTTATTTTTAGAAAAGCGAAGCCACACTTTGGATCGCCGACGTAAGGTACTCATGTTCGACTCGCGTGGTTATGCCAACACTTCCGGTAGACGCTTCTTCGTTGGTGTTGTTCAGCGGTTTCTTCTTCCGCTCGGCGGACTGTGAATATCGAAACTAGGAATCGAAATTTTAAAGGGTTAGTTCACCCAAAAATGAAAATTAACTCATTAATTACTCACCCCCATGCTGTACCAACCCCGTAAGACCTTCGTTCGTCTTCGGAACACAAATGAAGATATTTTTGATTAAATTTGAGAGCTGTATAACTACCACATTGGCTCCTAAGGGACTGCCTCTTGACGGCCCAAAAAGTCAATGAAGAAAATGTTTAAATATCCCAAGTGACTACCGTGGCTCAACTATATGTTTATCAAGCGATGAGAATACTTTTTGTGCGAAAAAACAAACAAAAATAACGAGTTTATTCGACTATTTCTTTTCTTCCTTGTAGGCCAGAAACGAGAATTCCTTAGATTTCCACGACGCATGCGCGAGATTTGCGATCTGCTTACACCAGCTTAGATCGCAATTTTTCGCGCATGCGTCGTGGAAATCTATAAGGAAGTCTCGTTCTGGCCTACAAGGAAGAAAAGAAATAGTCGAATAAACTCGTTATTTTTGTTTGTTTTTTCGCACAAAAAGTATTCGCGTCGCTTGATACACATATAGTTGAGCCACGGTAGTCACTTGGGATATTTAAACATTTTCTTCATTGACTTTTTGGGCCGTCAAGAGGCAGTCCCTTAGGAGCCAATGTGGTAGTTATACAGCTCTCAAATTTAATCAAAAATATCTTCATTTGTGTTCCGAAGACGAACGAAGGTCTTACGGGGTTGGTACAGCATGGGGGTGAGTAATTAATGACTTAATTTTCATTTTTGGGTGAACTAACCCTTTAACTTTTGAACGATTCCGGAAAAAACGAAAAGTTAGTCTCGGTTCCAATCGATACTCGATTCTCGATACCCAACCCTAATTATGACCAAAGAACCGTCAATATTTCCAAACAATAGGTGTTTTTGTTAAGCATGTCGACATTTACCAGTAGTTGTGAATGGGTCTCGCACATAGACGCTAGATCACGCCAATCATTTCTCCCCTTGGCTTTTAGATTTTCTGGAAGGAAAACAATTCCTCTCCCCCGTCCAAACTTTTAGTATACCAGTATCAGATTTGCACAATCCATACGCACAAGGCTTCAGCATGTTTCCCTCGTTCGAAAGCTTGCCAGACCTCCCGCGCATAGTTACGGTTGCTAAGACATGATTGGCAAGTGGCGGTTTTCGGGCGAAGGGTCAATTATATTTCTTGTCCATGAATATAAATTAAATGTTAAAACAGTAAATCCACATTTGGTGGGCTAATGGGTGTTAATTTCAAACCCTGATGCCAATTTATTTCCTTATCATAACTATAGGACATTGGGCTTTATCTGGTAAGAAGACATGCGCATAAACTATAATGGAAACACATTTAGAGAATAAATCCCTGGATGGGCAACAAAAAAACTCATGTGACTTTGCCTCTACAGAGGATGTGATTGATTGGGTGACTGGACTAACCCGCACACCAATTGAATTTCACAGCATCACAAATATTGGTTTGGTCATTTTGAAGTCTGTCATCAGAATAATTTGATTTAATTCCCTCACTGAACGGTCTCAAACACCAGGCATCCGAACGCAAGACAACATGACAGCGTTTATTGAGACACAAGTCATCTATGATGGTGGAGGAAAGAGCAAAAGTGGCTTCCCTGATTGCAGCAACTTCCTTTTTTATTACAGATATTTTGTGCCAGTGTCACTGGAGTGATTATTTTTCTTCTTTTGAACACATGGAATCGCAAATATGTACATTTGCAACTTTGAATGCAAACATGGCTATTGAAGAGATGGCATCTGACGCTTTGCTTTCACTTTACCCGTCACAGGATGCAGCTGTTAAGCCGTACTCCCCAGATGTGGAAGAAGGATGGTTTGAATTCCTGTTCCTACAAGGTTCTCTCTATCGACCGAACCCCGCTCTTCATCAACATCACCGTGGACATCGGCCTGCCTGAGCGTGCCCACTGAGCCACGAGTTGAGAGACAGCTTGCATTGAGTCACAGCATTCACCAGTGCCTGCCGGAGCTAATACGAGGTGTTGTTGCTCCACACCAGGTTGCACTACCGATCTGACCCGTGAGCCACAATACTGATCAAACGCTGCGTTTAAAGTATTACAATAATCAAGTAGAATTGAAATAGATCAACCAGGGTTGAAATTAAGAAACGAATTTAACGCTTTCACATAATGCGTTCTGTATGGCTTGGTCATCACAGAATGTGCCGAAACAAAAGAGCTCACTCAGTCAGAAGAGGAATGTTATGTACAATAGGCTCAAATATTGTGTAGATCTATATGGGTAGAGCATGTTGATTTCAGCTGAACATGTTCAAATATCGGTCCTGATTTTTAGTAGGTGTTTGGGTCCAGGGATAACGTTTAATCGGTTTCATTTCAGTGAAATGAAGCTGTAGATGGGTTTATTGTTTTACGTTTAGGCCAATGTTTAAGACAGAGCGGCTGTCTGTTCACTCATAAAACTGGGTGGTTCATTTACTGACTTTATGATCAGAGGAAAAAAAGACTTGTGATTATTAGCTAACATAATATTATATGATAAAAACAATTAATGATTCATACGTTACAGGAACTTTCTTGACGCTGAATTTCAACACAATATGGCCGTCTTATCAAACCAGCTGATTGATGAGTGTGGGGACAGAAATACAAGTTTGGATTTTATGCGGACGATTATGAGCTGAATCTAATAGTCGAGCTGGTCATTATTTAGTGTTGTGTTGAAACTTGACAAACGGAAATCAAACCCTATAAAACAGTTACATAAGTGCATGAAGATCAAATGAAGGAACAATTTACAAGTACTTCTTTTTTGTCATAATTCGATTTTTTCAGATTTTCATTTATTTCAGTTAAAGCTGGTATCACAAAATCATCTTAACTCAGTTTTTTACATTACATTCTGTGGCACGTGCACATTTAAAAGATTTGGGTGTTGTAACTGTGAACATTATATGAATTTTATACTGTGAAACAAAATCAATCATGGGCAAAGGTTTATGAACATTAATCAGAATTTTCCACGAATAGGGTGCACATTGGGATCCTTTTACTTTTTGTATAGCTGTAATGGCAGAAATCATGTTCTGTGGAATGGGAAATTATATTTATATAAATTGTTATAACTTACCACATGATATTACCTTTAATCTCACTGAATATCTCAACAGCCCCCTTGAAATTGTGATTTTAAAAAGAATTATAATTATTCGATAGGAGTTTGACATCTTGAGGTTTTTCTGAAGGTTTAGCACTTCACCTGATAAATCTAGGTTGAAAAGGAAACTTTACGCCTGTTTTTGTGCCCTTTTCATGGAAAGTGCCCGCCCCTCATGCAGTGATGAACCTGTGTGTGCGCGATATTGAAAAAGCCAGTTTACTGATGTTAATATTTCAATAAAGAATGGCATTCAACAAAGACTGCAGCTTTCTTTCTTTTGTGTACAAGTTTGCTGGTATAATAACATATATGATCTAAGCATATTTACTACTACTCATATATGCTGATTGGTCATGCACAATTTAAATAATTAATCACAAATAAATGTATTATAAGAGGACTATCTCTAAGAAATACTGTTGGAATTGTTAGCTATATATATATAATCAACACTTGAAGTGGATCAAAAAAGTTGAACGTTTTTGAAAATTCGTGTATAACTTTGAAAGGTTTTGATCCACTTCAAATGTTGACTACTGTATATATTTGATGCCGAGTACACATGCAAACACCGCGTTTGTGCATTCAGTAGTTTTGGTGTTGAAGTTTTACTCAATAAGGAATAAGACAACATATTAGATCTTACTACTCCCCCTAGTGTCATTTACTGGAATACCAACACAGAAAATGCAGCCTACTGTGGCCTAGATATAATGGAAACACGTTTGAAATACATGTAACAAATCAAATTAAAGAGGTAATTTTCAGAAGTATTCACAGAATATACTCTTTTAAAGATTGTGTTATCGAACACTATGTCAAATTAAAATTAATAGGCTAATTAATGTGTACTCTGTCTCTATAAAATAATAATTGCATCGAATATACATAGATAGTGCTCTTATAATATATTTATTTGCGATAAGTTATTTAAATGTATCATGAATGATCAACAAAAATATGAGTAGTAAATATTCTTAGATCAACTTAGAAAACATATTTAGATATATCGAAATCGTCTTTCATTGCGATTTCCTGTAACGTTATATCTAAATATATTTAGATCTTCACAGTGAAAGGTAAAACTTCCGAAATCTCGGTGTAAACAATGAGTGACGTACACGCACGAGAGATGACTTCCGGTGCATGCGCAGACCAAAGCGCCTTATGCCTAGTTCACACTACATGATTTTAAAATGTCGGGCTGAACTGTGCAGTTCACACTAAATGACTTGCTCTCAGTGAAATCATGAGTGTTCAAGTTGTTTAGCTGTTCACACCACACAACACAACGTGATTGATCCACAACAGGACGTAACTCACTACACGAGTTAACAACGCACTACACAGAGATACAACCACGATCGGATGATAAGAGCATATCATTTGTGACTCAATGAGAGCTGTTTCAGTACTATAGTACGGTCTAAATCCTGAAAATAATCAAACAAATAATGAGTTGACAACAACACGATTCTATCTGGTCTAGAAACCATGTTTTGTCACGAAAAACCACGCAATAAAACGAACCAGAAATGACGCGAAACTGCAGAGAAGAACACAACACGCGAATATGGACGTCAGACAGAAACTAGTGCTGCACACTGTTTGCTCGACGATCTGCTCTGAGAAAAAAAAATGCAAAAAAGAAAAAGTAAGATTTACCTGGTGTCCTCAACCCATGCGTTGCTATGATTGGCTGTACTCATGACATCACTGAGATTGAGTCGCGCGACTGCTCGAGATATCTAGCATGCTAGATATTTTTCTGAGCTCGGTGACCTGTCTGCGAGCTGTCTGCGAGCTGTCTTTGATGCGTTGTTGGCTCTTTCACACTATCGGATTGGCGAGCGTTAATCGTCCGCTAATCGCCCGCGATTTGCACGCGATAACACCCTGACTTGTCGGCGACTCAACGATTTGCAAATCGGGCTTAAATCGGGCTTAAAATCACGTAGTGTGAACTAGGCTTTACCCTCAGAGTACTTGGACGTAGCTGTGGTTACAAGAGGTAAAAACGATATAAATACTGTTCGTTTTCTCACACAAACCGCTCGTTTAGTGTCTTAGGCCATCAATGTGTACTTACATTCACGAGTCATTAAATCATGTTTAATTTGGACTTCTCTGTGCATGCTCTTTGAGGTGGGCCTCAAATCTCCATTATATGACTGATAGACAAGAACGGTTTGACCGAAAAAATATCAAAATTGAAACTACTGCGGAAACAAAGACACCTAAAACATCTTGGATGCCCTTGAGGTAAGCTAGAACATATCAAAAATTATTTTCAAATTGAACTATCCCTTTAAGTGGTCTAGGCCGAAATGTATTTATAATGTATTTATGTATAATATATTTATAGTATCTATATTTATCCTCGAAGGCATACGACAATACTTTTGTTTGCTCCCTGTTTTGAAGGAGGCGTGGCTTTGGAGACACTCTGAAGGGAGGGTGGGATCTCATGCTTTCAAAGCTAGCTCGCTATTGCTAGCCTTCCGAAACTTCCAAATGAAGGACAAAGAATTTGCATCATCAGGTGTGTTTTGCTTTTTTTGTTTTTAATTTATTTATGAAGCCACTACAAACTTAATCGTTACATATTACATTGTCATATTACAATGCTATCATGTTTTGTGCAGGCTATTAGCTTATTTTGTTTGAAATAAAACAGCCTGACAATGTCACTGCTAAATGTGGTATTCCACCATGTTTCTTACTGACGCACACCTAAACTCAAAGAAAATACAGAGTTTCCTAGTCTAGGGGACGCTGTTATCTTCTGAATCTCTAGATGTAAAAAGAGAGCAGAAACAAGCGATAAAAGCATTGCTTGTGCACATTGTAGTATGATTTTATCAGATTTTTGTTCAAAATGTTGCTTCTTTTAAATAAACTTACGCTGTAAAAAATAAAACCGTAATTTTTATGGTAAAAAAAAAAAAACGCAGCTGTGGTTGCCAGAACTTTACCGTCAAAAATACGGTAGCAGCGTTATTGGTTTTACAGGCTTAACTTAAAATTTACAGTAATATACCAAATTTCATTATCTGATAATGAAATACTTAACAAAAAGTCTGGGTTTGTCCATATTTGACCCAAAATTTGGGTTAAAACAACCCAGCATTTTTAGAGTGTAGGGAATTGTGGGAATGTCAATTTATGGTTTTTCACTGTAAATTGTACAATGAGTTGTTGTAAATTATAAAAAACTGTAAATTTAACAGTATTTTACAGTAAAATTACTTTAAATGTACCATGAGATCTACGGAAACTTTCTGTTCACCAATTTACAGTTTTGCACTGTGGCATTTTTACAGTCTTTTTCTGTTAAAATCACAATTATTTTTTACAGTCAAGTGTTGATAAAAAAAATGGACGGACCTTGAATAAAACTTCTCTTTTAAAGCAAAGGCTCTTTTTTTCTTTTGATATAGGATATTGCATGTTCAGATATTCATAGCCTACAATAAGATATTCTGGGGGCCAATAAAATTGGTGGTGGTTGGTGACATTTAAAAAAATGAATTAGGAAAGAATTAGGCGTAAGACTTAGTGATGGCGTTCATGTGCGTTTAACTCATATACAATATTTCCGAGTGCTTCAGCAAGTGTGTGAATGAACACTTTTAGGGCGCAAAGTTGTTCAGTCACAATTCGGACACCATTACAAAATAGCCAACACCCTATCCTAGTACACTGTATAGGGGACAGGGAGGGATTTCAGACACACACTCTGAGAAGAAAAGGTTCTAGAACCTTAAAAGGTTCTATCATCGCTACGTATTTGGAACCCCTAAAAGGTTCTATACAGAAGCCTTTTTAAGGGGTCAACAATAAGAACCCTTTAGGGTTCTTTGTAACCAGGAAAAAGGTTCTAAATGGAACCTTTTGGGTTCATTCATTATCATTTGTTTTGTCCTTTCCGGATTAAATATTTCATATTATTGACAAACATCAAGACCCTAAAATGTATTTATGAATGCATGTGAATGATATGGTTAGAATATATATATATATGAAGAGTTCAGATGCAAAAGCCTCTAAATGCCATTTGAAATTTTCTTCTAAAATGATCATTTTTATCAAGCTTGTATATTTAAGTTCAGTAATTTCACTTAAATGACAATTAATAGGTAATCTTCATTGCCATTTAAGTGAAATTACTGAACTTAAATATACAAGCTTGATAAAAATGATCATTTTAGAAGAAAATTTCAAATGGCACTTAGAGGCTTTTGCATCTGAACTCTTCATATATATATATTATATTTTATGTAGTTAATCAATATCACACGAAAAGTGCCATTTCAGTTTTTCTCCAAAAATTTAAATGTGATATTAAGTTAGTTACTACAACTAATTTAATGTAATTTAATTACAATTATAAAATGTTGCAGAATAATGTAATAGATGAATGAATAATAGCCTATAAAGAACCTTTGTGCCAAAATGGTTCTTTCTTATCATTATAGAACCTTTTTTTAGCATAAAAGGTTCTTTGGAGTTGAGTAAAGAACCCTATGCTTCATATATAGAACCATAGTGCAGCATCCGATGCATCTTCATTCCTCAGTATCAAGAACACATCTGGGAAATTTCATACATCCTCTTTTTGACGATTGGAACTGACCGTTGACGGTTGACGATGATGTAACAAGACTCAGTCTGTTTTTGAACGGACAGTATTCATTTGTTGGAGTAATGAAACTTGTGGCAAGTGTTTTGGCAAGAGAGTGTAGCAGTAACTGTCCACTCCCATAAAGTCTGCATATTTTAGTTTTTTTTTAAGCATTTGTTATTAAATTCCCATGGAGAAAATTAATGGGAAAACACATATGGAACCAAGGCTATTGAAAAAGTAGACCGTTTTCACTCTATTACATCATGGACTGGGATTGTCTGACAGGCATCCGATTGAATTCGCCCTTTGTTTGGTCCTGTCACATGATTCAGGGCTGCTCTATAGGAAGAACAACCTTTGGCACATGGTGGCTTGACACAAAAAAGTGTCTGTTCTTCTTAAGCTCTAAATGCTTTAATCTGTGGTCTGATTTTTTTTAATGCCATATTTGAAAGGATCCCTTTTTGTCTGTTGATAATAATGGTTTCTGCGCCTGCTAGGAAAAGCCATTCTAAGAAATGTTACTGATAAAGCAGCATTTGTAATGTATCAAGTAAAATTAGAAACATATTTTCCCCATCTTTTACAATTATTTTATCCTTAAATTTAAATGTATAATAATGTTACAAAAAAATCTGTTTTGAATAAATGCTGTTCTTTTAAACTTGCTATTCATTAAATTCAAAAGAAAATATTTTTTTTTTTCTTGAGCAGCAAAATGATTTCTGTAGGATCATGTGAGTAATAATGCAGAAAATTTAGCTTTAATCAACCAAATATATTTATTATATATATATATTTTTTTACAATATTTTACATTTTTATGTTATTTCAATATATATATATATTTTTAAAATCCACATTTTGGAGAGAAAATATTTTTTTTTACGCTTCAAACCTTTGAATGTATTGTACATGGACAATACAACGTTATGCAACGTTATCTTCCGTCACTTAACTTTATGAATAACATTTTCATCTGCAGCAGAAATGTGTACCGATAGTGAGTTAATTAATTTTTTTTTCTACTTATGAGCTGCTTTATTCATAAGATTGAATTCAAATTCAAAAGATTAATTGATTAAACCTAAACCTGAAAAGTCTACAGTAAAGAGAGGCTTGATAAAAGGCATCTGCTATACGAATAATAATAATTAAAAAATGAAAAACCTACAGTATATTGGTTAAGCAGTATCTGAATATTTAGGGTTGGGGTTAGAATCTGCCCTAGTATTTTGACCATAAAAGTTTAGCAACAATCTTAATAAATTAAATAATTAAAATAATAATAAAGCTCCTGACATTTTCTCATGCACACAAATGGCAATGAGAATGAGCCTTTTGGACATAACAGTTTTAAAATATTAGAAGATAGATGCTTCCTTACTTGGTGGATTTTTTACGTTAATAATGTCAAGGTTACTGCTTGTGCTTGTATGCACTCTCAGAAAAAAGGTACAAAAAAGCTGTCACTGGGGTTGTACCTTTTCAAAAGGTAAACTTTTGTCCGTTTTAGGTGCCAATAAGTACATTTTAGTTGCTAATATGTAAATTTTAGGTGCTAATATGTACATTTTAGGGGCTAATATGTAAATTTTAGGTGCTAATATGTACATTTTAGGTGCTATTATTTACCTTTTAGGTGCTAATATGTACCATTAAGGTACCAATATGCACCCTTATAGGTACAAAACTGTATCTTTTGAAAATGTACAGCCCCAGTGACAGCTTTTGTACCTTTTTTTCTGAGAGTGTGGCTATGTTTGTCAGCATATACTGTCCCAGATCCCTCATACTTCCTTCCTCTCAGATCAGATCACAGCAAAATACCTCTTTGCTGGCTGTCACACACACATAGACATACATACAAAGATTCCTCATCAGCTGCTCTTTCTGTGGGCCGCGAAACGTAAGCCGTCCGCCATATTGAAATAGTCGGTCTGTGAACATTCAAGAGAAAGTTGACTGAGCATCTCCAACCATAGTTCGACGCATATATGCAATAGACTTGAGCAGATGATTCTTCTAAACGAACACAATACAAGACGAAGGTGTTGGCTAACACGAAAAGTTACCGTAGTTAAAAACCTGTAATATTAAGTTAACAGTTAATACATATAAAAAAAACACGGTTTAAAAAAACACGGTAAATGGGTTATCCCATTTCTTCAGGAATATAAATCTTTTAGCGGTTTCACGACTAGAAGTTGTGCAATGTTATTATAGGCATCATTGATTCTTACTGTGAATGACGACACACCGATCAACCTCAAGATGGCTGCCGTGTCGACGTGTGTTGAGCGGTCGAATATTGCATCTACGTACACAAATCTATGGTCACACATTTGTATTTCTCTGAACAATATTAAATACACACAAAAATATTTGACACTTTTTTTTTAATCGTTCGACAAAATTACAGATGAAAATGATGCACAATAATAATTACAAATACTCTATTCTTTATTTTCTTTTAACATCACATTTCAATAGGCTCCAGCCCCCTGTGACCCTAATATAAGGAAAAAAGTGGTTTAGATAAGGGATGGATGGATCATATTTCATCTCAAACATGTTCTTTATTGACTTGTTTGGCTTGTTAATAACCAACTGCACTAACTTAAAAAATTAAAAAACCTTGTAAATGACAAGTATGTTGACGGGCAAAACCAGACATACTGTAAGTCATGTACATACCGTACAGTACTGTAAATATTGAAATGTTCAGTTTATTTACTCTTTGTTTACTTCTATGAAAAATGTACTCGTAGAAGAAAAAGTTCTATATAGAATCTAAAAGAGTTCTGCCAGGCGAGATAGAACTTTTTTGAGGTTCCAATCATAGGATCTTTTTATGGATTCAGGTTTAATAAATACATTTTGTTTGAATTAAATTGGATGAATTAAGCATCTTTTATTAGTTGAAAAAATTCAAATAACTTGTTAAACATTAAAGTATTATGCAATAATTTAGACATTTCTCCTTGTATAGAACTATTTAGGAATAAATTGGTTCTTTAAATGGTTCTTTCTCCCTGCATAAGGTATGTTTTGCCTGCTGGTCTCCAGTAGGCCTGTTGGAGCAAATTCCGAAATTCAATATATTTCGAATATTAAAAAAATCAACACTATTCGAATGCTGAAGTTACTGTTCGAATATTGCTTTTTTATGTATATTTATGTAATTTTCTTTTATATGCAATCTTGCCTTTTCGCCGCCTTGGCTTACACGCATGTGAAAATGAAATGCCTTTGTTTCGTCTGATGAACAATAACGTTTTTAAATCGTAACACAAGTGTGCACGTTATCCACGGTGTATCATCATAACAACTGTCAAAAACGGTAGCCTAAATGTTTAACGACGTAAAAAGCGCCCCCCCCAAAGTGCCTGAGAAGCGAAAAACGCAAATATCTCAACGGATTCGGTGCGCATCGAGCTTGTTGGAACCCTCTAGTCAAACTGAAAAGAACAATAGAAATTTCATTTGGTGGTGTTTTCACGGAGATATATCAGCCATAAAACCATCGGAAGCATTTCAACCATATTTAGCATGAATAAAATGTGTATTAGATGTCCCTCTAGAGGTCCGAACGTGTAACAACAACCACATGCTATAGTGGCATTTGCGATAATGTCGTAAATATTAATAATAGGAAAAATTTTAGCATTTAATATTCAAATATTATTTGAATATTAAATAAAATAAGGAATGGAATTCGAATAGTATTGTAGAGGAAAATCGACAGCCCTACTCTCCAGCATAGGATGCTGGTTGCTGGTTTGGTACCCAGCATGAGAACCGGTTTGGGACCAGCTTGCAATGCTGGTGTGCTAGTGGACCAGCATATGTTGTCTTTTGGGTGCTGATATGATTCCAGCAAGACCACAACAAAACTTGCATATGGTTAAACGTTCTTTAAGTCTATTTGAAGTCACCATTATGATGATCGGTGTTTCACTGAGTGGCTTTTAGTTGGACACTTGGCCCTTGCCTTTGGTTGATCATATTAATTCTCTTTCAGCAACTGTTGAAAGTGCATGCCATCACACTATTGACTTTAATATTTCATGCTCCTGACTGCAATGGCATACCCTTTACTATGAGCACTTGTTTGGGATCAGTGACTAACCGCTGGATTTTGACATGCACTCTTAGAAGGTTCTATCAGCGCTATGTATTTGGAACCCCTAAAAGGTTCTATACACTCTTAAAAAAAGGGTTCCTCTGGGTTCTATATAGAACCCTGGGGTTCCATACTTGGCCAATAGAACATTTTACAAAAAAAAATGGTTCTATATAGAACCATTTTGGTGTTCCATATATGAAGCGGGGGATTGAACCATTTCTGGTTCTAAATAGAACCATTTCTTCTAAGAGTGTGTGAGCTACCATAGGACCATTTAAAGCTTTTTCTTAGTAAGAGCTCGTCTCATAACCCTGGTTATTGAACAAACAGCTTGTTATTTGGCATTTCTCTTCGTTTTCATGTCAGTTTTTGTTTTGCAATGCACACAAGCTCTTTTTAATTCATTTGCGTATAGATCCTGGAGACAAATCCTTTGAAACGTTTCACCAGTTTAATTTGTTACTGTTTAAATTTCAGATGACTCAAATTAATATTATAATCAGAACTAAAACAATTAAACCAGCTTGAGAATAGCATGATTATGCTGGTTCTCCAGTACTCACCAGCTGAAACCAGCCATGCATTCATACTGGTGTATGCTGGATTTTTAATTTTGAACCCCATTGAACCTTTTTGTTCTAAGAGTGCAATACTATTATGGTGGATTTTCATAATTTTGGGACAAAAGTAAAAGTATTCAAATTTAGACATGAAAAGCATTTGAAAAGTAGCAAAAAAAATATGATAAGTCACAGTTTAAAAGTTTCCAAGACAGAAAATCTGGAAAAAGGATTCAATGAAAATCATCCCGTGGGACATAGAAGTGCCTGTACTTGAAGAAAATGGCTAACTAGCCGTGGTTAACGGGAACCTTGTGTTTTCCCCCCCGCTCTCTGTGTATCTCGTCCTGCCTTTCTCTCTCTCTTTCTCTTTCTCCCCCCATCTTGCTGTCCCTCTCCCCAACGTCCTTCTCTTGGTCTGTTTTTGTTTTCCAAACAAGGTTCCCTTTACAGGAAATTGTGTATTCTGGAAGCGTTCAGGAAGGCAGAGAGCAGGTTTCCTGTTGGAGCCATGGCTACAAAAAAGAAAAAAAGAGGGAGGAAGAGAGAAAGCGGGGTGGCCGCGGGGGGGGTTGGGTGAAAGGGGTTCGGTAATGTCCAAACTGGTGAAGAATAAGCAGGCAGTTATTTCTCTCTCCTCCCCTCGCTCTTCTACCCTCCCCTTTGCAAAAAAAGTTCTGACATTTCAAGCCTCCACTCAACATCAGCACGATGACCTCCTGAACAACGTGGAACGAAAAGGATAGATAGATAGATAGATAGATGGATAGATGGATAGATAGATTGGTGGGACTGAAGCTCGTGTCGTAACTTTTCTCCTCAGACAGATTCTCACCTCTCTCTGTTCAGGGCTGAAGGGAGGAGAGACCCTGATGATGAAGTGACGTTGGGCGTGAACCGCTCCAGAGTTCTTCGCCCACACCAGATCTTTGGTGGCTCAGTCAAGATGTGAGCGGATGATTTCTTTTGTTTGACACTGTGGACTTCCTGAGAGTTGGGGCTTTTCTTTTCTTTTCTTTTTCCAGTGCATTTCCCCCCCCCCCTTCCCATCCCATGCGTTGTGGAACCAATGGTTGATTTTAAGGTGTATTTACTCTGATCTGGATACGTTACGGAAGCCTGATGAAGAATAAGGCTGCCAAGCTGAAGTCCAAAAGGAAAGGAACTGAAAATGCGTTCGGCTGTGACTTGACTGAACATCTGCAGAATTCGGGACAAGACGGTAAATTCCTCTTTTCCGTTCTCACTCCTCCTCTTGCCATTCATATAACGGCTGCCCCTTTTTTCAGTCATAATAAGTTGACTTTATTAGGAACCCACACCAGAGCCGAAGCCTGGGCCTCTGCGTAAACATTAGCTACGTGTAATAAACCAACACCCATTTCGGTTGCTGGTTGGCTGAAGTGAAGTGTGTTTTTGTTGCCATTGAAACAGAAGATACTTTATTCTTTTGAGTCCTCGCGGTGGACACTTTTCCTCTTGCCTAAAACCATTTAACGGGAAGGTATTTGCCTAATAATCTAAAACAAATCTGAATGTAATCTTAGTGCTCATACACATAGGCATTAAAAGAAAATAAAGAGCAAAGGAAATGTTCCGAGGAAGAGGAAGGGGGAAAAGGGAGGACTCGATTTTAAAGATATAATGTTCGTGTAACTACATTTCTCATGAAAGGCTCCTCTTAAAGTGATCATGTATTATTGAGAATATCACTTAATCCATCGATATAACATTCTTCATTTGTTAGCTCAAAGTGTTTTTGTTCAATTTCGGCGTATGTTTTTGATGGATATCAATAATAACTTCTTTTCGCTGATCCAGAAGCAGCTTTTCCTAAGAGCGTTATAAGTGACAAAACACAATGCTGATCTGGAAACAGCCCGTAGTTTGACAGATCCATGTGACTTGACCGAGTTCATCTGAAGCCTGTAACTCTGAAACAGTCTTTTGTTGAAGATCCTGTCTGCTCACATGTTTTGATCGTTGAGGAAAGAATGAGCGTAAATGCTCTGGAGATATTTATTGGAAACTTTGTTTTAAAACTGTGTAAATTATTTGATTCCTTTCGTGTGTTTTATTGTAATATTGTATATATATCGTTTTAAAGGGATAGTTCACTTTGAAATTAATTGTTGGTATGTTTTATCTTACCTCAAGGGCATCCAAAATGTAGGTGTCTTTGTTTCCGCAGTATTTTCAATTTTGATATTTTTAGGTCAAACCGTTTGTGTCTGTTAGTCATATAATGAAGGTCTATGGTCACCACCTCAAAGAGCATGCACAGAGAAGTCCAAATTAAACATGATTTAATGACTCGTAAATGTAAGTACACATTGATGGCATAAGACACAAAACGAGCGGTTTGTGTGAGATAACTAACAGTATTTATATCGTTTTTACCTCTTGTAACTACAGCCACGTCCAAGTGATCTGAGGGTGTGGGCGCTTTGTCTGTGATATTAACGATATAAATACTGTTCGTTTTCTCACACAAACCGCTCGTTTCGTGTCTTAGGCCATCAATGTGTACTGACATTTACGAGTCATTAAATCATGTTTAATTTGGACTTCTGTGTGCATGCTCTTTGAGGTGGTGACCATAGACCTCCATTATATGACTGATAAACACGAACGGTTTGACCTAAAAATATCAAAATTGAAACTACTGTGGAAATAAAGACACCTACATCTTGGATGCACTTGAGGTAAGCTAAAACATATCAACTTTTAACTACAGCAAGAAAACATAATTGTTAACAATATTACTAATATTTGCATCATTTTATTGTGACATATCAACAGCATTTGATTTTCTTTCATAACTTAAGCATCTTAGTATTTTCACTCACAGGCTCCTTTGGCAAGTGATGTTTAGACATTATATGAGGACAAAATTGATTTATACTTTGCGAATAGATATAAGTGCTAACTAACATGTGTGATATCAAATAGTATTTCCAAAGCAATGTTTTGGCAGGAGTTGAGCAGGAAAGTCAGAATCCATTTTAAATGAATTCTTATGTTCACCATTCGCCTGCTTACTCCATGAATTTGTAAGACAGGTTTGTAGGTTAAGCCGCTACAGAAGCCTCGTGTTGGACACTGACCATTATCCCATATGTGAACTAACCTCCAAAACACAACATGTGTTAGTGTTCTCAACAAGATATGCTTCATTTTTCACTGTCAGCATCTCCTTCAAGTGGACTTTTCTAAATACGCCATATGAAAGCTAAAGCGGTTTAAGTTAAAACTAAAGCAATCATTTATCAATGATTGTAAACACTAGAAAAGTATCTCTGTCCGCCAGCAGTTCAAAATGAGAGCTTCCTCTCACAGAACAATCATTCATTCATCCGTCCTGTTGGAGGTCTTCACTGCATCCCAAGCAGAATTTCTGAATAGTAAATGATTTGTTTTCCCAACATTCGCAATTCTTACTTTCCTTTCTTTAAAATTCTTTAAATATATATTTTGCCTTTACTGATTTGTTTCCACCACAGAATAAAAAATAAAAAAGCTAATACCTTTTAATCGCACAATTTTGACCCTTTTTCGCAATAGTGAGTTTATATCTCACAATTCTGACTTTATTACCTGCAATTGTGAGTTTATTTTTCACGATTCTCGGAAAAGGCCAGTATAGTGTCAGAAATAAAATCAGAATTGGGAGATATAAAGTCGCAATTGAGAGTTATAAAGACTGAATAAGTTTATATGTCGCAATTCTGACTTATAACTCGCAACTGTGCGAGAAAAAGAAGTTTGAATTGCGAAAAAGTTTGGATTTTGTGAAATAAACTCAGAATTCCAAGAAAAAATTTTGAATTGTGAGATAAAAAGTTGCAATTACCTTTTTAACTGTGAGTTTATACCAGAATCTGGAGAACCAATCTGAATTGCGAGTAGTCAGAATTGCGAGAAAGTACGAATTGTGTGATATAAACTCGCAAAAAAAAGTTTTGTATTTCGCAATTTTAATCTCGCAAGTATAAACTCAGCATTGTGAGAAAAAAGTCAGAATTGCATGATAAAAAGTCACAATTACTTTTATTTTGATATTATATATGGCAGAAACAAGCTTCCATAGGGGATGTGCTGTACTGTGTGTGTTGCTTTTCAGTTACTCTATCTCTCTGTAGTTAGTCTATTGTAGAGCCTAAAGAGAATAAAGGATTTTGAAGGCTGATACCGATACAAATATTTTTGGGTTTTAAAATCCGATATTCTGATATATCGGCCGATATTTTTTTTTATTATTACATATTGTTGGATTTCACACACGTGTAAAAGAAAAGCGAACTTTTCTGCACAAGATACGTTTGATACTTTTTCTCTCTGTCTAAATGTTCACTCCTCACAAGTATAACTTACATTTTACAATGCAGGGACTGTAACTAGAGATATGCTAGTTAGAAATACAGTAATCATTACTTTATTTAGGCAGAAAAAGTTAATTGTGGTTTCCAAACTCATTAATGTTAACGTTAGCGGTCTTCCACTGATGATAGTGGCATTAGCTAGCTTTGTGGTTAGCTAGTCTATGATGAGCCATAATTTAGCAAGATAACATCATACTGCAAATTGTAAAACATACATTTTCAATATAACAGGCCAAGGAGAGATGATTAAAGCGTGTTTCGTCCGTTTTTATTTTATTTTTTAAATATTCATTTATCGGCCATTATAACTGCAAATACCGATATTATGGAAAATGCCTAATATCGGCCGATAATATCGGCCGGCCAATATATCGGTCTGGCTCTAGTCTATTGATAATGGAAATCCCTTTTTTTAGATAAAGTGCTGTGCTACACATTTAGGTGAAAGATTTGTGCTTCAGTTTGTAGATAAGAGTAGATTAAGCATGGGAAGTGTAGACTTCCTCAGACTCTGGATGGTTCATTGGTTCAGGGCTGCAATTGCTAATGTTGTTTCCTACCGTGAGAGGGCCATTTCATTATTTAAAGCAGAGCACTTGAATAATACTTAAATTCTCTTCTAAATGGACCATGACCCATTGCAGTGCCTGGCAATTTATTCTGTGAACAAAGTATTTCGCATCACGCTTAAAAAGTGTTAAGAGTTGTTCACTTTAAAAAAAATTTTGCTGATAATTTACTCACCCCCATGTCATCCAAGATGTCCATGTCTTTCTTTCTTCAGTCGAAAAGAAATTAAGGTTTTTGATAAAAACATTCCAGGATTTTCTCCATATAATGGACTTCAATGGGAACCAAAGGGTTCAAGGTCCAAATGAGAGTTTCAGTGCAGCTCCAAAGGGCTTTAAACGACACCAGACGATGAATAAGGGTCTTATCTAGCGAAACAATCGCTCATTTAAAAAATAAATAAAAAAGTTTCAGTTTTATAAGCACAAATGCTCGCCTTGCTCTGTTCTGTGATGAGCGTTCGTTCATCAAAATGAACAAATCTTTTTTCGAGTCATGACTCAAAGGGTCCTAGATAAGACCCTTATTCATTGTCTGGAATCGTTTAAAGCCCTTTGAAGCTGCACTGAAACTCTCATTTGGACCTTGGACCGTTTGGTTCCCATTGAAGTCCATTATATGGAGAAAAATCCTGGAATGTTTTCATCAAAAACATTTCTTTCCGACTGAAGAGAGAAAGACATGGACATCTTGGATGACATGGGGGTGAGTAAATTATCAGCAAAAGTTTTTTTTAAAAGTGAACTACTCCTTTAAGCCTATTACTCTAGGCTATGTGCACAACCGTAGTTTCGAACTTCCGCTTTTATTAGAAGTTGGCGTATCAGTTTCCGGTCTACGACTGGTCATCCGCATCCACTAATAAACAAAGAAGATGAGTGCTGCTGTTGTACGAGAAAAAAAGAGTTCTTAAACACATCTAAGTTTCTTAGAACTGTAGTGGATCTAACGTCCGTTTCACACCCGTTTGCAGTGTGTGTTGCGGTGCAGGAGCGTGCTGTTAGTGCGTTCACATAGGCTATTATGATGCGTTTTACACAGTGAATAACTGATCCGCCGCGGCTGTACAACAAACACATACTTATTATTTTTATTTAAAGTCCAGAAGTTATGCTGCAAAAAAAAGTTGTGTCAGCATTGCGATTCTTAGTATGCACGTTTAAACACAATTTAAACAATGTAAGTTACTCCATGCATTACAAGTTGCTCAAGCAAGTGGTCAAATATTTCCTATATTAAAATCGCAAATAATTTAAATTAAAACTTGAAATTGACAAAAGCAGCCGACTTGCCTTTTCGTTTGCATCTTAATTTTAAAACAATAGATCTTGCATGTCACAAAACTTATTTTTCCACCTCCACGATCGAGACGAGTTCATTCTGTCGCCTGGTTGAAGTAAATTGTATTTTCCTCGATTAAATGTGCATTTATGGTGAGATTACTACATTTTATTTAATTAAACACATTTATGGTGAAATTACTACATTTTCAGGTCTGCTTCCGATAAACACCAACCCTCGTGCAAAAGCGGAAGTTCGAAACTACGTTTGTGCACATAGCCCCTAGGATAGACCTTATATAGCTCCGCCCCTTTTCTGTCTTCAGGTTTGTATTTCCAGATTAAACATGATTTAATGACTCGTGAATGTAAGTACACATTGATGGCCTGAGACACGAAACGAGCGGTTTGTGTGAGAAAACGAACAGTATTTATATCGTTTTTACCTCTTGTAACCACAGCCATGTCCAAGTGATTTGAGGGAGCGGGCGCTTTGTTGCTGTGATTACAAGAGATAAGAACGATATAAATACTGTTTGTTTTCTCGTTTCGTGTCTTAGGCCATCAATGCCTATTTACTTTTCTGAGTCATTAAACCATGTTTAATTTGGACTTCTCTGTGCATGCTCTTTGAGGTGGTGACCATAGACCTCCATTATATGACTGGCAGACAAGAACGGTTTGACCTAAAATTATCAGAATTGAAACTACTTGAAAATTGAAACTAATTGAAAAGTGAACTATCCCTTTAACCATGTGTAGGTTGCTGTAAAATAACTGAAAAATGCTAGCCCATCATGATACTGTCTGTCCTCTAAACAAACCTAAACAAAGCTTAAAGATATCATGGCTGAAGGTATGTTAGGAAGTGATGAAGTTGGGTGGGAACTTTCCAAAGGCCCTTTAGAATAAGAGGAAGTGTCATAAGTAATACCAGCTGCAAGGCCTGGGTGTGTCAGGTTTCCTCTGAAACAAACAAACCATTTTTAACTTCCTGCCCTGGCCCACCTTCTCCACAATAAGCAGCCCGACAGGATAAAGGAAGGACGGTGTAATACTGTAGTCTACATGAAACACCACCGTTTCAAAGAGAGAGAGAACAGAAATGCACATACTGTACAGATTATTTAAAAGGTCAATACACAACCAACTCTGACTTTAAGTATGTTTCTTATATATTTTGCAATGTTGTAGTTAGTTCATGAATATTACTTTATGTATGTAACCAAATTTTAATTAACATTTGGTTTTACATATTTTCGATATGTGTAGGCCTCTGGATACATAAAAACTGAAGATTACTTAAAAGTTTTAGCTTTAGCTTACAAGCTTTTTGGGGTTTTGGTACATAATTTTCTATACTTTCTCACACAGTGTGCAAAAAGCTACCCTGGATAATCTCAAATGTGTCTCTTTTAGAGTTTCTCAACAGTGTCTCAAACTGTGTTTAAAGTCTACAATCAAAAGTCAGAGATTTCACTTGGAAATCCAATGTTGTTCCTCAAATATTTCCTGAAATCTGAGCTGTCTTATACATATAGCGACATATTTCTGTATGTCGTTGATTGTTACTCTTGTAATTGCTTGTTCTTCATATTCTCCGCCATTGAAGTCAATGGCAGCCAATAGAACTGTATGGTAAAAGGTTGTGAAATTTGTCTTTAAAAAGGGATAGTTCACACAAAAAAAATGTAGCTTCTGTTATCATTTACCACATCAAGTTACCACATCGCATCATGTGCTCAAGTTGTTCCAAACCTATATGAGTTTCTTTCATTTGAACACAAAATACGATATTTTGAAGAATAACAGTTCACGGTAGCCACTGAATTACTATGGAAAACACTATTAGTTCAGCAGATTAGTAAAAAAATCGTTCACTTTGGTATAGAAGCTTGAAATTTGGTAGGGCCACTATTTTGGAAAAATGCGTTGGCCACTCAAAAATTCAATATGGCAGCCAATTTTCAAGATGTCCGCCACTGCTATTAAATGCTTATTATATCAATTATTCAAACAGTGATCCAAGCATAATATTTGATACAAAAACACTCTAAAGAACAAAGATGCTTGTCCCTCAAAAATTCAAGATGGTCGCCATTTTTAAAGATGGCCTCCGTTCCTGTTGAATATGAATTATTTCAATTGTTCAAATGGTGATGCAAGCATAAAATTAGGCGAACATACTCTTCAAGGTGCCGCTCAAAAATCAAAATGGTCACACCTTTTTCAATGATAATGTTCATTGAAAAATATCTGTACCAAATTTCATGATAGCATCACGATTTGAAAAAAAAGATTTAAGGATTCAAGAAAAATGGAAAAAATGAAAAAAATGGTTACCATCTTAAACGTTTTAAGGAGACAAGCACCGTTTTCAAAAAAACATATTTTTTTTTGAGAGAGAAGAGAGTATTTTCACACATTAGTTTAAACGGTTGACATAATCAGCATTTGACAGAAATAGCGGCCATCTTGAAAAAATGGCTACCGGCCATGTGGATTTTTGTGTGGCCAACGCCTTTTTCACAAAAAAGTGACCCTTAGAGAGTATCTGTGCCAAATGTAATGCTTCTATACCAATTTGAGCGATTCTCTTGTAATATGCCATTAATCTGCTGCACTATATGGAAGTCAATGGATGCCGTCAAATGTCTGGTTACTAACATTCTTTAAAATATCTTCCTTTGAGTTCAGCAGAAGAAAGAAACTAGGTTTGGAACAACTTGAGGGAGAGTAAAAATTATGATATAATTTTCATTTTAGGGTGGAGTATCCCTTAAATTCCAACTGCTCAATATTTTTCAGTTATATTTATGCTGCTGATAACTTTTGAACTGTAAGGCCTAGAAACAGCCTGTTCTCTTTTTGATACTTTGCATTAGCAACTTTAGCGTAATACCTCAACACTTTAGCAAATTGCTTCTGAAATAATAACCTGGGGTGTGTTTCCAATTTACAATGGAACTTCTTTTGTTTGTATTGTTAGAGGGATTAACTGGCTATAACTGTTCCCTGAAATCATGCTTGCACTTCCAGTGTTTAATCCACTTTGGTTCAACAAAATAAGCCTGTAATTAATGATGTCATGCACAGGTGGTGGAGTAATATTCTAGATTATCTGTATTCACTGATAAACAGTACTTAAATCTCATCCATACTCATACAGTACATAGTGTTGAAACTTGCTGCCCTCAGGTTGCAAGACATCATTGGTACTCTTGTGTCTTTTGATTGATCATATAAATAACTTATGTTACAGTTACACCGACCAATTTTGCAGAAAGAGGCTTATAAAATCCCACTCTTCGCCTACAGAGCACACAAAACTATCATGTGGCCTCAGAAGACTTCACTGTAAAAAAATAAATAATAATAAAACATTATTTTTAGGGTTAAAAAAAAGGGTCTGGGAGCTGTGGTTGCCAGAACTTTACTGTCAAAAATACTGTAACGTTATTGGTTTTACAGACTTAACTTAATATTTACAGTAATAAACCGTATTTCATTATCTGATATAATTTTACTTTACTAACCTATTGAAGTATTAATATCTGTTTTGTACCATGGTAATACACTGACAATCAACAATCATCACAATAGTGATGAGTCACATGATCACATCAAAACTGATCACATAACACACATGAAATTTGAAAAATGCAATAAATATTAATTTAACCCTCGAATCAAACCGTATTCACTTTATAGCCCTTAATCCTGTAATTGTGGATAAATGTGGGCACAGATGACTCTGGTGTGATCCTAATTTTTATTTATTCTAAATGTTATATCACTGTCTTCGATAAAGTTTTGGCTATCCATTTATGGTGTTTTTTTCCATTAATGGGGTATTTTTGAATTTATTTACTTCAAAAAGTACCATATTTCTATGTAAATTATTTCTATGTAAAATAGTTACTATGTAGTTTTATTTTTTTAAAATTTTTTAACTACATTAAAATATCATTCCAATAAGTTCTTAGAACTAAAACCTAAAGATGAAGTGACTTTGCTGTCACCTGGTGTCTTATTTTGGCTTATTTTAGAATGCTCTAAATTACAGTTTTCCCCATTCATTTCTATGGGTACCCAAATTCAAGATTAGCAAGTTTTTTTTCACCCACTTAACATTGTAGAAATGTGTCAAAAAAAAATGTGTGTGTTCAGGAGGCAAACTTAGGAAAATTATCCATGTCTTGTACCGCTCAGATCATGGGAAGTATTTTTTAAAAATAAATCAACACTAATTTGCCCACATTTGTCCAGAATACGGTTTTAGGGTTAATTGCATTAAATGTAACATAAAACCATAATGTACATAACTGATTAGACAAGAACTACGAAAACTAAGAAGAAATATTATATATTAGTTAATATTAGTTATTTCATTAGTTAATATTAGTTATTTCAACAAAAAAATACATAAAATGTGAAATGTCACGCAGGGAATTGTGGGAATGTAAATTTACGGTTTTTCACTGGATATTTGTCAATTTAACGGTATTTTACATTTGATTTTACATTTAATGTACCGTTTGATCGATCACAGTTATTTACCGTATATAGTAAAGAAATTTCTGTTAACCAATTCACAGTCTCTTTCCGTTAAAATCACAATCATTTTTTACAGTGTTGGAATGTAGCGCAAAAGACATTTAGACATAATGTCAGACATACTTTTATGATATTATTTTTTTTTATTAAATTAAGGAAATCAGCACAAACATTCTTCAAAATATCTTAATTTGTGTTTCTTGGAAGACAGAAAGTCATAAAGGTTTGGAATGATATGAGGGTGGTCAAACAACAACAAAAAATACTTTTTTGTGTGAACTATTCTTTCAATAAATTGAGATTTTTTGACATATCTGAATGACCATTGATGAATTTGTCCTGTTTTTGTCTAGTTCCTCATGTCCTGAAGACTTGTGCAGACTTCATCGAGAAACATGGGATTGTGGATGGCATCTACAGACTCTCAGGAATCACATCTAACATTCAAAGACTCAGGTTGGCCAGTTTTTAGACTCACACCTCATGCATACAGTAGAGTTGGATGAACTTGGATGGAGGGAGACCCTTGCAACAATCAATTCTATGTAGTAAATGCGTGTTTCTTCTCTCTCTCTCTGTGTGTGTGTGTGTGTGTGCATACAGACAGGAGTTTTGCTCTGAACTCTGTCCTGACCTCACTAAAGAAGTGTATCTTCAGGATATCCACTGCGTTGGCTCTTTATGTAAGCTGTACTTCAGAGAGCTTCCCATCCCTCTCCTCACTTATGAACTCTACAAGAAATTTACAGTAAGTTTGTGAGCGAGAAAAACAAAAGACTAGAGCTGAATAAAAGAATGATGTAGAGCATCTGATACAGTGACTTAGTGTCTTAAAGGGATAGTTCACTTTGAAATTAATGTTTGGTATGTTTTATCTTACCTCAAGGGCATCCAAGATGTAGGTGTCTTTGTTTCCACAGTAGTTTCAATTTTGATATTTTTAGGTCAAACCGTTCTTGTCTATCAGTCATATAATGGAGGTCTATGGTCACCACCTCAAAGAGCATGCACAGAGAAGCCCAAATTAAACATGATTTAACGACTCATAAATGTAAGTACACACTGATGGCCTAAGACACGAAACGAGCGGTTTGTGTGAGAAAACGAACAGTATTTATATCGTTTTTACCTCTTGTAACTACAGCCACAAAGTGCCCATGCCCTCAGATCACTTGGATGTGACGTGTGATTACAAGAGGTAAGAAAGATATAAATACTGTTCGTTTTCTCACACAAAGCGCTCGTTTCGTGTCTTAGGCCATCAATGTGTACTTATATTTACGAGTCATTAAATCATGTTTAATTTGGACTTCTCTGTGCATGCGCTTTGAGGTGGTGACCATAGACCTCCATTGATCCTGATAGACAAGAACGGTTTGACCTAAAAATATCAAAATTGAAAATACTGTGGAAACAAAGACACCTACATCTTGGATGCCCTTGAGGTAAGCTAAAACATGCCTAAAAATTAATTTCAAAGTGAACTATCCCTTTATAGAAACGGTACAAAAAAAAGTGTTTGTGTACCAGAAGTGACATTTATTTTAAGGAAAGCGAATACAGAACTATACAGAGATATAGCACAAAGAGGACCGGGGAAAGAAAGCAGACAAATGTAGACAGGAAAGGAGGAGACAAATAAATTGAGTTCAAAGAGGTTATAACTTTAAAAAGTAAAAAAGTACCCTATAAAGACTACTGAATCATATTTGATATGCCAGTTTCTAAGACCTCTAATTTATGAAGATAAAAACGTTGCTGAAAAACTACTACTTCATCAGTTTCTTCTTCTACTTTAACACCCTCTGATTGATGAACTAAATTATAATCTTTTTGCTGTGAAATCTTGGCTGATTTTTATCAAATTGAATTTAAGAATAACTCAATATTTCAAGATAAACCCTGGACTGGACTGAAGCAACCTGAGTTTACTTGATTATCCATTGATCATCTATTTTTTTTAGCAAAATCATGTTAATCAGGCTTTATTTGTTCATCTCTATCATCATTGATGTATTGAATCACATAGTTTTCCCCTCACTATAAAAACTATGGAGCTTTGATCATGAAGCGAAGCCTTTAAATATCATCTTAAGCCATATTATATATAGACCATTTCACAAGATGTAAACAAGACTGGTCCAGAAGCACTTCCTGTTTCAGTTTGTAACTGTTTTCTTTATTTCACATGTAAAGAAAACATCTTAAAGATGTTTGTTTAACTTTCTGATTCAGTTTTAAATGTTCTGTTGGTTGTATTTTATCCCAGCTTTTATGTAGTGTTAAAAAACTGAAACAGGAAGTGCTTCTGGACCAGTGTTGTTTACATCTTTTGAAATGGTCTATACAGAGAGAACTAATTTTTTTATTAATGTAAAAGGAATTAAAGGAATTAATGTTCCCCTGTATGTGTTTTTGTGCCAAGGCTGCGGTGTCAGTCAAAGAGGAGCAGGAGCAGCTCCGAAACATCAGGAGTGCCATACACCAACTTCCCGTTTCACACTTCAGGTACAGCTGAGGCTTATTTTAATATGTCTGTAACCTTGATCTGTCTCTTTACTCCCACCTGTATGACTTCTCTTCTGTTTGGAACACAAAAGGTGAACGTTTTAATTTTAATATAATGTAAGTTATTAATAATTGGGACTTTTAAAAGCATCATAAAATATTTTATTTCTTATTGACCAAAATCATGACCCTAGTTCTCGTATTGCGACAGAAGATATTCATGAGACATCTATTTTGACACAAAATCTAATGTACGATTTAAGGCACGTTTCCCTACAATGACTATTATTGCTGCTTATCTTCCATGATGCGTTATTGGACAAATAAATTAGCTAGTCACAATTGTTTCTCGAAACCACTGTAACTTTGCCAAACATCAGATGTTCAAACCATGATGGAAAAAAAAACTTAACATCTCACGGGTGGTGGAGTATAGACATCTGCTAAGATTGAATTAATGTCAGATTGTAATTGCAATAAAAAAGAGCATAATCTATTTAAAGTGATTAAAGTTTTTTCTTCTTCTGCTGAACACAAAAGAAGATATTTTTAAACAATTGACTTACAATTTTTTTTTTCTACTTTGGAAGTCAATGAGGTTCAAAACACACAACTTTCCATTGAGGTCTCCGAATGTTTGTTATAGTGAATAACGATTTAAGTGTCGGACTGTTCATCAGACTAAATTACCTAATTCAATTCAATTTACATTTATTTGTATAGTGCTTTTCACAATCACAAAAATGTTATGACTTGTGTATTAAGTCTTTGTAATCAATTTTTTTGATGCTTTTAAGGTGCTTCCTTTTTGCAAGCTCTATTCATTAGAATTGCTTTGAATAGAGTACATTAGTCCAATTTTCTCATTTTTGTTACTTTTTTTTGTAAAAAAGTAAGTTTTTGTAAAAAAAAAAAAAAAAAGAGTAAGAAAAATGCAAGATTTTTATTTCCAGGTGAACTGACCCTTTTTGTAAAAATACCAAGTCAAAGTGTAATGTAGATGTAAACCTGAAATGAAATGATTTGATGGCTTACATCCAAATTCAAAATTAGAATATTGTGAAAAGGTTTTCAGAGCTGTAAGCCATAATCATCAAAATTATAACAAATGAAGGCTTGAAATATCTCACTTTGCATGTAACGAGTCTATATAATATATTAGTTTTTAACATTTTAAGTTGAATTACTGACATAAATGAACTTTTGCACGATATTCAAATTTTTTGAATTTCATCTGTATGTTACTTGACATGGTGAATTATGAGTAATAAACATGAGATTAAATCGAATGGCTTTATGGCTGTATTTTGTTCTGCTTTCCTAGAACTCTGGAATACCTCACCAAACATCTGGCACATTTAGCTACACTCAGTCACCAAACCAACATGCATGCTCGCAATCTTGCCCTGGTGTGGGCTCCGAATCTACTCCGGTGAGTCTGGCAGAGGTTTTACCTTCGTTTTATACATTAGTTATCCACTCTATTCATACACTCACCTAAAGGATTATTAGGAACACCATCTAATCAACCAATCACATGGCAGTTGCTTCAATGCATTTAGGGGTGTGGTCCTGGTCAAGACAATCTCCTGAACTCCAAACTGAATGTCAGAATGGGAAAGAAAGGTGATTTAAGCAATTTTGAGCGTGGCATGGTTGTTGTTGTCTGAGTATTTCACGATCTTCTCAGTTACTGGGATTTTCACACACAACCATTTCTAGGGTTTACAAAGAATGGTGTGAAAAGGGAAAATCATCCAGTATGCGGCAGTCCTGTGGGCGAAAATGCCTTGTTGATGCGAGAGGTCAGAGGAGAATGGGCCGACTGATTCAAGCTGATAGAAGAGCAACTTTGACTGAAATAACCACTCGTTACAACCGAGGTATGCAGTAAAGCATTTGTGAAGACACAACACACACAACCTTGGAGCGGATGGGCTACAACAGCAGAAGACCCCACCGGGTACCACTCATCTCCACTACAAATAGGAAAAAGAGGCGACAATTTGCAAGAACTCACCAAAATTGGAGAAAATGTTGCCTGGTCTGATGAGTCTCGATTTCTGTCGACATTCAGATGGTAGAGTCAGAATTTGGCGTAAACAGAATGAGAACATGGATCCATCATGCCTTGTTACCACTGTGCAGGCTGGTGGTGGTGGTGTAATGGTGTGAGGAATGTTTTCTTGGCACACTTTAGGCCCCTTAGTGCCAATTGGGCATCGTTTAAATGCCACGGTCTACCTGAGCATTGTTTCTGACCATGTCCATCCCTTTATGGCCACCATATCCCCATCCTCTGATGGCTACTTCCAGCAGGATAATGCACCATGTCACGAAGCTCGAATCATTTCAATTTGGTTTCTTGAACATGTCAATGAGTTCACTGTACTAAAATGGCCCCACAGTTACCAGATCTCAACCCAATAGAGCATCTTTGGGATGTGGTGGAACTGGATGTGCATCCCACAAATCTCCATCAACTACAAGATGCTATCCTATCAATACGGGCCAACATTTCTAAAGAATGCTTTCAGCACCTTGTTGAATCAATGCCATGTAGAATTAAAGCAGTTCTGAAGGCGAAATGGGGTCAAACACAGTATTAGTATGGTGTTCCTAATAATCCTTTAGGTGAGTGTAATTCTGTATGAGAGTCATACAATTGGTTATACCAAAAATATGTAAAGGGTCCACAGGGAATGTCTGTTGATGAATGGGATGCGTTCTTCATGCTACGTGCTATTATTCCTCACAAAGATGGATGATTTATTACTTATCTTCATTGCAATCCACCAAATAAACATGTTTTTCTAAGTACTCTCGTTTCTTTCGGTCCAGCTCTAAGGAAGTGGAGGTGCCCTCCTGCAATGGTGATATAGCGTTTCAGGAGGTGCGGATCCAGCAGTCCGTTGTAGAGTTCATTCTCAACCACACTCAGCAAATCTTCAACCAGGACCTTCAGCCCTCCAAGTCCAGAGAAGGTACATCTAGCATTAAACTGTTGTAGCATTAGTAGCGTTTTTTTTTTTTTTTTTTTTTTTTTTGTAATTGCCATTTTCCCTATCACATATTTTAGTTTTCACTTGGTATCATTCGAAAGCTTAAAGGACAACTCCGGCGCAAAATGAACCTTTGGTCTAATAACACATTGGTTCCTAGCCGACCGTTCTCTGATAATCAAATGTAAAGAGTTGTATCTTTAAAAACTGTTTTGCGCTGGAGTTGTCCTTTAAACACTCAATATTTATCCTGTGAAAACCGCTTTGAAATTAGATATCACCATAACATTGAACCAGGGCTTTAAATCCTTTAGGCGGGCTACGTTTTTCAACACAACTTGGTTAGACATATGGCTTCGATCTCCTAGTAATTTTAGGGTACGTTTGCATGACAAAGTTGTACTTTTCTTTTTTTTTTTTCGTGCTGACGTCAATGTTTTTTTTCTCAATGTGTTTTTTCAACCTTATTCCAAAGCAGTCATGAATTACGACCATTTAAAGGTACAAGATTGTTTCGCCACCAGGGGTCGCTAACCTCTTACAATAACAAAGGCGTATATTAATTACGTATATTCCTCGTTAAGCGGAATTACGGATCTTCTCATCAAGCTGGATCTTTTATGGATGAGTGAATACATTGATGTTTTTAAAATGACTAGTATGGAGCAGGGCGCGATTGCTAGACGTATATACCAGCACCACACACAACGCGAGTCCCGCGGATATAAAGGAATAAGGACATTTAATTCTACCGAACTACACGCTGAATTACTCACACAGGTCAGTTTATTAGAGGAATTAAGCTTGAGGTAACGCAGCACTACTTCACTTGCTCTAACACTTTCACTATCACACTAAACTGCATTTGAGTGTGTTGAATGTTAGTTAGGTTGTGTGTTGGCTGTATGAGACTAAGTTCGATCAACATTAGAGAATAACATACAGATCATATTCTAACTTTTCATCATGTTGAACTACATAACATTGATTAGTTTTATATACATTGATATGCTCACCTGTTTGCTCAAGTAACATGCAACACTCGCGTCTCTGTCAAGTCGAAGTTAGTCGCGGACGTGGAACTCTCGGCATTTCGAAAGATGTTGATCTTCATATTAGTCCTCTTTTTGTCTCAAAGTCTGCTTGCCATGGTCCATAATGTTTGAACAAAACCCTGCTAGAGACGCTCACGCTGTTGAGCACGCATAACCGACCCAGTTGTCCACGTCTGTCGCCATGGTTACTATTGCAATACGAGGTCAAACCTGACGGAAACTGGAGGTAACACGGATATGACATCATTGACTGGCGACTTCTCACCCCTTCTCACACGCCCCGTTTCCTTGGTTAAAAATCGCAATTTTCTCCCGATTTACAAATAGTTGGAAAAATGTGGGATATTGTACGTAATCAACAAAACAATATATAAATAATATATGGCCTAGTGGTTTTTGGATATTTTAATGCAAAAATCCTGCATATTTTACCTTTAAGTTCAGATCTATGCTCAAAAGGGTATGGCATTTAACAGGTTAATGCCCCGTTTACACGAAAGGAAGACGCAGATTTGCGGTTTGGCCTCTCATTTACATGAAAACCTTGTTTTTATCACAGAAAATTTCTAAAACCTCTGGCCAAAGTGGAGATTTCTGATTACACCGGTTATGTGTTGTCATGTCAAATGGGAGAAACGGGGTTTTAGGTTCTCTAACGTCACATTATGCGCCAGAAAATGCTTAACGTCAAGTGAGCGCCGAGTTTGGCATAGTTATGATGGCGCTCAACCGTGTATTTATGCGGGTTGATGTAAATGACTACTTTTTTGAAAACGATGTTGTGTGCACAATATTATTATTGAAAACAGAGGGGGGGAAATATTAATTTCTCTACATACCCAGCTATGTGTAAATGTGGGCTAAGTTGTGGAATAACAGGAGCAATGTAGTCACAATGAACAGACTATGCACTGTATCTCTCTCCAAATAGCTGTGCTGTGAGCAAAGATGCCAGATGTTGTTAGTATAGTCATTTAAAAACCTTCATTCAGAAATGAAATGTGTAATTTTTGAATGAGAAGGGAAGCAGTGAGAATATCTTTTATTTTTTTAATGTAAACCATCTGGGCATATTCTGTAACCATGCTGTACAAATCAAAACAAAATATACAGTAATTGGAAATTACAGCTCGTTAAGGTAATTAGCATACAGTAGTCTATGCTCAGTGGCGGTCTCACACAGCTTGTGATAATTTGATCAGGGGACTTGTGCTTTCTTTATCCCATTAGCCTCTGCTTTTCTAATAATACTCCTGTTTAGAAAGTGTGCTGACCAGAAATAAAGTCTGCCATATTAGTATGATTGCAATTAAATTAGCTGAGAACGTGCAACTAATGCACAATACACTTTCCCTCTGGGTGTTTGCATACATTAATAATATCCTCTAAATAAGTTTGACTGTGCTTTTCGTGCCAACTGTGATGATGAAGTCAGGAAATGGGTCTTAGATGTGGCGTGGGGTGTATACACAATGGCATGAGATCTGCAGCCAAAAATGGACAAGCAAAACAATAGACAAGTTACATATAAAAAAACAAACAGGTAATGGCTGCACACAAGCAATTGTGTTTTCATTTGTTGTTTACCGTGTTAAATGTGTATACAGTTATCTACCCAATGTGTTTTGAGTATACTGTTCATTTTGAGTAGATATTGTATGATGAAAACAGGGTATCGTTAAATTAAAGCTACACTGTGTGATTTTTACTCTCATCTAGTGGTGAAAGGGTATATGACCATTCAGTGAATATTAGTTTCTGTTCCTCTCAATCCCGATTTCATTTTAACTCCTACGGTGGCCAATGTAGTCCAAGATTAACATGGCTTCCAGTTCGACCTCGTCCATGAGTGTTAACCTCAAACGTAAACGCGAAAGGCGAAGCTTGAATTAACGGGTAAGCCCCTCTTTGGATAATGTACATTCAAGATGGAGGGGCAACATGGCGACCAACACCCGTATGTATTTTCAATGGCATATTATACACTCACGAGATTACTTTGTTACTTAAACGAAGTAAATATACATTAATGAGCACATATATTTTTGAAAGAACTAAGTGTTTTTAGCTAAGAATAAACTAAAAGAGTTACACAGTGTAGCTTTAAAGCTAAAAATACTAATAACATATTTGTTAATTGGAATAAAGCTTAAATAAAATAAAATATTAGAAATAAGTGTAAGTTGAATTACTAAATTTTACTTTATTCGTTTTAAATAAAAAAAACTGAACTTAAAATAAATTCAACCTAAATAATATTAATGAAAATGACAAAGGACATTAATAAATTACTATAGATTGAACTAAAAACTACTGAAAACTGAACGTATAAAAATAAAAGCTAATTCAAAATATTAAGTCTTTCCCTGCCAGCGTTTTTTTAAAGTTACTAGCCACCGCCAGCATTTTTGTATCACTTCCACAAAACTTTCATGACCCCCAGAATATTTTGTTGTGTGTATATCCGTATATATATATATATATATATATATATATATATATCCGTTTTATTCTAGCTTCATGCATTCTTTTTTTATCAACACTTGAGTGCGGGTAAGTTTCATAAGAAAAGTTTCATCATTTTGAACAAAAAGCTGAGAAAATCATGCTTAGAAACATACCTGGTTTCTGCTTCTTCTTCACCTGTGTTTTGATCTGGAGATTCAGTAGTACTCTTATAGATGATGCGTAAGCATAATTGTCACAAATTGTCATAAAAGTGCTAAATTTGACTGGGTGGGTTAAACTATGTTTATTTTGACAAAATCAGTTACCAGTTAGATTTACCATTCTGTCCACTTTAAAGGGTAAGACTGTGTGTCTGTCCACTAAAGCGTTTTTATCCAGCTGAAAATGCTAGACGCTCTGCTGAAGACGCTGTGCTTTTGGCGCTTGAGAGCGTTTTGGCAGCGCAACTTTTTTTCCGTTGAGACGTTTTGTTGCTATGATACAGAATATCTGCTGCAGTTTGAATGTTGTGACAGTTGGTCGGTGTGGTATTAGTCCCACCCTCCTCCACTGTGATTGGACGGCTGGGTAAAAAGTGACAGTGATGAGCGCTGCGTTTTATCCAAAGTTGAACATTTTTCAACTCCCAGCGACCAGTAAAAACGCTGGGCGCTCGGCGCCTCAGCGTGAAAAAAACGCGCAGCGCTTTGTTACGCTCATGGCGTTTAAAAAACGTGGAAAAAACGCTCATTAACTAAAAAAACTTGGTTTAGGGTTTAATTACTCTTTAAAGGTGCATTGCGCAAGTCTCTGAGTTTTTGCAGAACTACGCCCCCTCTGGTGACAAGCGAAACTGCAACCAGAGGTGTGCATGCTCATGGACCACACACACACACACATGCACGCTTGACACTTGCGCAAGCGGTTCATAACCAAAGGAGCGTCAGCCGCACAAATCTTTTGTTATAGTCATAATGTCTTCAGAGGTAATAAAGTTATAAATCTGCAAGTCATTTTAAATATATGAAAGGAAAGACATTTAAGTAAATTTGAGTAAAATTGAGAAAACGGGGGTAGTAGAAAACTTCGTTTTTTGTTTCCATCTATCTCCATGTTGAACTGTTTTATGTTTACTGTATCCACTTATGATTGTATTATTTTGGAAACACGTTCATGAACAATATAAGTTATTACTTTGTATAGGACACTTTGTATTTGTATCAAATCTGTGAGTAAATATTGACAAAATTTTCATTTTTGGGTGAACTAACCCTTTAATATAAAGTGGGGCCAAAAATGGTAATATACAAAATACTAAAATAACACTGGATGAAAATACGTTTTAAATGACTTGCATGCAGCCACGACTTGATGATATAGAAAACGCATGTGTCTTCACAGGCTTTGACCTCTTTTTAGTGATGCGGAGTTGTTTTTACTCTCAAGACAGGCCACAACTGTTTTTTATGGTTTTGTAGGCCCTAGCATGGCCTGTGGGGAGAAGTACGCCACCTTGCCCGCCAGCACACAGTGTGGTCCCATGAAGCTCATGAGTCTGGAGGAAGCACAGGCTCGCTCTCTCAGTCCCAACCATCCAGCAATGAGAGAACGGCAAAGAGAGAACAGCCTTCCAGACACCAGCACTGCGGCAATGTATCACACAGTAATAGATCTGTCTGACAGCAGGTATGATGCTCACCATACATGTACACACTCTCCTAGCATGTGTACTTTAGGTTTATACATTAACAGCATTGAAACTTTATTGGCAACTGTATATGAACTGTAATGCTTTTTAAAACATTTCCACTTTTTAACAATTTCCAATACATTCTCAAACATTCATAGAAGAAAATTCTCAGGAAAATCTAAGAAGTGGAAGTCCATCTTCAGTCTTGGACGATCGGTCATCGACTCCAAAGGGAAACTGAGTCGCAATGGGAGTGTCTTTATGAGAGGCCAAAATTCCTCAGGTAAGAAGGAAAAAAGAAAGAAACATCCAAAAAAATACAATAAAAAAGATAAAAATTGGAAGCTCTTTGTTCAGTTTGACTAAAAGCAAATAACACGTCAGTTGAAAAAAAAAAGTTATTAATAATTATTAACTCTAAAACCGTATTCTGGACAAATGTGGGCAAAATTGTTTTGATTTATTTTTAAAAAATAGTTCCCATGATCTGAGCGGTACAAGACTTGGCTACTTTTTCTAAGTTTGCTTCCTGAACACACACATTTTTTTTCGACTCATTTCTACAATATTAAGTGGGTGAAAAAAACCCTCCTTAATCTTGTATTTGGGTCAAAAATGGGCACCCATAGAAATGAATGGGAACTGTAATTTAGAGCATTCTAAAATAAGCCAAAATAACAGCAAAGTCACTTCATCTTCAGGTTTTAGCTCTAAGAACTTATTGGAATGATTTTTTAATGTAGTTAAAAAAAAAATTAAAAAGAAAACATAAAAATAAGCATAATTTACATAGAAAATATGGTACTTTTTGTACTAAATAAATTCAAAAATACCCCCAAAATTAAAAAAAACACCATAAATAGATAGACAAAACTTTATCGAAGACAATGATATAACATTTATAATAAATAAAAATTAGGATCACACCTGAGTCCTCTGTGCCCACATTTGTCCACAATTACACGAATAAGGGCTATAAAGTGAATATGCTACTAAAAATATTTTATTTTTAAATAGTATTTTTGCCAGACGTGTTGAAATGCAGAACACATACTGGCTTGCTTTACTGACTGTAGAAATTATTGTGGGTTTTATACATATTTTAAAACGACAGCACAATAAACATTAAAGTCGGCATGAAATGGAAGTTGTTATTGTCTTTTCTCCCCTACTGTGACTAGGGTTGGGTATCATTTGAATTCGAGCAATTCTAATTAGGTAAAGAAAGAAAATGAAGTCAAACATTTAGAAATCAGTCATATTTAATCCGTGCCATTTTGCAAAACACTGTTGCAGCTGAATACTATAAACATCAGCAGCCTGAACACATTACTCAATGGCACAGAGAAATTCACATTTATACATTAATTTAATACAAAGTTCAGGTACAGAAATTGAAATCAAATGTAAAATAACACTTCAAAGATTTCTTTTTATAAATAAAATATAAATAAATCCTTGTTAAAGTTGCAAAACTTAAAATATTCAGTCAAGATCAGTGGGTAATTTTCATTTTCTTTAGTTCTTTCTTTAACGTAAATGACACAGAGCATTAGGTATATTAGGCTGCTGTCACTTTAAGAGCTGAACAGATCCAATATACAGTTATCAACTGTTTACATTCACTTCAGTCTAACCAACTGTTCTTATTAGGATATTTTAGGATTAGGATATCAGGACTGCCGCCTCGCTTTTGGCTTGCTTTTGGCTTGCTCAGTTGGGGTTATTTAATATTTAACAATATTATTGATCTGTGTTGTACTACTTTCATGTTATCACTGTGAAGCTGCTTTGATACAATCTGTATTGTGAAAAGCGCTATATAAATAAATGTGACTTGACTTGACTTGACTATTTTGACATTATGTTGTGTGTATTTGCCTGTTCATGTGCAAGAAGATATGAAAGAGAACTCAATTCGGTATTCATGCACTAAATGAGCGGCTGCTTTTTGCACGTCCTCTTTGGATGTGCGCACAGAAAACAGCATGAGTGCTTTTTCTTGCCCTTGAATGGTTTAAAATGGTTTGTGTGTGTCCTATTGAATACACAGTTCTTGCACATTTTGATCCGGTGTTCTGATGATTTGTGCTATCCACTCAGATTGTGCAACCAGCATCATATTCATGTGGTTCTAGGCTTTATTTTTCACCTAAACGTACCCTTAAAGGGATACTCCACCCAAAAATAAAAATTCTGTCATCATTTACTCACCCTCAAGTTGTTGCAAACCTGTATGAGTTTCTTCATTCCGCTGAACACAAAGGAAGATATTTTGAAGAACGATTGGAACCAAACAGTTTATTTGGCACCATTGACTTTCATAGTAGAACAAACTATTATTATGGAAGTCAATGTTCCAATCGTTCTTCAAAATATATTCCTTTGAGTTCAGCAGGAGAAAGAAACTCACACAGGTTTGCAACAACTTGAGGGTGAGTAAATGATGACAGCATTTTCATTTTTGGGTGCAGTATCCCTTTAAAATAATGCAAATACAGTGTTGGTAGCACAATATTATAAATAACATTATTTGGCAGAACACCTGTTGTCGTACCCAACAATATTTGTGACACGGCTTCTCGAAGATAAAATATAGGGCGGGACTTGATTTTGTCTATCAGGAATTGATTGGATGGTGGTGGTTTGCTATTGGTGGATTTCATGTGAGTGACAGGTTACCCCCGCCCTCAGAATTATATTTATATTTTCCTATCATAGCTAATTTAGCTTTTGTTTATAGTAAAATTAAGTTGTAAAAAGCCAAAAAAATTATATATATATATATATATATATATATATATATATATATATATATATACGTATATGTTTTAATGCTTGTTTCCTCTCTTAAACAGAAAAAACTGCTATACGGCCATCCAAAAGCATGGATTCTCTCTGTTCTTTTCCAGCAGCAGGTGGGGCTAGATCTCCATAAATATACTTACCTCAGTGTCATTGTGCCTTTTATTTTTGCTTACAACATTTAAGGTTTGAAACAGAGATGTATAATATGAATAAATATAAAAATACATTAGATATTTAAAAGTTAGTAATTAATTCACTACATTAATTAAGGTGTCAGTGTGGTACATGGCCTATAAGCAAATTATAAAGTATTGTATTACAGAATAGGCTCATGGCAGGTTTATATCTCAAAGGAGGCTTTTTATCTGTTTATTAGTCTGTGAATGATTGAAATATAAAAAGTAACACCAACTGGTTTCAAGTGGATGTATTTGATGGAAGGCCTATAACATTAAAGGGGTAGTTCACTTTGAAATTCATTTTGATATGTTTTATCTTACCTCAAGGGCATCCAAGATGTAGGTGTCTTTGTTTCCACAGTATTTTAAATTTTTTTAGGTCAAACCGTTCTTGTCTGTCAGTCATATAATGGAGGTCTATGGTCACCACCTCAAAGAGCATGCACAGAGAAGTCCAAATTAAACATGATTTAATGACTCATAAATGTAAGTACACATTGATGGCCTAAGACACGAAACGAGCGGTTTGTGTGAGAAAACAAACAGCATTTATATCGTTTTCACCTCTTGTAACCACAGCCACGTCCAACTGATCTGAGCGTACAGGCACTTTGTGGCTGTGAGGTAAAACGAAATAAATAGTGTTCGTTTTCTCATACAAACCGCTCGTTTCGCATCTGTGTACTTAAATTTACGAGTCATTAAATCATGTTTAGTTTGGGCTTCTCTGTGCATGTCTTTGAGGTGGTGACCATAGACCTCCATTATATGACTGACAGACACAAACCGTTTGACTTAAAAATATTAAAATTGAAAATACTGCAGAAACAAAGACACCTACATCTTGGACACCCTTGAGGCAAGCTAAAACATGCCAAAAAATTAATTTCAAAGTGAACTATCCCTTTAACTAAGGTCATGCTTCCTTTAACAGTGTAAGTTTAATGTTTTATTTAGTTAATTCTAATAAAAAAAATTGGTTTGATTTTGTATTATGTCATACAAACATTTTTAAGTGTGGCTGAAGTGTGAAAATGCTTTTAGGGACTGCTGTATATTTGTGGCTTTCACGTATCACCATCAGTTTTCTCTTTTTCAATCCCACTCAGATGAGGACAAAATACCAACAGAAGGAAGTAATGGCATCTTCGTCCCAGTTCTTAAATCCCGAACCCTGGGCTCAGATATCGACTACAACCTGAACAATAAAGATTCGGACTTAGATCCTCATAATGCTTCGGGAGGATGTCCGAGTGAGAAAAGAGAAGGAGCTTTAAGTGCCTCCTCTTCGTCACCATCTTTATCCCCACTGCAGAAAACTCTTCCAGAACAGCTGAAAGTTTTCAAAGGTGACGAGCGCAGCGGCTGCCAGCCCACATCTCCTAAAAACCGTCGGATGTTGTATTCTGGATCTGCCAATAATGGATCATCTAGACCGTCTTTTCCAGGCAGCCTGTTTCCGCTGGAGTCTTCACCGCGGCACCAACGGAAGGCCCTCAACATCTCGGAGCCGTTTGCGGTGTCCGTACCTTTACGTGTGTCTGCGGTTATTAACTCTAACAGCACCCCCTGCAGGGCACCTGGCAAAGAGCGGGACAAGGGTTTAGGGGGACTCTTTAAGCCTCCAAAGGAGGCCGGACCCCTGGAAGCCCATCGGAGGGAAAGTATCGGCACTGCTGGATTCCCTGTCCACATCGGTGGCAGCAGTGGGAACTTTACGTTCACAGACTGGGAGACTGGGCTAGCAGCTCACACCAACAGTACTGGGTACCGAGAGCACCCGCTCAGTGACAGCAGCGGAGGCAGCGGATGCAGTATCTATAGCAACAGCAGCTCTTTCCCCATGGAGAAGGAGGATCAGACAGGGGAAAGAGATATTACAGATGCGATCACTCTGGGGACAGCAAAGAGTATGACGATTGTAGTGTGTGTGTGTGTGTGTGTGTGTGTGGTTCAGGTATTCCATACATTATGCAGACAAAATATAAAACAGATTATAAATCATACTAAATTATGTTTTTTGAAAATGTCAAAGTGCAGAAAGTTTTATGAGATGGCGTAGGTTTTATGGCTAGGGTTAATGTAAGGGGGGAGAATATACAAGTTGTAAAGTATAAAAATTAGGGCTGTCATAGGATTAATCACGATTAATCGCATCCAAAATAAAAGTTTGTGTTTACATAATATATGTGGGTGCATATAAATACACACAGGCATGTATATTTAAGAAAAAAAATATTATTTATATATAAAATATTTATATTTTTATATATAATATAAATTATGTACAGTATATACATGAAAATATTTCTTAAATATATACAAGCATGTGTGTGTATTTATATATATAAAATAATTATACACAGTGCACCCACATATATTATGTTAACACAAACTTTTATTTTGGATGCGATTAATCGCGATTAATCGTTTGACTGCCCTAATAAAAATCATTATGTCTATGGAAAGTCCCCTTAAAGGAGTAGTTCACTTTTAAAAAAGCTTTTGCTGATAATTTACTCACCCCCGTGTCACCCAAGATGTCCATGTCTTTCTTTCTTCAGTCGAAAAAAAATTAAGGTTTTTGATGAAAACATTCCAGCATTTTCTCCATATAATGGACTTCAATGGGAACCAAACGGTTCAAGGTTGCTCTGTTCTGTGATGCGCGTTCGTGACTCTCCTGTTCGAACTCGTTCATTAAAAATGAACAAATCTTTTTTGAGTCATTTCGTTTGTTGAATGAACCAAATGATTCGAAAAATAAGATTCGTTCATTTTGATGAACGAGTTCGAACAGGAGAGTCACAAATGCGCATCACAGAACAGAGCAAGGCAACCATTTGTGCTTATAAAACTTAAAGTTTTTTATTTATTTTTGAAATGATCGATTGTTTCGCTAGATAAGACCCTTATTCATCGTCTGGTGTCGTTTAAAGCCCTTTGAAGCTGCACTGAAACTGTCTTTTGGACCTTGAACCGTTTGGTTCCCATTGAAGTCCATTATATGGAGAAAATCCTGGAATGTTTTCATCAAAAACCTTAATTTCTTTTCGACTGAAGAAAGAAAGACGTGGACATCTTGGATCTCCTTTAAAACATGAAAACATGACGTGTGTGTGTGTGTGTGTGTGTGTGTGTGTGTGTGTGTGTGTGAATATAAGTGTATTTTAATTGAGTGACAATCCTTTTAAACCTGCATTGATAAGTTGATTAATTACATTTAACAAAAACAAAGTTAAACACTGACATACTCTTTTACTCCTTCATTATCATATACACTGCCAGGCCAAAAAAGAAAAAAAGGGGTCGCTGTTCAGATTTTAATAGGAAAATGCACAAGGGTCTATGATTGGATCATTACTGCAGTGATTATTCTATAGCATGTTATGTTAATTTCATATACAGTAGGAAGACACATCATGGCCATATTCCAGGATGACAATGTCAAAATTAATCAGGCTCAAACAGTGAAACTATGAATGAATTTAAGACTCCCATGGAGTTTGAAGAATCATTTTCACGCATGAATCGTCCAGAACTTAAATTCATTGAAAGTCTTTGGGATGTGCTGAAGGAGACTTAACAGAGTGCTGGACTCTAGCATTGACAATACAAGATCTTGACCAAAAATGTATGGAAATAACATTATTTTCCATCAATTTGTGGCTTCTACCTTTTTTTGGTCGAGCAGTGTATTATCAGATTCATTGAGTAGTTAGATGAAGTAGAAAATAATTTAGATCTACATTTTTTTAAAGCAATAACTTAAAGGTGAAATGTGTTGTACAACATCGTTAGGTTGTAAACGTGATTTCGAACATTGCCTTGTTTTGAAAAGCAGAAAAGCAACACTCAACCAATGTTGTGTGTTTGGGCTAGATTGTCAGATATGTAAAGGCTGATATTGGCAATCACATTATTTTCGCAATTCTGTTCGGTTATGCTACTGCTGCAGAAATGACACACTGCACTTTTAACTCTACTAACTCTACTGATTATCTGTACTTTCTCAGGAAAGGATGCAGAAGTGAGAGAGCTGATAGCCAGTGTGGAGAATTTTGAACCTCAGGTGTCGTCTGAGACTAAAGCAATAGGGGAAGAACTGGAAACTACATCAACACAACAAGAAATAACACAATTGGACAAACTGGTATGATTTGAATTTCTAAAACATCAATTAAACAGAATTAATTGTACCCCTGTATTTTTTAATACGATTGAAGTACTAACAAGACCAAATAATTTAACTGTAAAACTAGCCAAGATGAAAAGATAATAGTGATATATATTTCGATTCTTTTCTATTTTATTCGGCTCCAGTTTATTCTGTTCTATTCTTCCTTACTTAACTCCTAAATTATATTTAGGTCATAATTTATGTATTAAAAAAAGTTTCAAATGAAAATTCTGTCAACATTTACTCACCCTCATGTCACTTCAAACCCATAAGACTTTCGGCCAACTTAAATGAATACATTTTTAATGAAACCTGAGAGATTTCTGTCCTTCCATTGTAAGTCTACTGTAAGTAACCAAAACTTTGATGCTTCAAAGAGTTCATAAAGACATTGTGTGAATCAGGCAGTTTAACCCAAGTCTTCTGAAGAGACACAATGGCTTTATTTGATGAACAGATTTAAATTTAGGCTTTTATTCACATACAAACATTGATCAGTGAATGTACATAAAGCACTCAAATAGGGAATGTTTGCTTTACGTGTGAGAACCAATGAGGTTTGATCATGATGTGCATCAATCGAGTATGATTGAGCTTTCATTTTCCATATTTGAGTGCTTTATGTATGTTTGTTTACATGTAAATAACAAATTAAATCTGTCAGGTCATCATATAAAGCAATCGTGTCTTTTCAAAAGACTGCGCAGTTCATATGGATTACATTTACAATTTTTTTGAAATTTTGAACTGTTTTGGTGACAGTCAGGGGCGTTTTCTTCATTAGGGCGATTGGGTGACGCACCACTAAAGTGTGAAAGGGACTTTTTCAATCACATTCACAATCTCATTCAACCACAGAGTTACGCTAGCTAGCCGTCACACTAACATGCTTACGTCATCATACGTATCCTTAACTTGTGCAGCGATTGGTGGGAACAAACATGCACTATTAAAAATCTTTAAGATTAAGTGACAAATAATATTTGAAAACAATTTTGAATTTGAACAAGAAGAAAAAATGAAACACTACTTTAATATCTTTATCAAATATGATTAAAGCTACACTGTGTGATTTTTACCCCCATCTAGTGGTGAAAAGGTATATGACCATCCAGTGAATATTAGTTTCTGTTCCTCTCAATCCCGATTTCGTTTTAACTCCTACGGTGGCCAATGTAGTCCAAGATTAACATGGCTTCCAGTTCGACCTCGTCCATGAGTGTTAACTCAAACGTAAACACGAAAGGCGAAGCTTGAATTAACGGGTATGTCCCTCTTTGGCTAATGTACTTTCAAGATGGAGGGGCAACATGGCGACCAACATTAGAACCCCTTACCCGTATGTATTTTCAATGGCATATTATACACTCACGAGAATACTTTATTACTTGAACCAAGTACATATACATTAATGAGCACATATATTTTTGAAAGAACTAAGTGTTTTTAGCTAAGAATAAACTAAAAGAGTTACACGGTGTAGCTTTAAAGCTAAAAATACTAATAACATATTTGTTTATTGGAATAAAGCTTAAATAAAATAAAATATTAGAAATAAGTGTAAGTTGAATTACTAAATTTTACTTTATTCATTTTAAATAAATACAACTAAAACTGAACTTAAAATAAATTAAACCTAAATAAAATGAATGAAAATGACAAAGGACATCACTAAATTACTATAAATTGAACTAAAAACTACTGAAAACTGAACGTACATATACATTAATGAGCACATATATTTTTGAAAGTGCTAAGTGTTTTTAGCTAAGATTAAACTATAAGAGTTACACAGTGTAGCTTTAAAAAAATAAAAATAAAAAATAGGCTAGAATGAGAGCTAGAGAGACTATTGGGATATCTCGTGAGTTGAGGCCAGTTGAACTTGAACAACGTTATGGCGAACGCAGCTAATTCTATAGCGCCATTAAAAGAAATACCATTCAGCCGTCATAGTAATCAGGATAAACTGTCAATTAAAGAGTTAGGACCACTAAGACCAACTGTTGGCTGCACACGCAAGGTCTCTCGCTCGCTTACCTCTCTGCCGTCGTGCGCGGTTAGGAGCTCAACATCGGTCTCACATGCACGCTCGCTCTAGATTACATGATATTTGAACTAATTTGCTGTAAAACTAGTCGATCACAAGTGGCTCAACATGTAGATCTATAGATAAACTCATCTTTGAGCCATTTGACCGACCGGGTTGACACTTAAACGTGAGAAATCGGGGGTGTGTGGCGTGAGAATTGGCTCAATTTATGCTGAATGCGTGAGAGTTGGCAGCCTTGCTTATCCCTATCAATCATCCAAACATTTATCCACAAGTTTCCTACGCCCCATGAGGCCTTGTGTCAAAAGTGGGCGCGACTTCCGGTTGGAAGTAAACAAAGCACGATTTGACATGCTTGACACTCGTTCATTCAACAGTTGACAGTCATTCAAGTTATAGCGATCCAAACTAGCTAACGATGTGGGAACACAACCTCAACGAAATTAAAAAAGGTGAAATAACAGTGCCTTTACCCTCCGCAGTAGTTGATTGGGAGTATTATAATAACATTATTAATAATCAATACTCATCAAGGCATGGTGACAGACAGTTGTGCGAGCTGACAAACAATTAAAATAAAAAATACACACTTAGTCATTGTGCTTTGGAGTTTATTCAAAATTATAAATGAATGTGCTACTGGATTACATTAACTGGCACATTTGGTATTCTGTCAACACAGGCTTTGATCCTGAGTTTAGGTGTAACATCAGTAGAGAACAGCCAAACACATGCTGATAAAAGTTTATAGAATATTAAGAATTTAATCAAATGTACACAGGATGATTCGTCGTCTTTTGGGAGGTGATGGAAACTACAGTCGTTGGCAGGATCACTCTGATTTCGTTTTCGGCTTATGTTCAAAACAATCACGTTTAAGCCACTGAACTAGTTTAGTCCGGTTATACATACAACCGCGAACAGCACATGTTGTCCCTGAGCTCCGTAACGACATCTCTCATAAAGATTTGCGTCTTTAAATAGTAAAATAATTCTCCGAAAAACAGCTAGCCTCTTCGCTAACTAACACACAAAATACCATTGGAATGCTACTTCCGCCGCCTCACCGGAAGTTTCACCCACTTTATTTTTTACAGGAGCGCCCCTCGGAAACTTGTGGATAGGTTTGGAAGTACATAATGACATGATAATAGATTAAAAAAAATGTTAGTGAAGTAACCCTTTAAGCCCACTGTCTTAGAAAGGCATAATTGTGTCTTCATAAATATTACTGGAACAAATGCCTCTAACCAGTCCTCACCTTTTTTTTTTCTTATTTTTGTTTCTTTGTGCTTGACAGGAAGTACTCAACGAGGTGTCATCGTCTGACATGCATCAAAAAGTTTCAGTCACTGAGGCTAAAACAAATGTGCTAGATGAACAAGTGAAGCCCAGCTTCACCAAAATGACTGGAAACGAGGACAAGCTAAGTGGTCAAACACGGAGAAGAAGTAGTTTGCCCACAAATACCGCATCACCAAAGGGACTCTTTATAGACCTCACCAAAAACGTAATGTTTGATCATCCTGGTGCTACTACGTTTAATTCTGCCATGAAGCATTTGCCCGAAAGATTGTTGTCATGTGACGGTGGCTGGAATTACTTGGAAAATGATGTTGACTGGACAGACCACAAGAGACCAGAGTCACAAAACATAATAACAACCAGTCTACAACTTTCCCCATTTCTCCACCTAAAGGAAACCGATATTCTCCAAGACGCAGAGCCATGCAGTGAAGAGGAACTAAGAAGTGGAATCATTAGTAACAAAGAATCATTAGTAACAAATGATATTTGTGAAAAAGGAAATAAGGATGTTATTGATGAACCCAAGAAACTTGACTTAGCAGGAAGAATCAAGGGAAGTTTAGAAAGACTGTCAACTTGTCTGAACGAACAGCATCTCACATTGGAAGTTTTGCACCAAGATGACGTAGACACATGGGGGAGTAATTTGGGTGGTTTGGATCAGGTTGAACCATGGGAAGATTTGTGTTCTGCCAAACAGTGGGTGACAAGCCCTCTGCACTCCCCAACACTTGAGGATCTCTTGCCTATGCCAAAAGAGACAATGAGCCAAATTCTTGATAAGCCAAAAGGGGAAGAGTTGCCCACCAGCAAGAAGGATGACGCCAAAGAACCAACTGTGCTTATTGACATTACTTCATCTCAAACAGAGGCTGCTCTAACATCCTGTGAACTTGTAAACCCAACAGGAAACCAAAATGCAGACACTGGTGTAGCTTGCTCTGCACAGGTAATGGATGGTAACAAGTGGGTGGGAGACAAAGAAGACAAACTTGAGGTCAAGATATTGAAGACATTAACTGATTCAGACAAGACCACTGAACTGCAAGACTTGAGCAAAGCAAAACCGAAGCGCTCTCAGAGATTTCACCGACAGACATCCCACGAGTTCTGCATCGTGGAGAGAAGTCAAGAAAACATTAAACCTAAGCTCAGGCCATGCTCCCTAAACCTTGATTTAGGACACCAAGGTTTCAGAGACATCTCGAATAGTCAGTATCTGAAAAGTGCAAAGCAATCGATTGCACAGGAATGGGTGACGCATGGAAGCTCATCTCTAGAGTTGGAGCTATTCCTGAGTGGCTCCAAGGCACCAATGCGACGCAACTCTGCACCAGTCAGCGTGTCGTCGGTTCGCACCGCATTCATGATCAAAACCTGCCAAGCAAAAGCTGTTCCTGTTATTCCGCCAAAAGTTCAGTACAGCCACATACCTCATGCCCTACTTGAGGGGAGCACTGATCAAGTCAGCAAGAGTACACCTGAAAAGAAACCTGCCAAGGGCAAGTTGGGAAAACCCGGTTCTGCACTTCCCCTCCAGAAAGTCAAAGACCACAGGGAGGAGCTGCCAAGCGGGGAACCACCGTCAGTCGTTCAAAGACAGAATGCGACATGCAATTTTTTCAAACCAACATCCATTCCCGATCTTCCAGTGTTGAGGAGGAAGCGATCTGCAAATGGGGACACCTTTATGGATCGTCCTAGACCTGAGCGCTCAACGCTTCTTCAGAGATCGTCCTTCAGAAATCGGCCGAGACCTCAAAGTCTCATCCTGTTTAGCCCCCCTTTTCCAATCATGGACTACCCTCCGGTAGGGCAAGATGGTAAACTGGGCCTATCCCCCATTAAAGCTGAAGCCTCACCGTTTGACGTCTATGCAAAAGAACTAGCTGAAAACCTCAAGACTCCCGAGGGGGTAACCTTGCGTAATAAAATGACTTTGCCAAAGAGTGGACAAAGGCTTGAGACCTCAACCAGTTGCTTTTACCAGCCACAAAGGAGGTCAATGATATTTGACAACAGAAGTAACAGGCAAATTGAGTGATATAAGACCATTGTGTGATAGCTAGCAAACTTCTAGCTTATCAAATGTTCCCGAGTCTCAGTATACCCTATAGATGTTTGGAAATCAAGGTGCCGTTAATCTTGATAATCAGAATTGTAAGTATTAAGCTTTGTGTAAAATTATGCTGCTGCTAAGGATTTATATCAGAGATTTTTTTTTTTCTATCATTGCAAGAAAACCTGAAACATGCCTAAGGATAAACCTGGGAAACTTAGCATGCTCCTACTGTATCTGTAAATACAAATTGTACAAGCACATCTCGGTTTTAAATCGACTCAATTCCCCTTTCGGAGCTGAAGGTCTTTGTGTTTGTTGCTACTTTATCATGATTGGATCAAATTGTGTTTACAGTTGGAGCATTTATAAATTATCTACATGATGAAACTAGGTCTTCAACATGCCAGCCAATGAGAAAATAAAACTATTAAAAATACTTTGACATGACATCAACAAAAAAACAAACACACATTTATTTATTCAATAGTCTTGTTTTGCCATACAAAACTGTACTCTAAAGAGTACAAATCATTGTACAAATTTTTTGGTAAAAGTACAATGATTTGAGGATAAATGTTAAAAGGTCAATGTTCTTGAATAATTCAAACATTGCCTCTAGCTGTGTTCTCTTCTCCAGTGGATATAGCAGGTGCAGGTTTTTTATATTTTCAAATTTCCTGATTACTTGGTTAACTGAAATGTATGAAACAAATATGGCGAGGTTTCAAAAAATTGAAAGATTATAAAGAAACTGTCTGTATTTTATATAAACCACAGAGCAGAGAAGTTTTGGTTCAAGGATGAGAGGAAGTTTAAGGATGAGAGATCATGATGATGATGATGTTGTCAGTTATTGTAACCAAAGAACACTAACCTTGTAATATGTTCTTTTTGTATTCAGTCACATTGGATATTGTATGTATTCCATTCTAAACAAAATAATAAAAGTACTTCACATGTATTGTGTACACTGTGACATACAGTACACTTAAGCGTTTCCATGCCATATTTCTATTTGCATATTTGAATTTAATGGAATGCAGAACACATTCTTTAGAAATGTTGGCCTGTATTGATAGAATAGCATCTTGCAGTTGATCAAGATTTGTGGGATGCACATCTAGTTCCACCACATCCCAAAGATGCTCTATTGGGTTGAGATCTGGTGACTGTGGGGGCCATTTTAGTACAGTCAACTCATTGTCATGTTCAAGAAACCAATTTGATATGATTTCAGATTTGTGACATGGTGCATTATCCTGCTGGAAGTAGCCATCAGAGGATGGGGACATGGTGGCCATAAAGGGATGGACATGATCAGAAACAATGCTCAGGTAGACCGTGGCATTTAAACGGCGCTAAGGGGCCTAAAGTGTGCTAAGAAAACATCCCCCACACCATTACACCACCACCACCAGCCTGCACAGCGGGAACAAGACATGATGGATCCATGTTCTCATTCTGTTTACGCCAAATTCTGACTCTACCATCTGAATGTCTCAACAGAAATCGAGACTCATCAGACCAGGCAACATTTTCTTCAATTTTGGTGAGTTCTTGCAAATTGTAGCCTCTTTTTCCTATTTGTAGTGGAGATGAGTGGTACCCGGTGGGGTCTTCTGCTGTTGTAGCCCATCCGCCTCAAGGTTGTGTGTGTTGTGTCTTCACAAATGCTTTGCTGCATACCTCGGTTGTAACGAGTGGTTATTTCAGTCAAAGTTGCTCTTCTATCAGCTCGAATCAGTCGGCCCATTCTCCTCTGACCTCTAGCATCAACAAGACATTTTGGCCCACAGGACTGCCGCATACTGGATGTTTTTCCCTTTTCACACCATTCTTTGTAAACCCTAGAAATGGTTGTGTGTGAAAATCCCAGTAACTGAGCAGATTGTGAAAAACTCAGACCGGCCCGTCTGGCATCAGCAACCATGCCACGCTCAAAATCGTTTAAAGGTGCAATGTGTAACAAAGTTGAGTATCTATTAACAGAAATGCAATATGACATCCATAACTATGTTTTCAGTGGTGTATAAAGAACTTACTTAATTAACCGTAATGTTTTTATTACCTTAGAATGAGACATTAATAGCTCCATAACCGCAGGAATCCCCTTCTATGAAGGTCACCATGTTGTGACGTCATATTCCTACCGTAGCCGAACGCGAACACACAGTGCTACAGAACGCGTTTCATCACTACCTTGAAAGAGAAGTAGCGGAAAGCTAGCCTTACACTCCGTGAGTAGTGACTTTTCCCTTGTGAGTGGTGTAAAATATGTAGTTGGGATTGTTTCATGTAACTTAGCTCTCCCTCGCTGTGTTATGGGTTTGTTATGTTGGGGATAGATGTGCTGTTACGTTCGTGAGACAGCTGATGATTAGTATTCATGTCATTGACCGTAAAACAGTACGTTACAGGAATCACTAACCCGTCGATAGAGACTTTTACTAAAGTCTTTTATCACTAAAGTCGATCGCGAAGATTTTTCAAAATCAGAGAAAAAAAGCCTATTGTGTGTAGTAAATAGTATCTATGGGATGCGGAGATGACATGATTGTAACAGCGCGCGCACTTCCGACCTTTGGACTCATGCGGACGCGTCCCAGCTCAGCCACAGTAACAGCTCATATTAGCCAGCTAAACTATTACTACCCTGTTAGAAAAAATATATAGCTGCTCCCTCGCTGTATTATGGGTTTGCTGCTACTACAGTATGTGGGGATAAATGTGCTGCTGGTTACGTTTGTGAGACAATCAGCTGATTAATATTATTTTATTAAATTATATATTAAAACCCTTGATCCTCACCTGACTATGGCTTTGTAAACAGTATTCATGATGTGGTTTATAATGGACTGTGGTACAGAAACAGTGACAATGTTACACACTCTTGGCTTACTCTGGCTATTCTCTGCTGTCTCAGCCGACGGGATGTTTGTCCCGTTTTAGCAACCGTAGCTTCTTCGAAAGGGAGGGGTGAGCAGTGGGCTGAGCCCTTAGTGCAAACCTGGTGCAAACTCGCAACCGAACCACTAGATGTCGCTAAAAATCACACATTGCTCCTTTAAATCACTGTTCTTTCCCATTCTGACATTCAGTTTGGAGTTCAGGAGATTGTCTTGACCAGGACCACACCCCTAAATGCATTGAAGCAACGGTCATGTGATTGGTTAATTAGATAATTGCATTAATGAGAATAGGTGTTCCTAATAATCCTTTAGGTGAGTGTGTGTATATATATATATATATATATATAGGCAAATATAAATGATAAAAAATAGAAGCAAATCACCTATTCAGGATGTGTGCAAAAATGGGAAAGAAATATAATGGGGCCAAAGAATACATAACCTTACATAAATGGTACAATAAAGTGGTTCAGGGACACAATTTGCTTTATGCTAGGGTAAGCTGTGTTATGTCAAAGGTAAGTTGAATCACCGTGGAATATAGGAACAATTTACATTTTAAATACAACAATGGCCATAGTCAAAGTCCTTTTAGGCAAGTCATGCCACTCACCGCCATCTATGGTGTTACGGGTTTTCCTTATACATTTGTATAAAGGATTGAGGAAGTGGCATGTCTCTATATAAATAGTCTCTGCCATAGTGTATAAAAACAAGAATCACATTCCGAAGTCTTATGTTGCAGAATAATAGGCTATTCAGTTTCATAAACCAGCCTTTTATAAAGCTTTTAATATTCATAATATTTGAATACAGTGAAACAATGTACAATATTATATATATATATATATATATATTGAAGAGTTCAGATGCAAAAGCCTCTAAATGCCATTTGAAATTTTCTTCTAAAATGGTCATTTTTATCAAGCTTATATATTCAAGTTCAGTAATTTCACTTAAATGACAATTAATAGATAATCCTCGTTGCAATTTAAGTGAAATTACTGAACTTAAATATACAAGCTTGATAAAAATGATCATTCTAGAACAAAATTTCAAATGGCACTTAGAGGCTTTTGCATCGGAACTCTTCATATATATATATATGTGTGTGTGTGTGTGCCTGCGTGCGTGCGTGCGTGCGTGCGTGTGTGTGTGTGTGTGTGTGTGTGTGTGTGAAATGTAAAGCTAGCTACCCTTAATAAAGACTTAATAATTATGTTCACTTCAATTACTTCACTAAAAAAATTCTTATAACATCATGTAATGGTTAAAATGCATCGCATGCAAACGCTTATTCTACTCTTGTTTACTCATTAAAAACATATTAGAGTTCTGTTAAAAAAATAAATAAAAAAAACACAATAAATGCAAAGAGACAATGTAGCTGTCAACTTATTTTGACATTTATTTTCATTTAAAAATGAAGAGAATGCATGTAATAAACCAGTCTTGAAACACAAGATGTTGCTCCAGAGTAAATGTAAATAACAATAGAAATACACTGCAAGAAGAGCCAACTATAAACAAAGACTTCCTTCATTTATGCAGCAAAAATACATCATGGAAATTTGAGTGCAGAGCAAAAGCCAGCTTGTGCCTGGCTTACAATGTTATGGAGAATACATGTAAAATGTATAACCTAACAAGTTGCTAAAATGTAGTTGTTGATAATGCCAGAATACAAATCAATCCGTTCTGTGACATGATATCCAGAGAAGGCCTGTCAGTAATAACTCTTAAGTTACTTTTTTAATGGATTGGATTGGAAAATACATGGATAATGGATTTTAATGGAAATATATATATTGAGATACTTAAAACTTTAGGTCACTCACAAACTTGATAAATTTGGAAGACTGTTGCTTGGAAACAACAATGCAGAGTCAGTGAACAACCTGCAGTAACCAACACACCTCACTTAAAGAAATATATAAATAAACGTATAAATATGTATTCAATTCCTTGCAACGCCATAGTTCCTTTGCTTTTTAATTCATTATGATTTGACAAATGTATTGCTTGACTCATCACGGATTTTGATCTTCATTTGCACCTGCAAAAGTTTTTGTAAAGTCAGTTGTGACTGATTCACAGTGGTTCACAGCTAGTCAAAAATATCACTTTTTATTATTAAAAAATATCATCTATAAAATGAAAAAGCTACATTTAAATCATGTTTACAAGGCCAACTTAAAGGGATAGTTCACTTTGAAATTAATTTGTGATATGTTTTAGCTTACCTCAAGGGCATCCAATATGTAGGTGTCTTTGTTTCCACAGTATTTTCAATTTTGACAATTTTTGGTCAAACCGTTGTTGTCTGTCAGTCATATAATGGAGATCTATGGTCATCACCTCAAAGAGCATGCACAGAGAAGTCCAAATTAAACATGATTTAATGACTCGTGAATGTAAGTACACATTGATGGCCTAAGACTCGAAACGAGCGGTTTGTGTGAGAACAGCTGTCGAACTGATCTGAATCAGATGTCCAACTGAACCGAACTGAACGTCTCCAACGTGACTCTGGAAGGGATCGCGTGCGTATGTGCGTACGCAATGAAAGATGATTTCGATATGTCTAAATATGTTTAGTAAAAGGTAAAACTTCCGAAATCTCTGTGTAAACAATGCGTGACGTACATACGCGATTACTTCCGGCGTCACGTTGGAGATGGTTCAGTTGGACATCTGATTCAGATCAGTTCGACAGCTGATAACAAGACGTAAACTATATAAATACTGTTAGTTTTCTCACACAAACCGCTCGTTTCGTGTCTTAGGCCATCAATGTGTACTTACATTCACGAGTCATTAAATCATGTTTAATTTGGACTTCTCTTTGAATCGCTCTTTGAGGTGGTGACCATAGACCTCCATTATATGATTGACAGACAACAACGGTTTGACCAAAAAATGTCAAAAATGAAAATGCTGTGGAAACAAAGACACTTACATTTTGGATGCCCTTGAGGTAAGACAAAACTTATCAAAAATTAATTTCAAAGTGAACTATCCCTTTAAATAAGTTAAATTGCCTGAACAGTGACAAAATGCAATATATTTAACAAACACTTTCTCTTAAATAAGTCCGCATATATTGTACAGAGAGAGAGAGATCTAAATGGGGAAATTCCATACATGATTTTTACATTAAAAAAAAAAAAAAACCTTTATTTACTTTATTTTTATTCCAGATAAATGAGGATGTCCCTAAAGAGAGGTTTTGGTCATTTTTGGGATCAAATTTGTCCCCAAAATATAGTTAAGTAGGCATACACTCACACAGTATATATCTCCAATATTAGGCTCTATCCTTCTTAAATATACTGTCATCAATCATTCTAGAAAGACTTAAATCAGTCAAGACTCTGGATATCGTCTGAAAGAAATATACCTGTATATATATAAACATATAAACTGAAGGAAAGTTTAAAAAATACCTGTTCTAACATGAATTGAAGTGGATCATCTGGTCTATCAAAAACCAGTTTCTCTGTGATGTCCTGAAATAAGACAAATGAAATTGAGTGAAAAACACAAAACAGTTATGGTGGTCTTGGAAGTCTCAAGCATCAAAAGGTGTCCTCTGCTGCTAAAATGACACTGGTAGTTAGTAAGGGCTCTTTTAATGCTGTAGAACTTATGAAGCAGTATGTTGCTTCGTTAAATTAAACTGAAATAATGCAACACGTTAACCCCTTCATAACCTTTTTTTTTTTTTTTTTTTTTTTAAGCCAATACAATTTATGTTTTTTTTATAATATGAGCAACGCCGGTCACTCATTGGTCTCTGAATAATCAATCAAAAAGAAGATATGACCCCCTAATTATTTTAAGTTTAATGTACATCACAATGGACATCAGGTTTTATCTGCAGGAACCTCAAGAATTAGTTGTGTGTAAAATTTATGCAAGCCTTTCAAAACTAAAATACAGAACAAATTCTAACATCGACCTTTTATGAAGATTAATGTTAGTTAATAAATTATTATTAATATGATTTTGTCTTCAAAGTGACCATAAACTGTCCATCAATTTTTCATTGGTTTTAGTGAGAAACAGCCACAGATGAATGACAACACACACTCACACACCCGCCACACACTGATGCCTTGATGCTATGCACACACAATCATATAAAGTATATGCTTACACAATATATTCATTAAAACAACCAAGTACACATAAACACATCCACACAAAGACATTTCACTCACTGCAACCAACAAAACGAAAGTTTTATTGAGACTTTATATCATCATACTCTTTTTTTTTTTCTACGTTATTATTGCATTGCTCATTGTTACAGTAACTTATGTGTTATTTTCACAATCTTCAACACTATTTCAACCAGTTCACAAACTCTAGTTCATAAGTATGGTTAAAATATGAGAATTTCTATGTTGATTCAGTCGTGGTGTCCATGTAAAAAATCTAAGTTGGCAAGATTTTTGTTTTTTAGTTTAATTTCTTCATTGAAGAATAACGTTAGAAAATTTGAAATGAAAAGCTCAGTGGGGAACAAAAATCAGGTCTGAAGGGGTTAACATGACTAAATTTTTTAACATAGCGTTTTACTTGTTAGTTCTGTTAGAGCTCTGAATTGTGCTTCGCCATTTTGTGCTAATCCATTCATCACTGTCTACCATTTTCTGCGTAAGAAAATATATCAGTAGCTGCAGCTTTGTTCTTTCTCACCTGAAAAATCTGAAGAATATTATGAGTCTCCATATAGTTAACAGAGCGTTCGTAAGGGTCCGTGAACACTGACGAGGAGACACGAATGCTCTCCGCACTCTCGGTGATAAGCAGTTTTTCTGATAGAACAGAATCTGCCATCCCACAAAGTCAATAGTCAACTAAAAAAACGATATATATATACAAAAAGTAAGTTGCGAAGAGGACTTCCGAGTAACATTATAACTCAAATAGTTAGCGTTCGCTCTTTAAGAAAGGATATCAGATGCATTACCTCAGTTTAAAACAAAAATAAAACTTTTTTTTGTCTTTAGTCCGTTTTATGCAAATAGAGAAATCAAATGAGTCGCGTATCTCGAGCAGGACGGTTGGAAATGTCAGCCTGTAACCCCTAGCAACTGTAAACAAAAGGCTTGAATGATGTCATTGGGCACAGTTCCCCGGGACATCGCCTTTGAATCGTGAGGAGTCTAGAAAAGGGTTGTTAAAAAAAAACTGTGTTCTTACGGTCGAAATATTACTTTTGCAGTTGATGCCAATTTTACGATCTATTTTTGGACAAGAAACTACCTCAGAAGACCTCGGGCTAACGTTTACAATACGACTGACAAAGGGAAGGAGGGGCTAAACTGCTGTTTCTAGGTTGCTGGTCGTCCTCAGCTGACACTTCGGCCTACAATGGGTGCATTTTATGTAGGGCAGACGGTGTGCGTGTCCCCCGGTGAACCTCTCGACGGAACGGTGCTGTTCATGTTTATAACCGAAAGGGGGAACTCGATATCAAGAAAAGCTTTCAAACTACGGAAACCTCCTACTAAGCCGAATAATATAATATGGAGGAGAGGGATTGTTACATGTGACGAAATACTTACGTGAGCCAAGGTCGAGCAGCTTTTATCAAATTAATATACAGAAGATATATAAGTATCGGTTTGCTATATGCCTCTTTTGACGTATGGCATCACAAAACCTGGGACGTCGCCTAACTCATATCGCTGCCAATATCCCGACATAATATTCATGTTAATTACTGTTCACTGCTATCATAACGCTAAGACAGGATCAGTCGTTCAAAGGATGTATTCTGCTACATATGATGTGTGTATATATATATATATATAATAGCGCATGAAAAATGAAAATCACTTAGGCTTGAAGGTTGATTATTCCTCGTCTAGACTACAGTGTACCGCGCGCGCGCGCACACGCACACACCTGTCATTGTCTAGACTGGGGGGTGTCGGGGGGAGGGGGGGGGCTCGTGAACCACTATTGCATTATTTTGTGTCTGTCACAACGACTCTGTGAACGTATTGGGGAACAAAAAATGTCGGTGTCACTTTTCACGATCTGATTGGCCCGCAATCCCGTCAGCAACTCTCCTTACGTTTCCTTGAGGTCAGCTAGGGACGTTAAAAAATAAATAAATGAGAAAATAGAAATGCGTAGAAAGTAAAAGGCACGGGTTGAACAATCTAGCTTGTTGGTCTTCAAACTGACGGGCATCGTCATCCTCCAATGTGGGACCAGATGTAATTTGGATAAATTTATTGACACTGTCCCTAACCAATCGAAAGTAGGCTATCTATAAATGATCAACATGAGGGATTCTCGGATGACTGGCCTTTTGATCGAGGACGGGACATGGGTTTCGGGGAGTTTCATTCGCGCAAAATAACACTAATTTCGTGGTAACGTATGCATTTCTTTACGCTCGAGGATCAAGCAGAAACTCCTCAACAAAAAAGGGACGCACTGAAATACTTCACGGAAAAACGGTGCACTTGTACAGTGACCGATCATTAAAGAAACTGAGGATGCGTAGTGTCCATGCTGGTTCAAACACAACAATTGGATGAGGCAGAATAGTTTCACTTTCAGAGCCACAATGGAGCCAGTTTCAGCGCTCCTCGCTGCGCGGAAGGGAGGGCGTGCGGCTCGCCGATTGGGGTAAAGTCATGTTGAACGATTTATATCACAACCTACGTGCTTCAAGAAAGTCCATTCTGTTCCAATCGCCAGTAGAAAGGCGTGGCTGCCCAAAATCTTCGACGAATAGTGAAAAAATGGGAGGGCACGAGCGAGCTGCGTGATGTCCTCTCCGAAGGTAGGCTGCAGCGTGTGTTTATTGATGAGATGAAAGAAGATGGAAGTGAGAAATGAAACAAAGTAAGGGACAATATTAATAAACTCAGTCCTTGCCTGGGGAAAAGCTGTGAAGCGCTGTAGCCACTGGAGAAGAAAGACCCTTAAAGCAGCAGGTAAGAAATAGGGAGAGTGGAAGAAGGGAGGGGGAGGGAGGGTACTTATACCTACTATTTATGTTAGGCTATTTATAAGAGTAATATGTGGCGAGAAAAAAAAAAAAACTTAAGCATGAACTAATAGCTCAAACGCGAGACTTGTCCATCAATATTTTTACGCACAAACCAGCCGTGAAGAAAACTTCGCGAAATTACATTTAGTTGTGAAAGAATTGGCACTCTGTCTGGATTATGTGAGTTCTCTCTAAACATCTAATGTTTCTCTGGAATTCAACGGGGGGGGGAAAAGATTACGAAGTGACGTCTCTCGACCATGTAATTCCCATTTTCTAGAGTTCAACACTTGTCAGGCTATCGAGACTTTGTCTGTAGTTGTATTATTTCACTAGGCTGTGTGTTTTGATATTTTGCAGAGTGTTAAACGTACCACTGAACCATGACACGAAAAGCTCAATACGACTCAACGGAGCCGCTAGGGACTTCCCTATACGACCAAAATATTTGATAGAATAACACCCGCTTTAACCGCGAGTTAAGTGTCAAGAATTAAATCGCTACAAGAAGACTAAATGCCCAGTTTCACTACAGACGAGATAGAAATGATTATTCAAACATTTCAGCCGCTCATCTGGAGTCCTTTCCGGGCTATTGCTAATATTTTATTGACCCCGGTAGATTTGCGCGCTATATAGCCTCTGGTTTCGGGCTCTCTGAGGCAAACAGAATTGTTACCAATATTGTTGTTTTGCGTAGACGCTGTCCGACAAATTCTACACGAAAGTAGCCTATGGAGTTTTGTAGGGAGTGTATCTGGCGCTTTACCATGTCCGTTATTTGCCTTCATTGAATTAGGATACGCAGGCTAAACGAAGTGACCGAAATATTATTCCGCGTACCAAGAAAGCGAAATTTAGATAAATGCCCATCTACTTGTACTTATTGAATGACCTCTTTTTGACTCCGTGTTGTGAAGTGCCAGCTTGTTGCCTATATAACGCACGCGTTTGTAGGCTAAGCAAACAATAAATCACTCGGCCATTTTAACACACACACACAAAAACTTCATATGGCAAAGCGGAGAGGAGCGCTTCTTCAATATTTTGGAGGTTACGGGGCCTTCGAGCAGCGTCCGATGATCACAGCGCTGATTGTATTGTTATCTCAGTGTAGTTCGAGACGGCGGGTATGAGAACCATGCAGTGGAAAAACACACCAGACACATTTTTCATTAATTTATCATATGCCCTCTGTTTCCCGACGCTGTATTATAAAATGTCTGGCTTATATAATCTGTGTATTTATAGCGAATGACATGAAAAGCTTGTCAGTTATGTCTACTTCGATTATTGGGATGTTTTATCTGAGCTGAAAGAAGAAAGCCCCTGTTGCAAACACAATGCTCTACAATAATCTTATTTTTATTACAAATGTTAGCCATGTGTAGGCTTTTTTATTTTGTTGAATTTGCTGACCGCCAGTCTCTCACACGGTTAATGCGGCCTTGGAAGTTTGACTGTCTGCACCCCTTTACTTATTGATACAAAAACACAACTATTGAAGTAGCCTACTCAGTTCAACGTTAAGAATTTTATTTTTTTTTATTAAGTAAAGTGCCGGTGTATATGGAATAGAGGCAGATTGTAGGCTATTATTAAAAAAGAGGTTTGCACGTGTAGCCTAAATCATGGCCTCTGTTCTATTAACCCTGTGTGCTTGCTAGCTTAGAAGTGTTAGCCAGTCGTCATTCTTCTGAAGCTGTGGATGTCTGAATACATTTTTTTTCTTTAACTTACTTTAATCGATGTTAAATGTCGAGTAAAAACTTTCATCTCTACCTTTGCATCTGATTCAGAAGAGGCCTAGTTGTGCATTAACGTAAGGCAAACAAACTATAAATCATCCTAAAATATTATAGCGTTCTTTTTGCTTCTAATATTATAGAAACAATATTTTTTTTTTCCACAAATTATTTTTTTCCCCACTGTAGGCTACTTTTTTTTCTTCTTCTATAGCTGCTACCGGCCTCCTTTTCCTCATGGTTTGGTGAAATTCTTCGTGTCTTTGCAGGTATGGGCAACGTCGAGGAAATTAACTCTTTCTATATCATGTCGAATTAGGTTTTTTATTTTAGTCAGCTCATTTTGTAGAAATACAAGTTGCTATTAGTTTATGAATCAAGCTTTCCCCCCA